GGAATTTTGCAATAAAATAGAACCAAGTTATAAAACTGTATCAGCGAAAAATTCAGGTTTGGACAAACCAAAATCCTGAAAATTTATTTGTGAATATTTTGAAAAAATAAAGAAATTATCATGGCCTTATGTTTTCCAACATTATTGGATAAATGAGAATTCTTTGACTTTTATTTATTTGTCTATTCAAATGTTGGCAGCTTTAACTAATTTAAATATATAAATATGAAAATACGAAATATTAAACAAGTAAAAAAGCAGTAGGCCGGGCCGAACTTTAAGTACCCTCCATCATTTGGAACGAATTTGAAAATTTCCTCTTAAAATTCTGTTAAAATCTTAAATATCGAATGTGGCCGTTATATTATGGTCTATACAACGATGTGGACCTGTATATGCAACTTTTGTCATAAGCCACTGCAAGATTCAAATGCGAAACTTGAAAAAAATATTGGTGAATAATGTCGTTAAAATCATCAAAATACCAAATATCGGGAAGATACGAAGGCTTGGACGTGCACAGATAATTTTCTGTCATAGGCTGTAGTATCCATTACGAAATTGCTACGAACAAATAGCAATTTCGAAACAATTCCGGTGAATAATGTCGCTAAAATCATCAAAATACAGAATATCGGGAGGTACCGTTATATGGGGGCTTAACGAAGACGTGGACCTGTATAGACAATTTTCTACCTTAGGCTGTAGTATTAATTGCGAACTTTTAACACCATATTTAAAACAATTCCGGTGAATAATGTCGCTAGGCACCGTTATATGGGGGCTATACGAAGACGTGGACCTGTACAGACAATTTTATGTCTTAGGGTGTAGTATTTCATTTCGAAGTTCAAATGCCAAATTTGAAACAATTCCGGTGAATAATGTCGCTAAAATCATCAAAATACCGAATATCGGGAGGTACCGTTATATGGGGGCTATATGATAATGTGGACCTACATGGCCCATTTACGAACTTAACATGTGTGCAAAATTTTAGCCTTATATCTCAATTAGTTCGAAAGATAGCGTGATTAAAACAGACAGACGGAAAGGATTCGTCAATAGGATTCGTCCTTGGGTCAAACAAATATTGTTTGGAAAATTTCATCTCAATCGGATAATAAATACGATCTGATTTTTGTCATACATGGAGAGACGGACGGACGGACATAAATCGACTCAGGATTTGATTCAATTAAGATTTTCAAAAGTAACTATGGGTCTATCTCTCCTCCGTTTTACAAACAAATGCACAAAGACATATAAGGGTATTATGTGGTGTAGGGTATAAAAATACTGCAAATATCCAGGAACTGATGTGAGTCGATATGTTTTTTCTTGATTTATGTCTTATCAATATTTATTGGAATCGCATCAAAATGTTACTCCGATTAACGATAAACAATTTTCGGGGTATTCGAGATTTTTTTTTTAAATTATACCCTCTACTTAATTGTGATCAAAGGCATAAGTCAAGTTTTAAGAAAATGAATGATCAATTTGAAAATTTTAGTATAAATAGCTCTTGGGATACCGGGCGACAAGGGTATACACCAAGACAATATTTAAAAAGACTTCGAATTTTTCATTATAACGATATACTCTTGTTTCCTAAAAAAAGTCAACTCACAAAGACTTCTCTTTAAAAAATATATTTTGAAGTGTGAACGTGATTAAAAGGTGAACATTTTAAATTCCCAGTCGAAGATTGCACACAAAAATATTATTAAGAGCAGGACCTCGAAGGATTGTGTTACGTACAACCATACTGGGTTGTTAAGTCTTATAAACAATAAAAAGAATCCAAATGTACTCACCGAACTTTGATGGTCCTTATCTCGATAAAATATGGACTTCTGGAAGTTTAACCTTACACTTTTTTGCCTGTTTTAAAATAAGTAGGTTAGTTTCTCAGCTGGTAATGTATTTATAGACTTACCAGAAAAACACGAAATAAAATACATGCATCCACTATTTGATATGAAGCAATATGTCTCAACTTAACTGCTTCAAACGCAGATATCACTAAGTAACCTACATTTATTTTTTGTCCGACAATAATGCAACACGGAGTCGCTTGTCTTCAACTTCAGTTATTACACAACACGGCATCCGCACCTCTTATCTAAATGTTGAACAGATTCCCACAGACTGATTCCAATTGGAAAGTGGCTAACAAACTTCATAAACGAGCAGAAATTGCGGATCTTGTAAATGTAAATGACTTGGACTTCAGCAATTTAAATCTTATACCAATATGCCTGTTTAGAAAATCAATACGTTAGTGTCTGAACTCGTATTGTATCCCTGACCTTACCTGAAAACATGAATGGAAATCCGTACATTTGCTATTTAACATCCTTTAGCTTGTCTCATTCAAAAACAACACACTTTATTCACTTGCAAGAAAGGTGAATATGGGATATTGCAATCAGGGCCACAACAGGCCATCGATGGTAACTTTAGTTATTACACACAGGACATCTGAAATTCTTTTCCAAACATTGCAAAGATTCCACAAACTGATTCCAATTGAATGATGTCTAACGGACGCGATAAACAAACAAAAATGGCAGATCATGTACTAAAACAACTTGAGTTAGCGCGCTTTTCAAGATAATTATTAGGGATTTGTAGGTCGACTTACCACTTCTGACTTACCGATTAATTAATATTGATATTGACAGTTAGTTCATGAATAGAGTCGAATGCAAATTATTTTTCAAGTTTGTGCGAAAGCAAGAGTATTATGAGAAAGAAACAAATGAAGTAAAAGCCAATCTTGTTCGGTTCCGAACCAGCAAAAATCCACTAGTTTTAAAATTTGTTTCGTAAAAAAGGGAAAAATCGGTTATAGTAGCCATATTTCAGGGCAAGGCAGAGAGCCTCAAAAATTTTTTGTGATTGTATGTGTTTTGAATTAACAAAAATATTGCAAGTGTTTTTTGCCTTCTGTACAGAGTGAGAAATAATTTGTTATATTTAAATTTTCAATTTAAAATTTTCTGTTTTCAAAACAACTTTGTTGGTAAAAATTAATATTTTGATTAGACAATTCGGAGATATATTTGCACAATTTTTTCAATTATGATTAATTTTAAAATGAAACAAGTAAAAGAGCTATAAGTTCGACCTGACAGAGCTTTGAATACCCTCCACCATCTGGAACGAATTTGGCAATTTTCGAAAAAATAAAATCCGTTAAAATCTTAAAAATAACGAATGTTGCCGTTATATTAGAGTCAAAACGACGATGTGGACCTGCATAGGTAACTTTTGTCATAAACCATTACAATATTCAAATTTGAAACTTGAATAAAAGAAACGGTGAATAATGTAACTAAAATCATCGAAATACCGATTATCGGGAGGTACCGTTATATGGAGGCAATACCTAAACGTGGACCTACATGGCCCATTTTCAATACCAAAAGTCCTGACATAATATACATTTGAGCAAAATTTGATTTATCTACTTCATTTCGTTCGGAAGCTAGAGCGATTTCCACAGACGGACGGACATCGTTAAATCGAAATAGAATTTTATATATATTTTGTGGGGTCTAAAATGTATATTTCGAGGTATTACAAACGGAACGTCAGACTTAATATACCCTACATATTACGGTGGAGGGTATAAAAAATAATATAAATGTCCTTCAAAAATATATAAGTTAACATAATTTTGATGTTATTTGTGTTTAATAACCATCAAAGTTGACCCTTTAAAAAGTAATACCGATTACCACAGGTTGACATACAGACATATGCAAATAGTCGTAGAATTTTACCCTGATCAAAAACTCATATCCTGTGTTGGGTCCTAAAAGATTATTTCTATGAATCACAAGCAGAATGACAAACATCACAACCTGTTATTTTTCCCAATATTGACCAAGAACGTATATATCATTTCATAGAAATCAAGGGATATGAAAATGTCTCTAATTTGGAAGGACAATAAATTTGTCGATCAATATGAAATGAATTTATATTCCTAACATGTGAATTCGTATACAAATTCTGTCAAATAGAATTCAATCGAAAAAGACAATCTTAACAGTTGTAATTTTTACAATTTCGGAAATATTTGTTTCAAATATGTAGTAAGGTATATTTATGTGTTCCAATATTTCTTACGGTGTATTCATAAAAATGCCCGACAGCACCTTCCCCATCGACTGCTCGAACAAAACTAAATATTCTCCCAAAACCATTTTGACAGAAAATTCAAAACAGTTAATTTTTTACAATTGTGTTGGTGAACACACAGATATCCCAAGGGATACTCTTTGCCTAGCCTTGCTATAAATCTTAAACTTGAAAATTGGACCGTGAGAAAGTAATCGAAATAGGCATGGCCACACTATCAATAAGGTAGTTTCACTTTGAAGGACATCGAAAAAAAACAAATCTGTAGCAGTCTTAATCTGTCAAATAGGCTTCTATTCTAAAGCATGCAATAATTGTTTTTTTATTTCGCAACTTTTTTTCACAAATTTCCTAAATCTTAACAGAATTGAATTCAAGGTAGGAGGAACATATAGCTTTGTTCCAAAATCGTATATTTTATTCTCTGTTTAATGCCGAAAATATACCTCCTATTATTTTACTTTTACCACTATTCTGACTTTGGATCCTGTCTCCATAATTGTTGACATTTTAAACTATCTACGTTCCTATATAGATATATATGGTCTGTTTCAGAAATGCAAGAATGTAAAAGTTTTTACTAGTACCAAGATTTTCTCCTTATGATATCGAAAAAAAATCGCAAAACTAGTAAATTCTTGCTGGTTCTGGAACAGAGCAATGATTTGCTTTATTTTTATTTATGTAAACCATTATAGTCGTATTACTTTATTTTTTGTTTAGATAAATTGTATTATTGTAACATATAAATCATGAAGAGAGTAAAATACTTAAAATTAAAGCACAGAAGAAAAAATCATATTTTTGTAGGTTTTTTTTCGAAATTTTGGAATGAACTGTGACGCTCTACATTTTATGAAGCTTGCACACATAATTTTTGAGATGAACTGATTTTATCGCCCAAACTCAAAGCCATACCCTGGAAATAAATGAATCAAAACAAACATCAAATTTAAATGGAAATAACTTAAATGAAACTGTTCTACTCACTTGACTCTTGGCACGTATTCTAATATGACCGGTAACTTTGGAATCTGGATCATCGACAGGTTTTTCAATACTTAAATTGGCCAAAGCATTTTCTCCGAAAATTGATCTAAAATGAAACAATATTTACATTTAAAAAATAAAAAGATTTTTACAAGGAAAAATGCATTTTTCTTAAAAACTGATATGGAAAAGGTATTTTTAAATATTCTTGATATTTTGTAATACAAAAAATCTTAAAAAACATCTAAAAAATTGGAAAGATACTACGAGTTAAACTTGAAACCGAATTTTGGAATGATATAGTTTAAAAATAACGGAAATTTAATATCTATAATGGGTGTTTGCAAAGCCTTTTTGATTATTTCCTGTATTAAGTAATTGTATTGTACGTCCCAACGGCGAAAATTAGTGTACAATCCAAGGACACACTTACTTGGCATAAATATTTGCAGCCATAAAACCGCATTGTCCCGAGAGGGCTTTCTCTGGTGTCAAACACTTCATGTTTGTGCTCTTAAGCAGATGTTTCAGATATTCATGTAAATCAGTGAAAGTGGTATTGACTGTGACCTATAAATGGAAAAGCAAAATAATGTTCAATAACAATGTCAGCACTATCAAATCAATATTTTCCAAAACGATTCATTAGAATTAACATTACTATTTTTCTGTAAAATATTTCTGGTTTGAATAAAACCAAAATTACATGTACCAACTCTACTGAATCATTTTGGAGAAACTTATTACAAGAAACCTTACCTTATTTTCCCATTCAAAATCTTGCCACATTTGACGGAATTCTGTGTCGGTGCAAGTAGCAGGGATAATGTAATCCATAATATCAATGTGAATGGTACTGAGTACAACAACATTTGTGTTAATTGATGTATCATAAACTGTAAAAAAAAAACTATTGTAAAAATCCCTTGTTCTCATAGAGTTCGTAGAAACTTACCAATATTGCCAAAAATAATGCCATTTTCTGTTGAAGATACCTTAACATTGGCCTTGATGTTACAGAAATCATGAGGAGCCAAGACAACGGGATGGGGCCTTTCCACCAATTTCAAATCACCCAATGTGGCCAATTCCAAGGTGCAGTTTTGCAAAGTGTCATCTGCAAGGGACAAATTTTTTAAATAATAATGAATACTACGTCTAAAGCATTATAACCTACTTGTCTGATTGACGATCAAAACATCCAAAACAATATCATATTGATTGACATTGACATAGGCCTCGGCGTAGACAGGATCTGAGAAACCAGTCAATTGGGTAACCTTATTCAATTTGTTGTTTGGTGATGTAATATCACTCAGATTGGTCGATTTGGTACCGGCCAAGGCCTGATTCAAACTAGACTCAAATACATTTTCACCCAATTGATTTTCACGACCATTCGACAGCTGAGAGAATAGCACAGGATCATCAGGTTGTACTTTAGCAGCGGCCTTTTGTTTCTCTTTGAGGACACGTTGATCTTCCTCAGCTTGGGCATCCAACATTTTACCCAAAGCCTCACGACAATAACGTTTAAATACCTCAACAGCCTCTTCGGTGCGTTCACTAAGGGTACGCAAGCAAATGAAGATACGATCGGTATCATCATTCGTAATGGGTTTGGATGGGAAACCAGATTTACCCAAATGCAAAATGGAGCTCATAATCAACATGACACGTGTGGTCAAACGATTTTGGGAACGCTGGAGAATATAAAAAAACTTCTAAATATATTTCCAATCAAAAATATTGTAAAACATACCACATCTTGTTCCAAATCGGCATAACGCAAAACCAACTTGGTTAGGGTGGCCGAGAGAGCGGCTCCAATAAAGAAATCACCATCCATAAGATATTGACGCAATGGTGGACGTTTTTCCTTCTTGGCAACTCTAAAACAAAACAAAAAATAAATTAATTAGAAATGAAAATTGGTTTTGATTTTATGTGGAACTTACGGTGCCAAGCTGAAAGCACTTTGTGTGGCATATGTACCATCTGAAGTAACCTTGGAGTTGGTAGTTTGTGTTGCAGGTGCCGCCTGAGCAGCTGAGAGTTCTTCATCAGTTTGCTCTCCAGCCAGACGGCGTTGTTCAGCCTCCACCATTGGAATTTCACCCAATGTCTGGGTAATAACATCGATAACTTCCAAAATCTGACTCTTGTCGTCAACATATTCACCCAAAATCCATACAGCGGCACGATGGATTTTTGAGGATTTAATTTGTGGGAAGGCCTCAATCAAATGACCAATTATAAGACTCCTCAAGGCTGGGAATTTCTGAATAGCCTCACGGATGAAAATCAAAACATCGGCAGCTGCCAATTCATTGGTGTCCGAAAGGAATTCTACTAAAACTGGAATAACACTGGCGGCCACATCGGGGAATTTAATGGAACAGGAGTGTAGGGTGCGGACCAACAACTGGCGATACTTTCCGGTGTCTTCGTGTTCAACATTGTGAGTTTTGGAGACCTCCTTCTTCAAAACCAGCACCATTTCGTTGATGTTTCGCGAAGACACCAAATCCATGGCCAGAGCCAAAGTTTTGCGACGTACCTCAATATCAGGAGCAGCCAAAACACGCAAAATATCCATAACCAAATCTTGCATAACCTTCTCCATATTTTCATTATCTTTCATGGCAATCAAACGATCCAAAACAATCAATTTTACATTGTTATCGCTTTCCTTGACAATCAATTCAATGTAACAACCAGCTGCGGCCTTAATGGCTGTTGGGGCAGAGGAGAGAGTTATCAATGTACCGGCAGCCTCATAACGCACAGCATTCGATGAAGAATTCAACAGATTGTAAATGCAACGGATGAAGCGAGTCCTTTCGGCGGGATTGGCATGACAGACTTTGTAAATCAGTTCCACAATAACCAATTGTAGAATATCACCGAAACTATTCACCTGATCGATACAGGAAGCCAAATAGTTCAGGGCTCTTTCTTGATCAGCATGCAAGAGCATAAGGAAAGCATTACGTTTGCAGGACATATCCTGTTGGGTATCCAAAAAGTTGGCAATAAGTTCCGGGCCATCGGGCACTAGCCAGTCGAAGTTTTTATAAATTGTAAAAATGGCAAGGACAGCATTTCGTCTGACATAGGAATGACGATGTTCCAAACAAGCACGAATGGAAGGCATCAGAGGTTCCAACAATTCGGGTTCCTTCAGCTTGCACAAGAAACGCAATGTAGAGCCACGCAAGAATTCATTGGGGTGTTGGAGATCCTAGAAAAGAAGGAAAATTCTTTATTAATACTACAATAATTATATTTTGATATTAAATTAAAAACGGTCGAAAAACACAATTCTACGTAGGCGATGTTCTATGATATGTCAGCACTGCATGTCAAGATAAGAACTGTGTTGTTTTAACACTAAACATACCCCCAACCCCACAACCCTTTCGACTATTCCACTGTAATTCATGACGAAATTATCTATGATAATTTTCACAAAATTTCATCTTACCTTCCTGTAAGCATCGCACACTAAAATCATTTCTTGCAACAATTTTCCATCCGGCGATGTCTTGGGGACAATTTCCCAAAAGATAAGCAGCAACTTTTTGATTGTATGATTTTGCACGGGCAAAACAAAACGTATTATGGTCATGATCAGACCGGATAAACGTTCGCCATTCAACAGAAGTTGAATAACTTTTTTGAGTGTGTCGATTTTAACATTTGTATCGCCCTTTTCCAGATCTTGTTTCAATTGCATTTCATTGGGCACCTCCAAATCGGGCGAGTTTATAATGGTGTAACATGGTACGGTTGATTGAGACATGTTGTTTTCTGTTCGTAATTCTTGAGCTGGTTCGTAACTTGTGTGAATTTGACAAAATTTAGAGATTACGGCGTTTAAATAATACACGAACGGACTTAAATTCTATAAAAATTGTTGACAAAAACTTATTTTTTTCTTAACTTTTTAGTTCCACAAGTAAATTGACTGACGTGTCAGCAGACAACGAGGCTAAACGATTTTTTTCTGCGACGGCGGCTCATCCGGCATAAACAATTCGACGGCGGCGAGCTGTCAATTCCCTTGGCGGCAGAAGAAATTTAAGAACGGAAGAATAGAATCAAATCACTTTTTTATTTTAATTAATTTAATTAACTAAATGTTAAGAGAAAACAAGGGAATTTCCTTAAACAGCACAAAATTCTAAAGAGTTAGCTGAATTTCAAGAAGGTCTGTGTTTGTTCTTTGAAGAAATGTACCCTCGGAACAGTTGAGTTTTTGGTATAAAAATAGAGACATAAAACTACTAGAATGACACAATTCACACATATTTCCATTTTCCTACAACCGGAGACTTGCCGTAAGCAAAATTACCCAATATAAATTCGACAAACCTTATATCCCTTGTATAAAGAATTGCCTTGTCACCTATCCACTAATACAATACAATCATTTTTATTGATATTCACTGTGGATTAATGACACAGTTTATGCTAGCGGTATCGATATTTGACAGTTATCGTTAAAATCCACTCTCAATATGTCTTTGCAAAAAAATAATTGTTTACATGTTATAAAATTATTAAATTTGCATGATAATGAGAGAATACCTCATCGTTTCCTGCTGATAAAATGTAAAGTGGAAGGAGGAGCAGGCAATTCTTGCGTTAATAAAGTCATATCACTCTTCCTGGATAATAAACTACAATCCCAACTCTCAGCCGATTGCGATTCCAGGAAATTTAAATTCCTATTGGATTTGGGAGCGGAAAACAGAAGATGCGAGATAAGATTGGAGTACTGTAATGCCAAATTAGAATTATGTATTAATTATGAACAAAAGCAATCCGCTTATAGCATACAACCCCTTATTATCATTGCCAAAGATGAGCATGAAGACATTGATAAGGAAAAAGTAACCAAGTATCGGGAAATTATTGATATGAATTTGCTTTTGATACAATCTGTCTATGCGGAAAAGTTAAATGAGCGTTCCATGGGACGTTTGTGTTTCCATCTACGTGATAAATGTTTGGTATTCAATTCCCGTTTGACAAAAGAGGAAATATGGAAATTAAACGAAAACGAATTATGGTCCAGCATTGCAAAGGAATTGCTGCAGTCTGAATGGGGTAATCAATTGAATGTCAAATTTGTGGCCTTTATTTCCTGCAGCAAATATCTGGGAAATGAAGTGTTAAAATCTCAAAATTTCTCTTATGAAAACATACGTAAACACATGCTGGGCCATGTTGCGTGTGGAACTGGTGGTTTGGCCTTATTTAGTTCGTCTTACTTTTATGCATGGCCCAATGAATTTACCAATATATTGGAGAGCTTTAATGACAAACGGAAAATAGATTTAGGCAAGCAACCCGACGACAGCAACTATCGTAAAACCTATGGTGGTGTGTATGCCTCAAGTTTGGGTGCTGTGTGCCATGAAATTGGTCACATATTCGATTTGGGTCATGATCTGGAAGGTGTAATGGGTTCAAATTTTGATTATATTAATCATGTCTTTGTGGTGCACAAAACTACAGAACATTTACCCCGTAGAGTTGTTATGGAAATTAAAAGTAAAGGAAATCCCGTGGCAAAGCAACGTTTTACTCAACTAAAGAAAACACCAGCTGAAGGTTTTCTAAACTCCTACCGAGAACAAAAAGAAAATGATTCATTTTATTTCTCAGCTAATTCAGCGATTATTTTATGCCATCATCCTTGGTTGAAATGTGATGAAGACGATTTAATCGATAATAATGATTTTCTAGTGGATTTTTCCAAAGATGATTGCATTATCAGATCTCACAAATATCCTATTAAACTTATAGAAATACGTACAAACTCAAATAGTCTGATTACACATTGGTTTGAATTACAAAAAACCAAAGAAGAACAAGCCGTCTTACAATATGATGTGAGTAAATATAGAAAGCAGCTAGAAAACGAATGTCATCTCTTCGTTATGAGCATCAAAGGGCATAGCAAAAAGATATGGCTTTAATTTACATTGTAAATTTTATAAGGAAGACATATTTGCCCCCACTTTCAGATTGCCTGTTTCCCCAGAGAGTCTGCCAATCAAAAACTAAAGCAACGATATGGATTACCACACGCTCACACACTTCGCTAACTTTAGCCGTACATTAATAACACCACAGAGAAGCCAAAAAAGAGCCAAACAACACTGTCGACATCTCAACGAACTCTTTCTACTCAAAAGTCAGAAAAGAGAAATAAAAATAAAATGTGCATCATTCATAGATAATAAGCCAAACCAAACAAAAACACAAAATAGTCTACGTTGTCGTGTACACATTGATCGTTGTGACTCTCCTGCCTGCCCGCCCCCCATAAAACCCATTGCCAGTCATTAACATATGAACGCCAAAACTAAATTTACTGGTTGTTGCTGAAAACGCTCGGCAAAGCAAAATATTTACCTTTTTTCTTTTTGGCTAACTTCTTCATTATCAATGGCATACCAAAAACAACAACAGCTACCGCAAACACCATGATAAGATAAACTCTTAACAGATCGAAGAGCATTATTGATTTTTTGTCTATTTGGCATAATCGAAGAAAATAGAAAGAACACTTGCTAGCGAGTTCAGTCAGGCAGTCAGTCAGTCAGTACTTAGTTTCTTACAATACAACACGCTTTCTACACATTGTTGTCGACGACAATCTCTCTCTCTCACCGCCATCGGCCAACTCTAGTCATCGAAATTTAATATTATTAAAATATTTGGAATAAATAGCAATAATGGAACAACAGCAGACAGCACGTATACAATTCAAACAGCTTAAAGGTTTCCCTCCCGTCATCGATGATAAGCTAGAAACGGAAATGTTTTTAACATCTTCAAATGAAATTGTTGATGTGATACGTAAGTATTTGTGTGTGTGTGTTTTTGTTTTTAAATAGTAGTTTTTAATATGAAACAAAATCTACAGTATTTGTTTGCGAGCTATTATTTTTGGAGAAGATTGCCTAGCTTTTTTGTGACTGGGACTATTAAGTCCCTCGCAAACTTTTCTGAATCTAAAACGACACTAAAGAAATTTTAAAGACGACCAGAGGGGGCATTTTTGCAAGCGACGGAAAGCTAGTCTTTAGAGGCGAAATTCAGAGAGACTCATATTTGCCCAATTTGAAAAAAAAAAAATAGTTCAGATGAAGTTATATCTATATATATACAGGGTGAGATAAAAAAACTGCAACGACCATCAATGGCCAATCGAAGGTGCACATTTTTAACTGACCTCTTCGCAAACAAACATGATCATTTTCTTTGTTTGCAAACATCTGGACAGCGAATTTTTTCTCATCGGAGAAAACCAAATTCGGCAGTTCACCACTTTCGGCCAAGCAAAGCAGCTCTATTTTCTTTCCGTTGCGGTGTAAGTTCTTGCCCTTTTTGGAATTTTAATGGTTTTACCCCGAGCTCATTTTTCAATATTTGCCGAATTGAATATTGCGATATGAGCTGGACACATTTTCCCGTGTCCACTTCCTTGACGTCGGGCTGCGCTACCAGTATCACGGTAACGAGCGATGGTACGATACGCAAAAGACTTATTCACATATAAATGCTGGAGTGCTCTAACGATAGCCACTTGTGGTTTTCAGCCAATCACACTATCATGCTTGAATTCCATCACGAATAACTTTTTTTCTGGAAAATTCTCACTAAAATGCTTTTGTACGCTTGTAAAAAATATAATGAGCTATCACTGAAATAATTTTAACAGCTGTCGGATGAGTGACTTGGAAATGACAGCACTCTAAAGTTGGTTGCAGTTTTGTCATCTCACCCTGTATGTGTAATTTGAACACAATCGGACCCTTACATCTCAATTTCTAAGAGTTATAATTATTTAAAATGTTGACCCTTCGAGAGGGAGGTAGTCGATGGACGATATCGGACCACTATCGTCCATTTTCGCACCTGATCAGATGCAAATATTACGATTTGCAAAGTTGGAACAAAATCGGATTATCCTTTCTCTTCCTGTGCAGTAAATTACTTTCTTTGAAAGTGTTGACATTTTGTGGGGGAGGTACCAGAAGGAGTTAACCGATATTGCCCATCTCCGAACTCGATCCAAGTTCGACAATAATATTACAATGTACCATGTTTTGATCAAATCGGATACTCTCTTCGCAGCAACCAGACAGACGGACGGACGGATATCACTAGATCGACTTCAAATGTCCTGAAACGAATTTGGTCTAAATAGACCTAGGGTCTAAAACCGTTTTTTCGATGACGCACGTTTTGGCCGTATCAAATGATTTATACCCTCTGTAGCCATATGGCTGAGGGTATAAAAAAAATTGTTCAGATGAAGTTATATCTTCTAGTTTATGTTACTGCAGATTTGACTTATAACCAACCTACTATCGTTGATATTTGATACGAGACATCAGAATATAAATGCATCTCTAATATTTTATGAAAATTGGTGGTTTTCAAAATGATGCGGGGTTTTAAATAGTCAACCACACCCGACTTTGATCTTTTCCGCTCGGATTTTTATAAGACCCAAAAAAGAAATTTTTTACAAAACACGGTTTGATTTGATTATTTTGTGAACCCAATTTTTTTGCAAGGAGAGGATTCAGTCCTTGAAGTCACTACATAGACCTAGTGTTCAAACTATAAATCAATTAAGCTATGCGATTTTAACAAGGTTATCTGATACTTTTTGTTAAACTACGTAAAGTAGCGAGAATCAAAATTTGAAACAAATTCTATATTGTGATCCATATTTTAAAATAACATTGGCCATTGTTAAGGAATCCCACTTCCAATTTTGGCCATTATTCATTATGGTCGTAAAAGTCGCTATGTTAATTGACATTCAAGTATTCAAAATATATTTTAACACATTTAATTGTGTCAACAATAATAATGACTAAGCATTTCTACGAAGATTACCAAAAATATGTGTAATCAATAAAGCCGGAAAAATGTGTTTCATCAGCATTGACGAAACAACTATTCATTAGAACAATTTTATGAGTCATGAGATATTAAAAGTATCAAACAGCGAAATTCGTTATCTCCTATTTTCACTTTTTCTATATGTTTTGGGGAGTTTTTGTGCCACCTGAAATAAGAAATATTTTTCGAATAACTCATAAAAATCTGATTATAATACAATTTATCATAGTTGAAGGCCAACAACAAAAATAGCCATAAATGTAAATATGAAAACAATTACATTTAGATAATAGAGATTAGTTGCAATTAATAAATGTAGTAGGGTTCGATTATTTTGCTACCATCCTGAAAGGCGGGCATATTAGAAAAATAAAATAGGGTGTTTTCCCAGAGTAAAACCTTATCGAACCAACCATCAAGTAAATTAATAAAAATGTAGGTGATAGTGATCACCGGCTACCCTGCCGGTAAGAATGAGAATGTAAAACAGCCATTTACTGAAGTTGGTTGCAGTTTTTTCATCGCACCATGTATTGTAGTCATGTAAAATAAATGCTCATAAATTTAAAATTTCTTTTCATAAATTGGTTCGCTCTGAACTGTTTATTTTTTATAATCTGTAATAAGAAGCTCTAAATTGAAATTTATTTTTTTTTTCGAACAGGTTCGTTTGGTTCCCTGTTTACTCCCGTTATAAGTGATATGACCGGCAACATAACTGTAAGTATTTCATTTCATTTATTTACCTTACAAAGAAATATAAATAAGCCCACAGGGCCCATAACTTATATTATCTATCTACAATACCCTAACATAATACAAAAATTCTTTACACTTTTTAACACTAAAATATATATGCCTTTCTTTTTTGATAGAAAATCCGCAAAGCCTATGAAAAAAACTGCCAAAAATACAAATACCTAGATGATCTAATAATACTCAATATCGGGGTAGATAATACCGCTGCCAATGCTTTGCTATGGTTAAAACGCGGTCTACAATTGATATGCACATTTTTCGAAAATATTTACAATGATGTTCAGCAGAGCGATGTCGTCAAGAAACACCTACAAGATGCCTATGAGAAAACATTAAAACCTTATCACGGTTTTATAGTACAAAGTACGATAAAAGTAGGTGTTCGAAAAAAAATACAAAACGGCTTGTTTAAATAAACAAATGAGCTGCTAAAATATTATCTTCCTTATGTGGGAATTTTTGACTTACTTTCGTTTTGCTTTTTATAGATTATTTACAGTTGGGTGCCAACCAGAAGTCAGCTTATCGGTCAAGGTCCAGATCATGACGAAAACATAAAAGTCTTAGCCACATTCTTACCCACAATGCGCGGCCATCTGGATCGCATCGATGCCTTGTTAAAGAAACACAATTTGGATGATAAGAGTAAAGTGTAGCCCGAAAACGGTGATTTTGATTTCGTAATGTATGGCCAGTTTAAAAAATATATTTTGCATTATTTATGATTTTTGTTGTAGTTTTAAGTAGTAATAAAATTCATGATTTTTAGAAAATCTTTTGCAAACATTTATTTCTTTACCAAAACCGTTTTTTCTGCTTTGGGCCAAAGGAGGACAACACCAATCAGAAATTCCAAAGACATTATACTCAATGTGGCAACAGCAATTACCAAAAGCAAAGTGGTAAACTCTTTGGCCGAAAGTAAGAGGAAAATTATTATGGGCAATTCCACCAAGGGGGAGAGTATTAAAAATGTACACAAGTCGCCGGGCTGTAATGGAAAATGTGGGTTAGTTATATTTCCCTTTATAATCACATGTTTAGGTATTTTATACCCTGGATTGTAAATTCCCTTTATAGCCCATACGCAAACGATATAACTCAGCCAGCGAACCAATCAAATAGGCAATAATCACACATATTCCATGTATATCATAGAGATCAGGGAGCTGTAAAGGGAAGGCGATTAATTTTTTTATTTGAAAATATAAATAATACTCCCTACCTTGTATAGAATATAAACGCCATAAACTATATTCCATGATATCGATAAGTATACATTGCAAAACATTAATATCTGTAATGCCAAACTGGGTCTGTAGGGCGCCTCTGGAATATGGAAATCACAAATACATAAAATTTAAGTTTAATATTTTAATTTTTATAAATAGAAACGTGTTAGAATTTAAATTAATCATAACGTGAAACAAAATAAAAACAACTTACCCCTTATGCTATTCATTGTCAAGTGACATTTGCTCTGCTAAGGGAAGGATGCAACGGTTGCTACTGACAACCATATATTTTAACCCTAAACTATTTGGTCTATCTATAGCATAGGCGACGCTGAAATTAAAAACTTACAACAATTTTTAAATAACGTTCAAAAAAATAAATAATAATAAAAATAAACAAAGGTCTTCAAGGACAATTGTAGAGTTTGAGAATTAAAAAATATGTTTTAGGAACATTGGAATTTTAGGAATTTTTTTTTTTCAAAAAAGATCTTATTTTATTTTTAAAAAGACATCGTGCTTCATTGAAATAATGTACCCTAGGTCTCTTTGGATCAAATCCGTTTCAGGACATTTGAGGTCGTGAAACTGATGTCCGTCCGTCTGTCGAAGGGATTATCCGATTTGATCCAAACTTGGTACATCGTAATATTATTGTCAATATCGGTTCACTCCTTCTGGTACCTTCCCCACAAACTGTCAACAACTTCAAAGAAAATAATTTACTACACAGAAAGTGAAAGGATTTTGCTCCAACTTTGCAAATCCTAATATTTGCATCAGTGTTAGGTCAGGTGCGCAAAATGAACAAGGGTCAACATTTTGAATAATTACAACTTTTATAAAATGTGATGTAAGTGTCCGATTATCCTCAAATTACACATATTACAATACTTTTATTAACCCAAGGTCTGGCGTGAAGATGGAATATATCGGTCCACTCTTTAAGTACCTCCCCCACAAAGGGTCAAAGTTTTGAATAAACAAAACGATCATAAAATCGGAAATTAGCCTCCGGTCCTCCTCAAATCACACACATCACCATATTTTTATTAACCCAATGTCTAGTGTGAAATTGGGATATATCGGTCCACTCCTTCTAGTACCTCCCCCACAAAGGGTCAAAGTTTTGAATATTCATGAAGCTTATTAATCACGAAATTAACATCCGATTTTACTCAGACTTGTCATATCTCAATATTTCCATCAACAAAAGATCTATTATAAAGATGGTAGAGATCGGACCATTCTTCTGGTAACTCCCCCACATAGGGTTCAAGATTTTGAAAAGCAAAACGCTAAAAAAAGCGAAATAAGCATTCATCTCTTTTCAAATTTCACACATCCATTTTTTTTTTTTTTTTTGGTTAATGCAAGATCTGTTGTGAGGATGATACATATCTGCCAACCCCTTCTGGTACCTCCCCAACAAAGGGTCAATGTTTTGAATACATATGAAGCTCATAAGAGCAGAAATTAACATACGATTCCATTCAGATTTGGTAAATCTCAATATTTCCATCAACATAAAATCTGTTATAAAAATGGTAGAGATCGAACCATTTCTTCTGGTACCTCCCCCACAAAGAATTTGAGCCCTTTTAGACTAGATCTAGATTTGGTGGGAATATAGGGGCATGCGAAGTTTGCAGACAATCGGACTCTTCGTTCACATGCAAGCGTTGACATTATTCAAAATTTGGCGGAGGTACTGGCAGTTGTTCGCACCGGACCTGGTATTGATAAAAATATTAGGATTTGCAAAATTTGAATAAAACCGGATGATCCTTTCTTCTTCTATGAGTTAGTTTAATTTCTTTGAAACATTTAACAACTTGTAGGAGAGGTACTAGATGGACTGTCTGAGAGAAATGACGCATCTCCGACCTCGATCTAAGTTTCATAATAATATTACGATGTACAAAGTTTAGAACAAGTCGGATACTCCCTACGAGAGTTATGGTGCGCACAACCCCTAGAAAGACTCTAAATGTCCAAAAGATGATTTGGCCCAAAAAGAGACCTAGAGTCTAAAACCTTTATTTAGATACCGCATCTTCTGGCCCTTTATAGCCATATGGCTTAGGGCATAAAGATGGAAAATTTTTTATAATCTTTGTGCTAAAATATATGAATATGAAGTTGGGTCTTCAACTTTTTGGAAAATACTTTAGGGGAAACATCGTGAATTTTGTGAATATTTCTGATTTCTGGCTTCGTAAATAGTTAAGGATTTCACGTGAAATACTTTGATACTGGAAAACAAACGGGATATGAAAAAATTACCCATGTCAACACTACTCTTGTTTTGGTAAAACTTCGTAAGACTGGACAAGAGAAAAGAACATGTAATGTGGGTAGGGTGTTCCCGCTAATCAAGAAACAATTGTAACTAACGAAAAGATTCATCCAAATAGAGATGCGTCGTAATAAGGATATCTACTTCAAAATCCTTAGGCTCCATTAGACGTCTCTCCTATTTCAAAATTGTTTGCCACAGCGGTTTTTGGCCGCATAGCTTTCTAGAATGTCTGGAAACGATCATCATTTTCAGTTAGGCAAAAAATTTGGTTCTCCATAGATTTTCATTTCTGAAGCAGCATAGTCTTTGTAAATAGTTTAAAATGGGAATTTTTAAAATAGCTTTTTTAAGAAAAATTATTTAATTTCCTTCAAAAAGGGTAGGAATTTTATTATTAAAATTTTGTTCAGCCACATATCTTTCCGATAAAAACAAATAAGTTCACAAGCGGCTACTCAAATTCATAGAGTCCAATACTTAGCCTTTGAATAATAACAGTTATATTTTCGATATTATTTTTATTATTTCCTTTGTAAAAAATGCAATATAAAAATGGTAAATTAACAATAAACATAACATTTTAATGGGGTAGACTGGTATTGAAAGCAGCTCTCAGGCCAGACACTGAAAGAAGAAATGAAATTAAAGAAATTATAAGTCTTCTCAAAACCTTACAAAAATGGTTAAACTCACAAAATGTATTTTTCTTAAGATAAACTTGGTCATTCAATATATTGGCCAAATACTGATGGCAGCAAATATATGTATATTCCATGGCATCGATTTGTGAATTGGTAACAAAATCGGTATCCGCATCCTCACTGGAACTATCATCCAACGATATGGCCAAGGGGCTATTGCTTTCGATAAATTTAACACATGCCATCCATTCGGCACGTAATATGGATACCAAACTTAAAAGCTAAAGTGAAAAAATATTAAATTAAAAATTATTTTTTATTATTTTTCCTGGTGTGCAAAACTCACTTGTTCCACTCCGACTTTTATGGTATTCACATTGTCCGTGAGAAAACAATGTTCACACACTGTACTCAAATAGGATTTGTGTACCATTTCCATTTCTTGGAAATTTTCACATTTCTCAATTTTCTCATCCAATTGTTCACCCATCGACTGCAGGACATGGGTCATCAAATGAAAATGTACACTTTGTATGGCATAGATCATCCAAAATCGTAACTGTTCCAATCGCCTCATTATCAAGTCGATCATTTCGAAACGGGCATAGGGTATACGTCTCTTATGGGAACGAGCAAATTGTAATTTTTCCAACGTCGTTATACCCCATTTGACTTTTAATAGAAAACAAAAAACTTTATTATAGGCTTTAATGTCATCGGACGATATGATGTGGGAAAGTTCCCGGGTGAAATTATACGTGACGATTAGCTCTTCGACGGCTTCAATAACTTTGGTGGTTTGACAGCGGAATGCAGAATTAACTTCCAGGCAAAATAGCATGGACATTTCGGGGTATTTCGAGCAAATGATATCATCCAATTGCATGGTAAGTAATGAACGATTGGCCCATGATTCACCAGATTCAATCTAGAAAATGTGAGTTATATAAAATATGGAAAATCTGATTCAAATGTCAATTAGGATAATCACGAATGCATTTTCCTCTTTGTTTAAATTAAAGAAAAATATTTTTCTTTTTGTGCAACTAATTTTTCCTTGGTATTATTCGTGATTGTCCTTAAGGTATTTTTAAAGTACCTGGCTAAACAGTTTACTGTAGAATATATGCATAGCATCGCTAGCTTCCAAAAGCATAACTTTACGAATATTTCTTAAATGTTTCAGGATCATAAATTCTTCCCGATAAAGTTTCAGCACAAAACTGTTAGCAAAAGCAATACGCATTTTAAAAATATGGCTCAATGTAGAAATCAACAACTCCTCCAGGGGTAAGATATTGTTATTGGCCTTTTTCTTGAGCGCCTCATAAATGGAGGAGGCATTTGTTTCTTTTGCTTTGGTTGTGGGGTCTTCTTCAGAATTTGCTTCTTCTTTAATATTTAAAGCAAATGCCATTAGCAAGTAGCTGTCCTTGGTTGTTAAACAATCAAGCAGTGAACTTTGTTTTTCTTCATTATTATTTGTGGTATTATTGAGTACTTCATTATAATAACCACTATCATTTGGCTCCATGTCATTGGAAGGATTTTCTCCTATTTCCCCAGAAGCCTGTGCCACTTCATTTTGTAAAGTCTCGACTTGTTTAAGAAAGTCTTCTATGAACACATTATAGAGTTTTCCACCCATGGCATCACAATTTTTACGCAAATCACCAATGCGATTTATTTCATACAACAAATTCAATGTTCTTCCAGCCTCCAGAGAATGTTCACGCATCAATTGAAATAGGCTATTATTCTCAATGACCTTACTAACATGGGTGGGTACAAAGAAAGACTTGCTTTTGTTTTTACGATACTCTCGCATACAAACAGATTGGTCGCTATTGCTAATCCTAGAGGAGTAACAAAACTTAGTATTTTACCCATAATACCTCCATAAATCTTACCTCTCCACAATATATTCCTGTTGCCAATCATCTAGGCGTCCATCTGTCCACCATGTATCAATAATATCGCAAAATACTTTGATACTGGACAACAAAAGCGACATGAATAAATTACCCTTGTCAACGCTACTCTCGTTTTGATAACAGTTCATAAGACTGGACAATAGAAAAGCACTTGTGATGTGGGCAGGATGTTGGCGCCAATCAAGAAACACCTTTTCATGCAACTCATATAGGGATTGCAACTGGCGAAAGGATTCATCCAAATAGGAACGCATGGTAACAAGGGTGTTTACTTCAAAATCCTTTGGTTCCATTAGACGTTTCTCATATTCCAAAATTGTTTGCCACACTGGTTTTAGATGCAAATGCAAATTGGCCGCATAGCATTCTAGTGTGCGTGGTGGCAAACGATCCTCACAGCAATAAATTGCCTTATGGAACTGTCTCAAAACGTTCATCATTTTTAGATAGGGTAAATACTGATTCTCCAAATATGTTTGAAAGGCATTCTACAACAAAAGTTAAATTTAAAATAGAAAAATTAAAAAGTTTTGATTTTCATTGTCCTGCCTACCACTCCACAACTGGGTATTGTTACATTTGGTCTTATGGCCAACTGTTTGTCAGCATCCACAACAAAGACGGCAGAATTTGTTGGCCTCTGAAATGACCATAAAATTTCACGCAGAACATGTTGCTCTGCAATAGTTATGGGCTCTTCGAAACGTATTAAATTATTTGACGTTTCACTTAGAAATCGACTATAGTCCGAGGCAAAATTAGCCAGAGGATGTTCACTCTCGATGGCCACATTGCAGTGGTCTCCCATTGCAGCTATCCACCATGAATGTTGTATTTGTTCATTAAGTTTTTCTTCGGCATTGGATGAATCAAAAATCGTATAGGGTAGTGATTTTTGAGGTGGTCTAAGTTCATGAACAACTGAGGGAGCAATGGATGTAATGGGTTTCCTTTCATTAATTGACAAATTTTCAACGGCAACCGTGATATCTTCTGTGGTATTCTCAGTAATATCATCTTCATTATCTGTCCAATCCTAAAGAAATAAATATTTTGCTAAAAATACATTTTGATAGCTATAAATTAGCTTACACTTAAATCCGAATCACTATTATCATATTTTGGAACTGGTATAAAATCCTCTTTCAGTACATTCAGCCAGTAGGCTTTCTCAGTATCTTTTACACTGGCCACTTCTTCACTTACGGCCGGTTTAATTTCAATTTTGTGTTTATTTTTCTTTAAGGCACCTGTGGGATTATAGGCCAACTCAAAGAGGAAATCCAACAGGGACCAATGGACATCCACTTCATAGTGATCAACACATAATGGATGTCGTACAACTTCATCACACAAACGTCCCAAATATTCGGCATATTCAGGACAATTTTCCACACAGAATCGTTCTTGAATGCCTTCGATTTTCCGTCGAACATCATGGCTATTTGTGCTGAGGTTTCGATGATTTTTTATAATGTTCCATGCAAAGTGAATGCAATGTTCCGTATTAATATCATCATCCTGGGCAGAAGGGGTGAAGAAAATAATCGTTAAATTGAACAATAACAATTGTAATAAAGATCTTATTAAACAATTAAGGAACGCTCCAGCAATCATCTTACATCAAACTCTGTTAGTAGTTTCACCAATGTTGGTATACACTCCAATATGATGTCGTTACGTTCATCTTGGGCCGACATTTGTAATTCTCTTAATATATAATACTAAATTTAAATTCAAACTTGTTTATTTTTGTTTAGATTATTAATGCTTGAAGAAGGAGACAGACACAAATTAAAAACGTTCCAAACAATACGAAACGAATGAGAAAATAGAATGCCTGATAAAAATAAAGCTAAAACAAATTGAAATTGTTTACGAATGAATGTGATGCATAGTTGTCGATAAGTGCTGTTTACGAATGATACATGAGAAAACTCAAACAGCTGAGAAGGCAGGGTACGATAAACATGCTTTGAGGTTAAATAGGGAACGATAGATATGCAACTCACGCGCTCCCATGAATGAAGGAAGGAGATTGTTTATGAGGTTCCTTGAGAAAAGATAAAAAGCAGACCCACACTAGATTATTAATACAACTCATATCTATATATATAAAAGAAAGTTGTGTTAGTTACTACGCTTATAACTTAAGAACCGCTGGACTGATTTTAACGATTCATACAAATTCGGAATTGTCTTCTGTCCGAAAAGGATAATATACAAAAAAATCGCGTAAAAATGTGATATATTAACATTTTCATTTTGACTTTTGAAATGTACAATAGTAATGTTTTATTTTGCATGATTTTTTCCATTTTGACTTACTTTTTTCTAATGTACATTTGTAGTGTTTTTTATATTTTATTTTTGAATTTGACTATTAATATAAATTTATTAAATGGACTTGATTTCTTGAGAACTGAATTTGATGGCGGGTTACATGGAAGTGTAGTACCGAATTATGTGGTGGCGAAACGGAATAGAGGATATCGAAATAATTTAACGCGGTCACACCAAAGTTAAAAGATAATTACTTTTTCAAAATCGGTAAAAAATCACGAAAAAGAGATCTCATTGCAAAAATTCTCAAATCGGGAAAAAATCGAAAAAAATTTTCAATGGAATCGAATTTTAAAATAATAGTACATTCCATTGACAAACTTTGTAAGGATCTTTAAACATTTGCTGTAAAAAATCAGCGAACAAGTTGAAGATTTTTTCAATTTGTTATTCTTTTTTTGTCAATTTTTTTCAATTTGTATTATCATATTGAATTTTTTGTGAACAAAATAAAGAATAATTTTTCACTACATACAATTTTATACAAAAATTTATTAGATAAGTGCGAAATAGGATGTTAACTGACATCTACCTTTCAACTCCAGGGCCTACATCGTGGTTCAGCTGGAAGATGCGAACACATTTAAACAAACAAAAATGACCGAAAAAGCCTAATGGGGCTCATTTAAAAGCGTGGACCTAATTCTTTCATGTGACAATAATCCGTCCAATGAGAGCTCAAAATGCAAAATTCTTTGGATGTACAATCAGTAAAATGCCAAATTTAAAGGGTGCAAAATAGTAGAGCGAATGGGACTTTTAACTTTTAATAAGAAAAGGATTTCTATCCTTCCAGAAATTCTTTCCAAACATTCAAGATACCTTAAATCGCTTTTGCAGGTAATGATATCGATCATAACTCACGGATAAGGGTACAACCCGATTTCATATTTATTTAAATGTCGTATGATTAAAGCTATTTTTGGGGTCTTGGCCACTTTTTTCATATTTTGGCTCTTATTTGGCATTTTTGTTTCTAAGGGGGTAGAGAACCTCTTCGCATAAAATTTTAAATTTTCAGAGTAGGGCCCATTTTGGTCTTGACCACATTCATTAATCGATTTGACTAAAAATTGTATTTATGCTACCCTGGATTAGGGAACCATCATACAGATAATTGCCACATCGGAATTTATTTAAGTAAAGTCCCCACATTGGAGTATCCCCAAGTCCACTTTCACATCTAATGTGTGGTCAGAAAAGAAAATTTTGTATTCTATTTAATTTGTAACCCCCGCTATATTTCAGCTATGACCGTGGTCTTGGCCACGTTTTTCAACTAATTTGGCCTTTATTTGGCATCTTGGCTTTTCTATTTTGAGGGTCTTGACCATATTTTCCAATCGATTTTGCTGTATTTAGGCTACTTTGTGAGTAGAGAACCGTCTTACAGAAAAATGTCAACATAGGTAAATATTTTGGTACAGTTCCCATATAGTCCCCAGGGCCGCCGATCTATAGTGATTTTTACCGATTGGCGGACAACAACATGGGCACTGTTGATTCGTCACTGAATTTTAGTATGAACAAGAACATAGACTTCTTCGGGACCCTAAAGCGCAATCTGAGGTGCTCTGGTAATGGGTGTAAAAGTGTAATTAACTTTGACTATTCAGAAATTATTTTGTCCTCCTTCCATAGGTTTTATTTCTATTTAGTCGGATAAATATTTATGTTAAAATTTGTTCACCTTTATGAGCCAGATTTGTGAAATATTATGCTACACAAAATTTGCATCAAAGACTAAAACTACGGGCCGGCAACGCGGACCGGGCCAGCTAGTAATTAATAAAAATAAATTCCCATTTATTTACTAACATGCTTGTACAACCAGAGTGGTGTTATTGATAAAGGGTGCTTTAGTTTAAGTAAATATGGGACTTAATAATCAAACAGGAAATGCGAGGATATGGGTACTTGTTCCATAGATGTACTAAATTTGCACTATAAAACATTTAACATCCATAAACCCTGATAATTGAACAACCACAATAAATAATGCCATGTTTACGTTAGAACTTTTTGTAGGTTTAATCTACTTTGAGAGGATTTATTTGAAGTAAAAGTAATGGATATGACAATTTAAATCCAAATCCAGTGGGTTAACGCTCATATATATAAACGTACTGTAAAATTGAAATTGGCAGATTCCTTTCATTTTTACACTAGATCTTTTATTGGCAAAAATAGAATCGGACACATTACTTGTGTGGAGGATTTTCCAATGGAAGTATAACAATATATATCTCCTTATGTCTAGTTTTAGAGTTTATAGAATTATTGGAATCAGCAAACATTAAAGGAAATGGGTGAATAATTGTATTAAATTATTGAACATATTAGGCTGTACCTTTTGGAAAAAAGTTATTTTAGAAGAAGAAGAAGTTTACATTTCACTATTTTAATAGATTTACCACTAAAAAGATAAAGAGACGTAGCCAAACTTAGTAAATATTTTAAATTTTGAAGAATTGTGCAGATTTCTCTTGTACTTCTTTTTGTAAACCATCGGATCAAAATTTATGAGTCCACATAAAAAAACTGAGCCATAAAAAAGTGCATAAGAATGATAAATTTTATTAGATTAACGTTTTTAAACTAGCCAATATACAGGGTGAGATAAAAAAAACTGTAAAAAAGTCAAACGGCATAATTTGTACATTTTTTTAAATGTTATTGAATGAAAGCAAAAAATGTCGGAAAAAGCATCAAATTTTAGAACAAGTTTAGATTTGTTCGAATTGGTCACCTTTGTTACGAATTATGGCCTTAAAACGGCCAATGTAACCGTCACACGCTGCCCGAATGTTGCTCTGCGGTATTTTGGCCTATTCCCGGCGAAGCGCTTGCTTGAGGTGATCGACACTTTGGTATTTTTTAGTGCCAACCTTGCTTTTCAAAATACTCCAGACACAATAGTCCAACAGATGGGTATCCGGAGATTTTGGTGTTCATTGTGCGCTGGAAATGAAGCGAGGAACCTCATTTTGTAACCATTCTTGAGTGGCGCGTGCTGAGTGCGATGGTCCTGTTGGAATGTCCAAGGTCTGCGGCCAAAATGTTTACGTGCCCAAGGCACGCCTTCCTTCCAGAATATTTTCGCGATAGTATTCGGCATTTATTTTGATGTCATGGTCGATTAATACGAGCGGAGAGCGACCATCGGCTGTTATGGCGGCCCACACTATCACCGAAGGTGCACATTTTTAGCAGACCTCTTTGGCAGTTTGTTTGTTTACAAACTGCTGGACAACGAATGTTTTCTCATCGGAGAAAACCAAATTCGGTAGTTCACCACTTTCGGCCAAGCGAAGCAACTCTTTAGCTCTTTTGAGTCTGTTTTCTTTCTGTTGCGATGTAAGTTCTTGCAGTTTTTGGAATTTCAATGGCTTTACCCCGACCTACTTCCGTCCACTTCCTTGACGTCGGGCTACGCTATCAGTATCACGTAATCGGTAACGAGCGATGGTACGAGACACAAAAGATTTATTCACATTTAAACGCTGAAGTGCTCTAACGATAGCCACTTGTGGTTTTCCAGCCAGAATTGAATTCCATCACGAATAACTTTTTTTCTGGAAAATTCTCACCAAAATGCTTTTGTACGTTTGTAAACAATATATTGAGCTGTCACTGGAATAATTTTAACAGCTGTCGGACCAGTGGCTTAGAAATGACAGCCATCTGTAGTTGGTTGCAGTTTTTCATCTCACCCTGTATTTTTAGATGTTGAGAAGATCAGTTACTGCGAATTAAATTAAAAAAAAAAACGAAAACTTTAATAATACAATAATAATCTACTTTCAGTTACAAGAATCTTACAATCTCTAAACTCAATTTCCAAAGGAAGATGAGCATTTCTCTGATTTTTATGTGATTTAAGAAAACCTTTCACAAATATTTTGAAAAACATTAAAATTAAGTGAAATTGTTTTAATTTCTCTGACGTTGTGGTTTTTCCCTGCTAAAACATATGCATACAATTAAACACACACACACAGAAACCCCTACTTGTTGTTGGTGTATAAATGCATTTTCCATAGACCAGACAGTATGGCACCAGACTGTCTGGAAAGATACATTTTAAATATTGTCCATCTCGAGAGCAAGATCCTTTTACACAAAACACATGTAACAGCCAGCAAGCAGAGTACTTTCTAGCACACATACAAATGCCAACACATGCTGAGCCTTGGACTGTCCGTCCGCCTGCCTGTCTGTCTACTTGTCATTTAGAATACTATTTATTTATTCTAGCCCATTCTAACTACTTGAAAATCTGAAGTTAGTTACAATTTGTTGCTTTACTCCAATTACAAGGACTCCTCTCCGGGCCTCCTCTTAAGTGCGGAATGGGTATGTGGTATTGAAATTATTAATATTTTCAAATTTGTTATTGTCTTGGGCAGCCAACAGCTCTCCCGTATTGCCTTCCACACAATAAATTTGTTCATCCAATTTTATGCATTTTAAAGATCAAATTACTTGGCACTGCCGTAAGTTGTTATTTGATAGGCATGGATCCTTTTCATTTGGGGGGTTTGGAAATTGTAGTCGTTTTCAAGGGTAGCAGCAGCGGCAGCAAGGCACGTTTCCATCCAGACATGTTGGCATCATGAAGAGGATCGTGGGTTCTCATTTTGAGCAGACAGTATGACTTTTTACAGCCTAAGTTCAAGGAAAACAACAGAAAATACTTGGAAAACATTGGTGTTAAATATTCTCATGTCTCTGGTGTTTTGTTTTTGTAAACGGGAGAGAGAGAGAGAGGGGGTGTATTCGACATGATCGTTGTTCCCAAGAGAGATTGACATGTGTTTTATTTAAAAAATCAATTTGAAAAGTTTGATTTGATTGATTTGTAAATTTGCTTTAATGGATTTTCATTATTTTTGTATAAATGCCAGCTAATGGATAATGTACAATAAACAATATTTTGATATGAGGAGAGGAAGCAAAAATAAAGACGGTGCGTGGCAATTATACGAAAGTGTTGTTAAATCTTAAGATCATCTCCACAATAATTTCGAATGTAACAAAACCAGATTTATTAATAAGAAAAATATAGAAGTATTCGTGGAGATATTGGAATTTGAAAAACAGGGAGAATGTTCTAAAACGTCACACCCAGTTGGTCAAATATTTTGCATTTTATGATTTTGAAACAAGTAAAAAGGGTTCCCTGTCATAACATAGTATTCAGGGTACAATAAAAAGGTAAGGAAAAGCTATCAGCTGCTTGCATTTTTCTTTCGAGTGTGCCCGATTTTTGTTGAATTTATAGTTGAATATTGCTCTGTTCCAGAACCAGCAAAAATATATAGTAGCTCTGCAATTTTTTTCTATATCATAAAGGAAAAATCGGTTTTCACTGTAAAAAGTTTTACTTTCTGGCAGTTCACGAACTAATTTTATATAGTTATATAAAAACTAAAAAAAAATAAATAAGTAAAAATCATTGACTAGGCGGAATGTAAATTGAGGGGCTCTCACTAGGAATATTAACCAGCTTTGAAATGGAATTGAAATTTTCAACCTTAAGGTAAGAATACAAAAAAGAAAAAGTTTTTTTACTGGCTTAAGTCATCAGCTGACTTTTTCGGAAAAGAAGAAAGGAGTGTAGCATTATGTCGACTTAGAATATATACACTTTATGGGGTCTACGACCATTATTTAGGGATGTTACAATCAGAATGACGAAGTTAATATACCCTTCTTTTCGAGGTGGAGGGTATAAATATGTTTTCTTTATCCAATGGCGGAGGGTATTAAAAATTAGAATTTAATGTGAGAATACATAAAATGCTTTCTGACTGGCTTAAGTCATCGGCTTACTTCTACGGAAAAGAACAAAGGAGCGTAGGGCCAAAATTGAACTAAATTAACCTAAAACTCCCTTGTTCCTATACTAAGAAGCCCCATACTAAGAAGCCGATGACAACAAACTTTTTATGTATTCTCACCTTCAATTTTTTTTACCCTCCACCATAATAATTTATAATTTTAGATCCAACAAAGTATTCTTGATCAGTGTAATTCTAATGCGATTTAGCCCTGTCCGTCTATTAGAATCACGCTAGAGTCAAAACAAATAAAGATAGGAAACTAAATTGTGCACCGATCTGTCTTTTGCCTGTAGGCATGCCAAGTTCGAAGATGGGCTATAAACCCCATATGATGATATGAATTTAACAACATTTTTCAATAAAATTGTCTGAAATTCTACACAAGGAGTTCTCTGCTAGTACTTTACCCCCTGCAAGGGAATTGTCTATCTAGGTCCACGATATAACTTTAACTCCCGACATACGGTATTTTGATGATTTTAGTCACATTTTTCAACGGAATTGTTTGAAAATCCACACAAGGATTTCCCTCTGAGTACTTTACCCCCTAGCACCCATATAACGCTAACTTGAGATATTCGGTATTTCTAGGATTTTCGCGACATTATTCACAGGAATTGCGTCAAATTTCATATTTGAAGTTCGTATTGGGTACTATAACCTACGACAAAAAATGCGTATGCAGGCCCACGTCTTCGTATAGCCTCCATATAACGGTATTTTGATGATTTTAGCGACATTATTCACCGGATTTGTTTCAAATTTCGTATTTAGACTCCGTATGGGAACTACAGCCTGTGTTATGAAATTGTCAATACAGGTCCACGTCTTAGTATAGCTACCATACAACGGTACCGCCCTTTATTCGGTATTTTGATGATATTAACGACATTATTCATCGGAATTGCGTCAAATATCGTATTTGAAGTTCGGAATCGATACTACAGCCTATAACAAAAAATCTTCGTCTTCGTATAACCCCCACATAAAGGTTTCATTTGAGCGGTATTTTTCGACGCGTTTTTATACCCTACACCACATAGTGGTAAGGGTATTATGTCTTTGTGCATTTGTTTGTAACATGGAGAAGGAAGCGAGATAGACCCATTGTTACTTTTGAGGATCTCCATAGAATCACTTTCTGAGTTGATTTATGCATGTCAGTCCGTCCGTCTGTCCATGTATTCTTGTGAACAAAATGCAGGTCGCATTTATTATCCGATTGAAATTGGAGATAATCGGAAAAAATTTTGATGTAGCTCCCATACATATCTTCGTTCGACTTGCCTTTTATTGTGCACCAAACGTGTAATATCAGCCCGAATCTTATGGAATTTTGTACATACAACCAAATTATGCCTGAAAATAAGTATGCCAAATATGATCGAAATCCATTCAGATATAGCTAAAGCTCCCATATATATTGTTCATCCGATTTGTTATTTTTGTCCTCCGCAGCCGTAATATGCACATATAACTTCGTCCGATTTACCTTTTATTGTCCAAATGGGATGGAATTTGGCACTTACGACCGAATTGAGTCAAAAAGCTAGTATGTCAAATTTGGTGAAGATCGGTTCAGATATAGCTATAGCTTCCATATATATTATTCATCCGATTTGTTATATTTGTTGCCCACAACCGTAGTATGCACTCCTTAACAACGATATTCAGGGAAATATATCAAATACAGCTCAGAAATATCTTTGCCAAATTTTATCGAGATCGGTTCAGATTTGGATATAGCACCCATATATATCTTTATCCGATTTCAAATTAATTGTGCACCAAATGGACAATACAATTCCGAATTTAAAATATACAAATGCTTCGGCATATTTAGTCCTTGAACTTTATATTATAATTATAATCATAGCGTGTATGATTGAATTCTCCCATAAAAACTTTTAATTGTTATGTGGAGCTCTACTAAATTAGCAAAGTTGTGTAGAGTATCATAAAGTCGGCCCCGCCCGACTTTGAGACTTTCTTTACTGGTTTACTGTGATTTTCTGTGCAAGCCATTTAAGGATATTTGTATTTTGGAAGCCCCAAAATGGTTTCTCATAACAAAAGAGAAGAAAACTACCTTTCTCTCTGGATAATTCTTGCAGGAAAATTACCCAGACAGCCTATACATCTTTAGACTGGCAAGATATCTCTGGTGGCCCAAAAAAGTTAAAAATTGTGGCAAATTGTTGCTGAAGTCGTCTGTAAATACACAAGTCCGCAAAAAAGAACGACTCAAGAGAGAAAATGCCTCAAAAATTTATTTTTGTAATAGGTGTACCAGTTTTTTTGGTCTTGCACGAAATGTCTGGAAAATTTTTTTCAGTGAGAGAAGATTTGCTTTATTCTCTTCGGGAAGAAAACTCAGAAAAGTAAATAGACAGAATACCTGTAAAAAATGTGCACGAAAACTAAACTAAACAAACCTAATAACATTAACGAAATGTAAGTGGTTTCCCAACTTTTCGCTACAAACACATTCCTATGAGTCCAAATTTAAATGTGCAAACCTTGCGGAAAAGTGCTTTTTGGGACAGATAGAAGGAAGGATTGAATTGATATAAATTTTCATTTTTTATGTAAATAATACGTTCGAGTAAAATTGCAACAAATTATGTAATCGATTACTATTTTTATTTTATTTCACTATATCCTTATTCTAAATCTTACAAATTAAGTATCACATTTATTATTTTTAAAATTTACAACAACAACACTAATATATATTATTGGCGATTTCAATTAATACCCATTATGGCTTCTATGGAAAAACTTAATTTGGGTTTCTTGGCCACCACTGTTTGTGGGATTTCTTCTACACTTTCGATTTTTTCTTGAGCAGGTGAGGTATAGGGATTTACGAAACTGGGATTCAATACAGGCAGATTATTGATTGTCGTAGTGGCTGGATATGGCAATAGATAGGGAGCTTCGTATTCATAGAACATTGTTTGAGGCTGGGCAATGGAGCTAACTACAGCGGCATTTAGGAGGGTAACATCACTAACTTGATTCAGTTCAGGATCAGCAAAGGCACGTCGTTTGCGTATACGCTCGACCAATGGTGAATTCCAAGCGGAAAAATGTTGATTGTATTCTGGAAAGGAAAATGGAAAAAAGAAGATATAAAAATTAGTTTTTGGTCACAAAAAAAGTAGGAAATAATTTCAAAAGCCTTAGAGGCATCGTTTTTTTTTTTGAAAAACATTTAAATTTAAGCGAAAAAATAAATGATTCAAATCTCCACTTACTTTCCATGGCAGCATTGGCATACAGTGTTGATTGCTGAACATTCCTTAATCGCTGTTTGTAGATCTTTTTCTGTTCAATTAAAGCTTCCTGGGTGCGCTGATATACTGCGGAGGCAGCAGCTGCAGCTGGTTGATGACACGATTGGCTCGAATTACTATCATCCGAGTGAGTCTCATATCCATTGGAGTTGTTTTCATCAGCCAATGTGGTCTGTTGGCGCCTTAAGGCCACTTGGGCTGCCATAACCCTTTGCCGATCCACAACCAATTGACAATTTTGACAGGTACACTCACGCCAACGACACAGCTTTTTATGACCTTTGACACAGCTAATGACGCCATGATTACGACACCGGGCACATTTTGGCGTGCGCAACATGCGACGACGTTCCTTGTTGGATTGTGGGGAGCCCGAACCCGATGTTGATGATTTTGAACTGGACATTTCGTCGGATGAATATGAACAATTATTTGGGGATAATTCCGTTTGGTTATATAACATTTTTTCGTTTTTTCCGATATTTTCACTTGTATTTGTTAATTATTTTCGCAGAATGTTTGTTGTGTTTCCTTGTAGTTACTTTTTCAAACTGGCCTTCTGAGGCTCTGCGAATGTCCTCTTATACCCAATTTTAAGGATTCTCTTCTTCGTTTGGACTCTCTCTGGAAAAACAAATGAAGAAAAATCAGGCAGACAGTGTGTCGTCTGTGGCCAAGTGGATCGTTCGGCCGTCGTAAATTACTTCATTTGGGGAAATTTCACACTTGACTTGTTAAACACACACAAGGCACTACCTCTTCTCTAGAACATAACGCCCAAATCCCATCTGCCCTGTTTTGAGATTTTCAAGTGGCCCAACCGACTGAGTGCTGCTCATCTGCTTATGTGTCCGTCCGTCCGCTCGCTTGCTTGTGAACATATGGAATTGTGGGTGTCACTCTTTCGCTCTCGCATGACGATAATGCCTTCACGATCCCGCTTTCACACTTTCCTTTTTATTTTTCACTTTTGTAGACGTTGTGTCTGCATTCTTTTCAATTCTTGGTATCGGATTGGTCATTGGTTGGTTGATTGCTCACTCTCTTTCGGAAATCTAAAAATAAATGAACCAATAGCTTTTCTCTGCCGTCAATATTGTCACATTATTTCACACCCTTTCGGCCAGAAATAATTAGCATTTAATTGAAAATCATTTTCAATATTTTCTTTAAAAAAAAAATTAAAAAATTAAGCAATGTTTTTTTTCGGGGTTGTTTTCATAAACTTTTGGATTTATTTTTCTCTTTCTTGGTTTTAAATATTAGTTCAAATATTAATAAATAATATCTTAAATATCAACAATCAATTACAATTAGACATCTCTGGTTTGTTCTTCATCATTCATTCAATACGATTTTCATTTGTTTTTGGCATTCTGTTTGGAATTTGAATTGTATATTTGGTGTAGTTATGTATATTTGTGGTTATTTTTTTTATATTTATAATTTAATAAATATGTTATGTATATCTTTTTATATTAATAAATAGAATTTAGAAGATAAAGAGAGAGAAGAAATTTACCTAAATTTTAAGAAAATAAAATAAAAATAATAATAATAATAATAATAATAATAATAATAATAATAATAATAATAATAATAATAATAATAATAATAACAAAAATAATCAGTATGATATAATAATTTAACAATTATAATATGAACAGTATGTAATAAATATAAAGGCAATAAGTCAGAATAAAAAATAAGTCCATTTCCATGACCAACATTTCCCATAACTAAGTTCCATGAACATTTGTTTTTATAACTTTTCGTTGGTGCTAATAAAACAAGTTTTTTATATATCGTAAAAATTATTATTATAAATAATGACATATAATTATATAAATATTATTATAAGTTATAAATAAATGCCAACAGTGTTCTAAAAGAAAATATTCTTATTTTCTTCTCAGAATCAAGATATTAAAAAAGAAAAATAAAAAAATAAATTTGGCATTGAGAGAAGAAACAACTCAAAAATTCTCACAGTTTAAGCCATTAGTTGATTTTCATTTTCCTTTTTTTTTGTCATAAATATTTGTAAGTTTTTAAGGTAAATATTGTTTTGCATGTATTAATAATAAATATGTATTTCATTCAATATATTTTGATTTAATATAGATTTTTGTTATTGTTAATAATTATAATTTAACACGTATTAGATACTTTCAACAACATTTAGTTTTATTTTGAATTCATTTGTTTAGCAATTATGTTAGGTATAAAAAACTTGGTTTTTGGTCATAATATTTTCATCGCTTTTTATTTAATAATATTTATATTTTTATAGTTATATCGCTTGTTTGTAATGTGTATTTTTTCAATAGAAATTTGTATAGAATAGTGATTATAACAGAGGGGACTGAGAGTTAAATGCAAAGAGATATATTGATAGAGAAGTAGAGAGAGAGACAGACAGTTTATGTTAAATCAGTGAGATCAGTGAGTATACGTGGTGAGTGGTAGTAAATAACAGGTGTAAATTCTCTAATTTTAATTTTTTTAAAAAAATGGTTAAATATTTATGTAGTTCATATAGAAATATTTATTGGTTTTTATATTCTTTTTAATTTATTAAAATAATAATAATATTAAACGATTAACCTGTACTTAATATAATTTGTTTTGTAAAAACTCATACAGAGGGAGAGAGAGAGGCAGTAGTACTCATCAATAGATAAGTTTCATTAGGCAGTTAGATTGGTTATTTTGAGGAATTTAAGGTTACGTTTACATTGGATACCTTCACCGTGGTTAACGATCTATCATAATATATTTGGCATATATTTTCGGGTATTTTATGTCAAATTAATCTTGAACGAACACTTTAACATGATATATGGCGAAAATGTAAACTTGACCTATGATGCCTTACGTCCAATGAGCTGAAATGTTTTTTCGAGGATAGAGCTTTGATTTAAATACTTTATACCCTTGAGAGGCAGTTATGGTAAATGTAATAAATACAAAGGTAAATATTTGAAGAAATGAACATGTTATTTATAAAAATCAAACATTTTAGTGCAAATATGACACAAATAGTTTCAGATGACTAAAAATATGGCTTTAAAAATTAACGAAACTATGAACGAAAATTATGACAGAAAAAATCCTCTTATGTTTTCTCACCTTTTACTATGGCATTAGTAGCATGACATATTTATGTCAAATTACAAACGAGGGCAGGATTAATCCCTTTACAATTCCATGGAGCATTTTTCTTTTTTCCTAGCATAAAAAAAATTCCCACCAAAAAATAGTTCCGAGCGGAAAAAGTAGGTATCATAAATGCTATTTCACCTGCAAAGCTAAAGGGATTTTGCAATGAAATTGAAATATTCTTCCTGGCATCAGAACTGTTGCCCAATTGGTGGTGGTGCCCGACGCTTCAAAAAGTATTGATACAATTATGGAATGTTATATCTCATTCTGTTTAAAGCTTTCTGGTATCACTGCCACCGATGTAGCAAAAGTGGGGGCACAAAGGCCGACTCTCTTCCGAAATTGGGAATTTCCTTGAAAATGCAATTTTTTGTCGCCAATTACCAACTTTTGGACATATATTGGCCATTTGATGTACAATTAATCCGAAATCGGTTGAAGATGGAGCTAAATCCAAATCTGATCCGATCTCGATAAAATCTAGCAGAGGTATTTCCGAGCTCTATAATATATCTGGAACCAAATTTCATTGTTGTCGAATGCAAATTAATAATGCGAGGGATTTGAATACCAAATCGGATGAAACCTATATATGGGAGCTATAGGTAGCTTGCTTCTAGACTGAATTCGGTCGGATGTACCAAAATTCAGGTTATTTCAACTTAATTTGTTCATTTGGTGCACAATTAACCTGAAATCGGTTGAAGATATATATGGGAGCTATATTCAAATCAGATCCGATCTTTATAAAATTTGATACACTTATTTCAGAGCTGTACCTGATATCTGGTACAAAATATCATTGCTGTCGGATGCATATTACGTTTGTGAGGGATATAAACACAAAATCGGATGAAACATATATATATAAGCTATAGTTATATCTGAACCGATTTGTCACTGTATGTACGTGCATTTGGACTGAATTCGATTGGATGTTCCAAAATTCAGGACTTTTGGACCGATATTGGACATTTGGTGCACAACCCGATAACCCGAAATCGGGTGGAGATATATAAATTTGAACCGATTCTAACCAATTTCAAAAGGGTTCGTCCTTGGGCCAAACAAATATTGTTTGGAAAATTCCATCTCAATCGGTTAATAAATGCGACCTGCATTTTGTTCACAAGAATACATGGAGTTACGGACAGGCGGGTGGACATGCCTACATCGACATAGAAAGTGATTCAATGAAGATCCTCGAAAGTAACTATGGGTATATCTCGCTTCCTTCTCCATGTTACAAAAAAATGTACAAAGACATAATACCCTTAACACTACGTAGCGTAGGGTATAAAAAGTACCTAAGAAAAATCATGTGTAAATTAAATAATACCACAATTCTTGGCATATATTGACCATCTAAATTCTAAGAAGTAATATACAAATTATTCCAAAAAATTATTCTTTAAGACCTCGATCTCAATTTTATTAAACTTACATTGAAATAATTTAAAATAAAAGTCGAATAAAATAACTAAAAATCAGAAAAATATATAAAAATGTTGAAAATTCTTTCTAAATTCTAAGAAATATATCAAAATGTTAAAAATTCGGACCAAATCGAGACTTTTTTTCGAAAATAGAAACTAAAGGCTATATCTTTCGAAATGGCGCCCAACAAACCTACATTTTTTCCATTGATATAATTTTGATTGAAATTTACAAAAAATGAAATTTCAAATAAAACCGAGATTATCATTTTAAAAACGAAAGCCATTCTATTTTAAAATGGCGACAAACTAATCTTCATTTCATCATTCAATAAACATAAAAAAAGTTTTGACTATAGTTTCCGCAGTCGAGGATAAAAGGGGTTTCAGCTCACTTGGACTTTATGGCGTTAGATTGAAATAGAAAGAATGGGGAGGACTTAGAAATTCCAAATATTTGATTACTTAACAATGGCACATTATTCTAGTTACATAATTTAAGTTATTGTTTTAAATACGAAATATGTAGTTTTTGTTTGTTTGCTTGTAATAATAATATTGTCAACAAAAAAGGATTTCATATTTAGTTTATAAAATCCTTGTGTAATCAATTCCTTTATCAATTCAAAAAACACAACAATTCTACTGATGAGTAAACAAACATAACCACATCCATCCATTGAAGTGGTGTTTTAAATTTTTTCCCTCATTTGTTTCTTCTTTGAACTGTACTTGCTTGCTTAGAATACACTATTCCTTTTGGCACATTGAATACTGGAGTGTTGCACATGCACACCACTGCTATCGCCCTCGATTCCTGATTTATTCATTGTGGAACCGCCACGCCTCAAAACATGCCACATGGCTACCGGTTTCCTTAGAGATGAAAGCATTTGATGCCAATGCCGTAAACCCTTGCCATTCGAACATGTACTGCCGGCAAAAACATGACCCAGAGGCGTTACCGTTGCCGGATCATCCTGTGTTGTCCCATAGACGGTTAGACGTATTTGAGCCGTGGTTAGACTTTGTGGCGGCAAACTGAATATCACAAATTCATTGAAAACTGGGCAACGATCTTTGCGTTTCAGCGAAGTTCGTTTCTTGAGAACCTTTTTGTCGTTGTTCATCAAATAGACCTGTCAAAGAGAGAGGGAGGGCGAGAGAGAGGCAGAAAGTGACACCCACACACACACTCGGTAATTCAGTTGGACAAATAACCGTATAATTTGAGTAATTACCTTAACGAAAATGTTTTGTATGTCATGCATAATATCCGGATTTCTTTTGCTAGGCACTCTCAGTTGCAGGTTACGGGCCTTGACCACCACAATGGTAATGCGTTCCGCCGTCGGCAAATATGAAAGCGAAAACATTAGTTCACCCCATTGGGCATTCACTTTGCGGGAATCGGTCAAGGGTATCCATGTCGTTGTGGGTTTGGGTATTTCACCAATTTCCATTTCAGCTTCGCCTGCGAACCGAAATAACACCAATTAATATTTTTTATTAATAATTTCCGGGAATTTCAAAACCAACCTATTAATGTGTGGGCATTGCCATTGTGAAACAAGTGGAACCACAACGAATGCCGGGCATAGTGTTTGCTGAGCCAGAAATGTAAAGCTTCATTATACGTCGGGGTTGAGGAGTCCTCCACGACCTGTGAGAGGGAGATTCTTTTGAGGTTAAATTTATTTTAATGAACCATATTTTCATACCTTTGTTTGCAGGGATCCCGTCTGATCCGGCACCAAATAGACTCGAACAAACGTATCTACTGAATCCACTTTGAATGGTAAAATTAGCCCCTTGGCTTCCAGAATATTAACCTGTAGATCCACACCCTGGGGTGTTATTGAATTTCTGAAAATGGAAAGAAATGACAGAAAATTGTCTGTGCAGCTCTACGTCGTCGTATAGCCCTCATATAACAGTACCTCCCTATATTCGGTATTTTAATGATTTTAGCTACATTATTCACCGAATTGTTTTATTCAAGTTTCGCATTTGAATATTTTAATGGTTTATAACAACATTTTTCTATGCAGGTCCACGTCGCCCTAATATAACGGCTACATTCGGTATTTTTAAGATTTTAACAGAATTTTTAACGGATTTTATTTTTTTGAAAGTTTTCAAACTCGTCGGCCCGAACTTACAGCCTTACATTTTTGAAGAAGCTAAATTTCAGTTTTATTTTAAATTTTCTGAAGGACATTCGGACTAACACAATGTGAATTTATTTTAATTCTTTTAAAGGACCTTCTGTCCAAAACAATGCGGATTTGTAATAGTTTTTGAAAGACATTCAGATCAAAGAAAGCTTTTCTTTAAATATTCTTCAGACTCAAAAACGTGAATTTTAAAACATTGATTTCTAAGAATTTGTTTTCAAGGACCTTTAGAAGGGAATTTTTTTAAAAACTTTTTTGGAGACTTCGGAATAAACTCTGCTGAGTTTTGGGGAAAAAATTAGAGACTTATCTTTTCCAAAGACAACTTGTATTTTTCAAGGACAACATGGATTTTTTAAAATATTTTTTAAGACCTTGTGTCTTAAATCGTGGACTTTCTAAAATGTTTTTTTTTAAGATCCTTTTAAGGACCTTCTGCTTAAAAGCGTGATTTTTTTCAATATCTTTTTCAAGGACATTCTGTCCAAAGATTTGGATTTTTTAAAATATTCCTTCTTTGAATATTCTATTTAAGAACCTTCTGCCTGAAACGTGTCCTTTTCTAAAAATACCTTTCAAGGACTTTTGCCCAAAGACGTAGACTCTTTAAAATATCCCTTTCAATGGAGATTATGTCCAAAGACGTGGCCTTTTAAAATATCCCTTTCAAGTACATTTTGTTCAAAGACGTGGACTCTATAAAATATCCTTTTAAGGACTTTATGCCAAAAACATGGCCTTTTTGCAAAATTATTTTCAAGGACAAATTGTCCAAAGATGTGGCCTTTTTAAAATATCCCTTTCAAGGACATTCTGTCCAAAGACATCGACTTTTTTAAATATCCCTTTCAAGGACATTTTTTTCAAAGACGTGGAGTTTTAAAAATATCCGTTTAAATGACATTCTGCCTAAAACGTGGGATTTTAAAATATCCTTTTCAAGGATATTCCAAGGCGTGGATTCTTTAAAAAATCTCTTTCAAGGACCTTCTGAAAGATGTGGACTTTTTAAAATAAGTAAAAATAAGTAATAATAAGTAATAATAAGTAAATAAGCCATTCTGCCTCAAAATGTGGCCTTTTAAAGACATACTTTTTAAGGACTTTTTTGAAATATCCTTTTCAAGGACATTCTGTTTAAAGACTTGGACTTTTTAAAATATTCTTTTCAAGGATCTTTTGTCCAAAAATGTGGACTTTTTTAAAACCTCATTTTCAAGGACCTTCTGTACAAAGACGTGCGCTATTTAATATATCCTTTCTAAGGACTTCTTAAAATATTTTTCTAGTAAGACGTGAACTTTTCAAAATATTTGTCTTCTAGGATTTTCAGTCTAAAACAACGACTTTCGAATGAAAAGAGGTTAATGTTTCCAGAGACATTTTAGAGAGACATTCGAGACTTCAAAAGGGAATATTTTAGAAGAACATTTATGGAGAATTAGCGGTAATTTTCAAGGCTCCAAAAGCATATATTTTAGAATGACTTTCCGAAAGGTTGAGGGCGGAGTTTTTGAACAGACCTAAAGAGAAACATAGAAGAACATTTTTTATAACATTTTGCAACATTGCAAACAAAACTACAAATTTAAGGGGTTTGTTTTTCAAAAAGACATTCACGCAAAGGACTTTTAAAGCTTGAAGTGTAGACTTTTTGAGGGAGGTGCGAGGATCTTCACCTTATAATCGAAAATGAATTTTTTGAAAACATTTTTAAAGGGAATTTTCTAAAAATATGTTTTTCAAAATCTTCCAAAAAGAGAACATTGTTTTATGATCCTTTTGACCGAAACATGGATTTTTAAGTATATTTTTAAGGTTTCTTAAGGACTGCCAAAGGTTTGAAAATTTTTTAGTGTCATACTCACTTATCATAGTTCAGTCCCACACATAGATACCCCGTAATCTGTGTATAGGTCGACTGATCAAAATCATTGCTATAGCCCAACGATTCATAATCCGAATCCACCGATTCACAGGATATGGCACGCTCCAATTTGCCACCATCCACCAGAGAAGTCATGCTGCCCGAATTCAACGAAGTCTGCGAACTATTGCGACGCCACAAGCCAAATGGCGTGTCCTCCTGCATCAGGAAACGGCTAAAATTCCACGATGACCCCGAGCCGCCATTTCCCATATCATTGCCATTAACATGCTGGCCATTGAGACCATTCGTTTGGGCCGCTTCCCCACCTCTGCCACCAAAACCACTGTAACCAAATTTCCGAAATAGAAAATCTTCCGATATTGTCTTTTGCAACATGTGTGGTCCTTTGATTTTGCGCGCCACATGGGCAAAAGGATTGCCAGGATTCGGTAGAGATTGGCCGGGGTTTTGGAAAACATTGGCCAAATTTTTCAATGAAATTATGGGGGAATCATCACCGTCCTTGGTCGGAACCTCGGCTTGCGAATAGGAGCGGCTGCGAAATGTAAACGATGCCGAGGAGGGTGGTGGTGGTATCTCGTTGTGGGAGGCTAAACTTGGTTTGCGATACGAGGAGATGGTGTGGTATTTCGTTTCCTCAATGAAAGGATTAGCAGGAATCGTTGTTGTTGTTGCCGATGTTGTTTTTGGTTCAGGTATGTCGTCATTGGTCATTGTTGTAGTTGTTGTTGGTATCTGATTGATATTTAAGGCATTGTTGCAGTTTGTTTTTGCTGTATTTTCTAGAAAAGGATTTGTATTGTTGTTGCTGTTGTTGCTATTACTCATACTACTGCTAAAGATGTTGGTATTGGCCCTCTGCAAGGGGGGTTTGTCCTGGCGCATAACAGAACTTTTAAAGCTATAAGGATTGTCTTCTAAGGAAAAACCATTTTGTTGAGGTGATTTTTTAACTACAGGTCGTGGTATGGCCGTTGCTGGAATGCCAGCGTTTCCATGGCCATTGCCACCCGGATTAATGTTGTTGTGATTCGTTGTTGCCTTTGGTTTTGGTGGTGCCTCCAGTGGTGGAATTTCTATGGGACTGCTATGTTTTAGCGCTGAAACTCCATTTGATGAGCGGAAAATATTGATGGGCTCCTGATTCGATATTCCCGCCGGACATTCATTTGTCAGCTGCAAGGAGAAGGTGACAATTTTTGTTTGACTGCTGCCGCCAGCTGGCGATGATGCTGCCGCCGGTGGCCCGGGTGCTGGAGCTGGCCTCAACGGTTGTGGTGGTATCTCCAAATCATTTTGTCCTAAATTCCACAGCGGTGTTGTGGCATGTTTGGGTGAGTTCTGATGTTGGGTATTTTTCACGGAGTCTTTGTCGACAGTATCGAAACGTTTGAAGCTACCACTTGAACTGAGAAGCAACTCCGAGCCGGAGTGAATCTGAAAGGGAAGAAAAGAAGGAATAAAGGATTTTTTAAGAAGTTTTGTGAAGGACGATTAGTAGAAAGGTTCTAAGACAAAGACATCCTGTTCAAAGACGTGGACTTTTTAAGATATCCTTTTTATGGACCTTCTGCCTCAAAGAGTGGATGTTTTAAAATAGCCTTTTCAAGGACATCCTATAAAAATAAGTGGGCTTTCTAAAATATCCCTTTCAAGGACCTTCTTCACAAAGACATGGACTTTATAATATATAATTAATATTCGTGAACTATCCTTTTTAAGTCCTTCTGCCGAAGAGTGACGTTTTAAAATATCCTTATAAAAGACATCCCGTAAAAGACGTGGACTTTTTAACATATTCCTTTCATGGACCTTCTGTTCAAAGACGTGGACTTTTAAAGATTTCCTTTTAAGGACATTCTGCCTAAAAGAGTGGACTTTTTAAAATATCCTTATAAAAGACATCCTGTAAAAAGATGTGGACTTTATATTATATCTTTCAAGGACCTTCGGTTCAAAGGCGTTGACTTTTAAGATATCCTTTTTATGGACCTTCTGCCTAAAAGAGTGGATATTTAAAATATCCTTTTCAAGGATATCCTGTAAAAAGACGTGGACTTTTCAGGATAACGTTTTTCAATATTATTTCAAGGACAACGAGGGCTTCTTAAAACATTTTTTGAAGGACAACGTAAACTTTTCACAAGGACTTAAAACAGGTTTTATAAGGCCTTTTCTGGGCTCTGATGTACAATTTTGAACAGGGAGGATTTAGAATGACCTTTTGGCTCAAATAGGGAATTTTTAAATGAAAGTTAGGAAGGATTTAAAATGACTTCCTGGGATCTGACGTAGAATTTTTAAAAGGACTTTAGGAAGGACTTATGAATGATATTTTATACACTTTCAAAAGGCGTTCCGAGCTTTTGACGTTTGTTTTTTGAAAGAACTACCCAGGTTTTATGTGGATTTTTTGAATGGACTTCCTGAGCTCTTGGCGTGGAATTTTAAATCGACTTCTTGGGCTCTGGCCCAGGAAGTTTAAACAAGACTTCAGTGAGATATTAAAAGCACTCTCTGAGCTTTTATAAAGTCTTTCTTAAAATAGCTTCCTACTTTTTGTACCTAAAATTTCTTAAGGGACTTCTTTGAGCTTTAGACGTTGTATTTAAAAGAAGAATTCTTGAGCTTGGAATTTTGGACTTGGAATTTTTTAGCCGACTTCTGGGGCTCTGGCGTGTGAAGGGAGGTTTAATAAGACTTCAGGGAAATTTTACTGGGACATCATGAGCTTTTGATGTGGCATTTGTAAAAGTTTCTCCTGAACTTTTGTCGTAAGGTTTTGGGAATTTCCTATGTTTTATGCGGTGCAACTTTTATAGGAAGTTTTGAGCTTTTGAAGAGAAAATTTTAAAAGAAATTCCTGGGTTTTGACGTAGATTTTTGTAAAGGACTTCTTCAGCTCTTGACATGAACATCTTTAGAGGACTTCCTGGACTGTTGGCGTGGAATTCTGTTATTGACTTCCTGAGCTTTTGTCATGGAATTTTTAAAGAGCTTCCTAGACTTTTAAAGAGACATTTCTAAAAGAACATCCTGAGGGGATTGTTGTGAGGTTTTCCAAGGACTTTCTGAGATTCTGACGTGAAATTTTTCAAAGGACTTTCTACGCTTTTGAGGTGAGATTTTCTTAAAGGGATTCTAGAGGAAGTTTTACTGAACTGAACTTTCAAAGGACTTACGAGGAGACTTGGGACAGGTTTTGGAGGAAGCTCCAATGCAATTAAAAGGAAGCTCCAATACAATTAAAGGAGGACGCATATTGTAGTGGGACTTTTAGGACGATCCTGAAGAACTTCCTGGACTTTTAATGGGACATTTTGAAGTGGAGTGAAGTGAAGTTTTTAGTGAGATTTTACTAGGACTTTCTGAGATTTTGACCTGGAATTTTTAAATGATGTTCATAACTTTGGACGTGATTTTTTTTTAAGGATACATTTTACAGGGGCATATTGAGATTTTAACTTGAAATGTTTTTAGAAAAAACTTCCTGACGTTAAATTTCTTAAAGGACTTCTTCAACTTTTGGCTTGAGTTTTTTAAAAGGACCTCAGATAAGGATTACTCTGGCATTCTGAGATCTTGGAAATTTTTACAAGATTTTTGGAATTTTTTAAAGGACTTTCTCAACTTTTAGACTTTAGGGAAATTCTACAAGAACTTCCTAAGATTTTTGAGAAATGCATATGACTTTTAGGACAATTTTAGAAGTACTTTTAACATTTTGCATCTCCTACTTACCATATATCCATTGGGTTTGAATAGCTTGTGTGCCGACAGGCCAATTTTTTCCTCCTTGTATGAGCGTGACCATATCGCCTGACGGTGGCCAAAGTAACGGTACAATAACAGTCCAAATATGACCAAACATAATGCTATCAATATGGAACTGGTTAGGGTCAGTGATGATGATTCATCCATTGTCAGTATTTGTTATTAGTATTTCTGCTCTTCGGTTTCTCAACAACAGCTGTCAAACATTTCACACCAAACGTTAGCCATCAACATGCTCCGCCTCTTCTGTAAAAAAAAGAAAACAACAAACCAAACAAAATAATTGAAAACAATTTCCGTCAATGGGGGGGAAGACTTCTTTCTCATGAATGGAATAGACTTTTGGACACCAGTTCTTCAAAGTGTGGAATAATAACAAAACAAACTTTTCCCTGCAATGTTCGATGCTGTTTGAATAGATTTTGAAATCAATTCAGAAATGTATTCTTCTTTGTCGTTGTCGTCGTCCTCCTCTCATCTGGTCTAAAGTTTCATTTAAATTAAATTATCAACAAAGTTTTTGTTGTTTTGTTTGTCAGCTTAAAATTCTAGGGCTTGTCCATCGTTAGATATCCCCATGCATTCAGCTATCCATCCATCCACCTATCCATCCATCCATCGGTATGTAGGGGTTATAGTAGATATATATTATTGCTTGGCCTGTGCGAAGAATTGTATCAATTTGCTTTCAGTTTTCAAAATCTTATGTTTTGAGAAATAATTCTCTTTGATGGCGTATGGGGTGCTTTCATGTCGTATCAGATTACAAAAGTGGTTTGAAATGTGGAAATGAAAATATTAAAGAGAAGTCATAAAGATGTTGTTGCTGTTACCATCGGTCAAAGACAATATGGCGTGGGCCCCAATCATATCGCCGTGCCATGGCGAAAAGGAAGAAGATATCACCTTTGAGTGGGCTGACAGATCCCAATTGATTTTGAAATGTGATCTATAGCATAGATCTGCCACTCGTATTTGTTTGGCGGATGGAAAATATCATTCAGCATTCAAATACAACAACAAGAAAATGAATAATTTCGAAATTAACTTTTCAAAATTTCAATTTACATTCATTGAATATCAGTTTGCTACCAATTGTTTTTAATCAAAAAAAATGTAATTCTCAGTTTTAATTTCAGATCATTTGAGGTCTTTCTGTGTAAAAGAAGAATGGAGAAGGTGTTTTTATAGAGAATAAGGCCAGGTTAAAGGTAAATGCAAAGTGGCGCCCAATATGAAGTTTAATGAAAAATATTTCTTTTCTCTTAACAGTAATTTCGAAAACATGTGAGATTTCCTTAAGAAAAGGCCTTGTGAAATTTACAAAGGGGAAGATCTAATGCGGCATTCTTATATAGAAAAGGGCTAAGTACCATTTGGCTCTCAATGTAAAGATAAAATGGCTTCAAACGTCCATTTGCCTCCAGAACCGATTCAATATTCAAAACATCTATAGATGTACCCTTTTGATGCACTACCGCTGCACTTTCAACAATTGTCATTATTATTTTATTTTCATTAATATTTTTACATAACTCTGCGTTGGGCGCCAACCTTATGAATATGTATTATGGGGCTGAAATTGTAAGCCATCTTCATTGATTTATATATTCTATTCAGATTTATAATTCAACTATGGGTTTGAATTTTCTCACATGGCGCCCAATGGTTTTCTGAGTATTTCCCAATATTAACTTTTTCATGTTAACTTCTCTTAGTACTGTTGCTACTTTAGAACCGTTAAAGGTTATAAAGTTGAAATTTATGTTTTTTTACTTCTTAGTCTTTTAAATAAATATCCTTAATATTTTTTCCAAAGAGATAATAAATAAATGTATTTCTTTACATATTACCATATGTCATGCATGCACTAGTGCACTACTAGTCTTTTTCTCTGTTGGGTATTTACCTTTGTGCAACATAAATACATACAGCTCACACACACACACATTTGTCACTCTCGTTTTGCCTTTATTTATGTTTGTTGATTTGGCTGAATTCTATAGAGTTTGTTTTGCTTTGCTCTTTTTTTACACCCCAGTCACAGTGCAATGTTTATACAGAGCTGGAAATGCAGCATCATAACCAAGGCAAACAACACCTACCAAAGGGACACGAAGAGGGTGTGAGAACGAGTGAGAGACCCAGAGTGTAGTCTGGCTAATTACACACGGCTGAATAACGGTCAAAAAGGCAATGTAAAGGTGTTAACTCAGGGTCGTAATGAGCAGCCCATTGCGTTTTTTTTCATTAATTTGCATTTTTTTCGCATTACACCATATTCGTTGGCCTCTCAGAAAGGGGAATTTACTTTTAATTGAAGAAAAGTGATAAACTCGAACCGCGACAAGGAGATGTGGAATTTCTCTCTGAGATTGGGAAGGCCGATTTCAAAGCTGAGAAAAATCGTAAAAATCGATTATTAACGAGAAAATTATATATTTTACAATTTATTTTAATTCCTTTAATCAGTAATTCTCTCCAGAATTCGTAATTAAAAATTATTAGATGAAATTAATAAAAAAAAACAAGTAAAAAAGACAGATGTATACTTTCAGCCAATGTTCGATTATTCCTTGAATATATTTTGACTTCTGTTATGATTATTCAAGTGTTTGACCCTCTATGGTGTCGGTTTCGAAGGAATGGGTTAATATTGTCCATTTCGTATCGGACCTAAATACAAATGATATAAATATTGCGACGTGCCAGCTTTGGACTATATCGAGTATTTCCTTCACTTTATATGAGATTTGTGATAATTTTTAGAAAATTTTAAAATGTGCGTGAGTTACCAGATATAGTAGACCGAAGTATTTCATTTTAATACTTCATCTAATACAGATAAAAATATTCCAATGGGCAAAATTACAAGAAAATCGAACATTTTTATCCAATTTCATGCGAAATCATAAATTCCAATAAATTCCATATTCATATCAGTTTTCTGGCTGAGAGCAATATTTAGCTATATCAATTTGTAAAGAATCGCTGACTTGTTTCGCAAGTTATGGCAAAAAAAGTATTGAAAATTGCATCCCTTTGTGGGTGAGGTACCAGAAGGGGTCCTTCATGGATATTCAAAAATTTGACTCTTTGTGGGGGTGGTACCAGAAGAAGTGGGCCGATATATTCCATCTTCACATCCGACCTTGATTTAATAAAATTATAATGATGTGTATAATTTGAAGATGAACGGACCCTTACATCACATTTTATAAGAGTAAGGAATGGTCAGATCTCTACCATCTTTATAACAGATCTTGTATTGATAGTAATATTGAGATGCGCCGGCTCTGAATTGAATCGAATGTTAATTTCGCGTTTTCAATATTTTGACCCTTTGTGTGGGATAGACCCAGAGCTTGTGGTGATAGAAATATTGAGATGTGCCAAGTTTGAATGGGATCAGATCTTAATTTCGCGTTCTAAGAGCTTCATGGATATTCAAAACTGTGTGTGTGATTTGAAGACAATCGGACTCTTACATCACATTTTATAAGAGTTATAATAATTCAATATTTTGAATTGCACTGATGCAAATATTAGGATTTGCAAAGTAGGAGCAAAATCGGATTATCCGTTTTCTTTCTGTGCAATATATTTTTTTTTGATGAGGCACGTTGTGGACGTATCAAATGATACCCTCTCTAGCCAATCGTTATTGAAAAATAAGTAAATAAGGAAATTCGTGACTAAGGGATAAGTTGTCGATAAGCAGAACTCAAATTGTTTATTAAATTACCGCATCCTTCTTCACTGCACTAATTTGAATCTAATCCAATAGGTCTTCCCAAAACATCTTATCGATAGAAGCAAGAGAGCTTGTAATTATTTCTAACTAGAGCCCTACGCTGTTAGCCAAACCGAACGCTAATTAGCGACAGCATACAGTAGCGTTCACAATGGAGCGGCCGCATTGTCCTGCACAAAGTTTCTTGATTTTCTTTACGGTCTTATACTTGCAAAGATAATATTTTTATTTGTGGCGCTCATTTTAACCATTATCGCACTTATGAAAGTGTAGAATTTTTGACACTGGCTTTATTCGAGGCGTTTAGTGTCATTGAAATATAATGCATTTTCTTTGAAGGATGTTTGGAAATGTTTGCAGCTATTTTTAAGTAGCGTCTAAAAAATATTTAAAGGAATTATAAAAAATAAATAATGAAATTCACTATTTATATAATCAAAATAGCTTATTTTATATTTGGCGCCCAAGTCTAACACATTTCTTATTCATTAAAACAAATTTAAAATTTTGTATCATTTCCGAAACTTGTCTTTTTTTGTATTGATGATAGGTATTGTGTTTGTGAAAACTTGGGATAATTGTGACAACATTTATTGGGGTTACTATGGTGTGTGCATTCGGCGACATTTTTATGTTGCAGCAGCAACAATACAAATCCGGAAGATAATAAATAAATGCTCATTTTTTCTGATTTTGAATCAATGCCAAAGTTTCGGCTGAACTCAACAACGCATTCGTCTTCCTGTCTTCCTCGATGATGTCACTGCGAATGGGTCAAAGTGCGTTGCCAATTTAGTTGGCTCCAGCAATTGTCGCGCCAATTCCATATCACTCAATATCATCAACAACAGCAACAACAAAGCGCTGGGAAATGGTGTAAACATTACTTTTTTGCAGGAGACGAGTCGCCGCATGCCCAAAATTGTTGAGCCAGATGCATCGACCACAGCCGTCATTAGCAACAGCCGTTGTGGCTGTGGTGCAACGGCTGCGGTGCCGTGTTTAACACATTAATAAAAATATGAGCCTATGAAAATGTTCAACAACCAAAGCAAATGCCAGAAAAAAAGCACAAACAGCAAGAGACGAGAAAGTAAAACAAAACAAAAACATCCACACACACACTCACACACAAAAAATGGCAACAACAAAAAGTTTTTCTTTCACTTTTTGCATGGACCCATAAGTGGAACATTGACTGTTATTAGAACTTTGACACAGTTTGAGGTTTCCAAACCGCACAGTATATACCACAATTTGATTCCGAGACCAAAGTGAATGAGTGCATCAGTACCGATTGAAAGCAATATCCCAGTAAACAATTTTTTCCGACTGCTCTGATTTTAGATTTTTTTCCGAAATTTCTGACGTTTTTTTCAGAAATTTCTGATAGAAATTGGTCCGATTTTCTAAACGTTTTTTTTTGGAATTTCTGCACATTTTCCTGTGTTTTTAAGCGAAAAAAACTCGAAAAATGTATAAACGGAGAGAGTAGATTGTCTATTGCTCTGGTATATTCTCTCCCACATGTAAACGGATGGTGGTGGTTTGACACATTCTCTCCCATAGTAGTTGTTGTTGTGATCATTCATTTCAAGATCTCAACAACAACAAAGCGCAAAGCAAAAATGCTATTTGTTATTGTTATTGTGAACTGTTAGATTTTCCGTTGTAAAAATGTGCGTTTTGTTGTTGTTGTGAATCAGCCTCTTTCTCTTTCGTTCCCAAAAAAATATGATGGAAAAAAATTGCAAAAACAACTACATAACGGTTTTCTGTGTGCACTGCTTTTTATTTTTAGTTCTTGTTTAGCAGTTGAAACAGATACAGCAGATACAGTGAATTACAAAAATTATATATGTGTATATAATAACAACAAATAATTGAATTATCTGTTATCTGTTCAACTCTTTTGTGCATTAAAATACTGTATGTTATGTTCCTAATAAAAATAATATTTATAATGTAAATGTATTATAGATGTAATATTTAAACTACATTTTTACGAAACCCGAAATAAATTGTTTGTTTTTTAAATAAATATGTGTTTTTTTTTTCATTTTTAAGTGGTGTGACGATTTTTTCGATATTTCTTCCGAATTCTGAACGATTTCTTTCAGAAAATCGGAACTTTATCCCGAATTCTGAGCGTTTTTTTTTTTTTCAGAAAATCTGAATTTTGTTCCGAATTTTCTTTCGAATTCTGACCGATTTCTTTTAGAAAATCTGAATATTCCGCCGAATTTCCAGACGAATTCTGCCCGATTTCTTTCAGAAATTCGGAGTTGTTCTCCGAATCTTTTCCGAAAATCTAATTTTTTCTCCTATTTTTTCAAGAATTTTCACCGAATTCGTCCAGAAAATCTAATATTTTTTCAGATTTTTTTCAGAAAATCTTTCCGAATTCGGTGACCACGTCCATACAACTTTCGTACCGAAATCGGAAGGAATTCGGAATCAGAATCGGACTTTTTTTCAGAGATTCTGACAGAAATCGGACCGAATTCGGCAAAAATTGTTTACTGGGATGCCAGGCAAACAGCCACACACACACACTCAACAACATCACCAAGCCACCCACCCACCAGCAAACCATTTTCAAAACAATTCACAGCCATCATCAACAGAATATGCATTTTACATACCTTCAGCCAATCATACATAACCACAATTACACACATATTTATGTATGTTAAAATACAAATGTACATGTTCATTTGTTTTGTAGTAAATATGTTGGTGTGCTGGCGCTGCCATGATTCGCAATAGAACAATAGAAGTGAAACATTAAACTAACTTGTTTATTTCTTTGAGACATAAGATTTGCATCCTCTTAACAGCAACACAAAAACACATGCAAAAGAACAAGGAAGGACTACTAAATCCAGGTCAATTTGTTTAATCACTTTTTTCCATCACAAGCTCACACACGCAGGCACATAGGGGCTCGCACTTATCCACTCAAAGAAAATAGAAAATTTGTTGACTTTTGCAAAAAAATGAAAAAGTCCTTAGACATTTGGGCTTATCTTTCTTTTCACTTATTGTTGTTTCGGATTTCTTTCTTTATACACACATCTTTTCATTATTAGCTTTTTCTTGTGTTTAAATAAATAAGAAAAACAATAGATGTTTTTTCTTGTTAAATTTTTGCTACACCAACCATTAACTCGAATCACGTCCGTTAGCACCGTCTATGCGTGCATTCCATTGACAAGTCCGTTATCTACTGCCATTGTCGTCTGTCACACGTACAAGGAAGTTCTATTTACAACATGTAAACTTTTGCACAGATTTCATTTTATGCTCAGCTATTTAGTTGCTCATCGTCATCATCATAACCGAACAAGAAGAAGAGGAAGACAAAATACGTTGCGGTGGTTGTGGTTGAACGAACGATGAGCGCCACTATGGCTGCTGCTGTGGCCGTTTTGTGTTTTTGTTGTTCGTTTGGCAAAACGAAAGTGAATGTTTACATTTCATAAAGTTACCGTTATTCGTGTTATTCACTCTCCCAAACAAAATATGAAAACACAGAGAGTCGTGGTGGCATTGAGCTGAGAGCAAAAACACTAGAAGAGAGGAAACGGAAACAATGACAGAGCTTTGGTTTATGTCTTGAGCACAGTTGTAAAATTTGGTATTGTGTGCACGTAAATGGGAATGAAGTGGGAAATTGACATTTTATTAGAATTAAAAGTAATCAAAAACAAATAAAATATAAATTAAAACTAATGTATCATGGAGCACAGTTGTTGACGGCCCTAATGGTATGTAAATTGCTCCAATGAGAAGTGAAATACAACATAAGAGAGGAACGACATTCCGTTGAAACTTGAAATTCTTAAAAAAATATAGGCATGTATATAAGTATAAGTCATGCAAAAGAAAAACAAATATACTTCTTATATATTATTCAAATTTTTAATTTAAAAAAAATGTCACAGAACCAGCAAATACAAAAAAAATATTTGTAATGGTGTTTTTATTTCCCACTTACTTTTATATCGTAGTACAGAAACCAGCCTTTAAAACTCTCTGGCTCCAATTGCTTCCCTTTTTCCGTTTACCAATTGCTTCCCTTTTTCCGTAGCGCCACCTATATTACAAATTTTTTCTGGTGTCAATATTACGAACCAATCCAAAAACCACACCATAAGTTTATGTTTTCACGTAAATATGTCGCCCAATGAATAAAATCGATAGTTTAAAATGTTATATTTCAAGCATTTTTATTTATTTATTACCGATTTTTCTAAAATCCAAAATCTTTAAAATAAAATAATGACTATATTTAAAAAATGCATCTTTAAATAGGAATTACTAATGAACATTTATCATGTAATAAACTACTAAAGTGATTGCCATAATAGAATTAACAAAGTCATAAGGTGGTTTATCCTGTAAAATTAAAGTTCATAGAAAATAAGTTCCCATCTCTGATTGTGGGGATTTAACACCAGTACGACATTAGTCAGGGGTTTTAATAAGTTGTTCCAGTCGTCGTACCAGCCGTATTTTACTACTACTATACACACACAACCACTGCACACAATTTTTTAAAAACAGCAAGAAGTTTTGACATTTCAAACTAATAAATAATCGAAATTTCTTAAATGAAATAGACACGTCATGGTAAAATTAAGAAGGTAAAGTCATTTTATATGAGCATATCCATCCTGAGTTTTTCGTAGGTTATGTTGTCAAATTTTACTTCATTGAAATTCGTTTCCCATCTCTGATTTGTGTATGAACGATGAACGTTGTTAAAATAATTAATTAGTTCCAGAACCTGCAAGAATCTACTATTTTTGATATTTTTTCGATATCATAAAAGGAAAATTGATTATCGTAGCAAAAACATTTACATTCTTGAAGTTCTGAAACTGACCACATGTAGACACGAATGGAAAATATATTCTCTGTTCCAGTACCTGCGAGAATCTACTAGTTTTGCAATTTTCTCCGATATCAAAAAGGAAAAATCAGTTATCGTAGTAAAAACTGTTACATTAATGCGGTTCTGGATCAGACCTATAATAAATAGTTCAAAACAAACGGCAGCAGCCAAGAAAATGTTTATCATTGCTTAATACTACAGATTTGATAAACCACACTGGCAGGCAACTAATATTCAAGCAAAATTTTACATTCAAATATATTAAAGATGATATTTGCTATGTTCCAGTACCTGCAAGAATCTACTATTTTTGCAATATTATTTGATATTATAAAGGGAAAATCAGTTATCGTAGCAAAAACTTTTAAATTCTTAGAGTTCTGGAACAAACCATATATTAGCTCCTTCGATAACCATAGACATGCCGTTAATTTCCATCAGGACAATCTCATAAATAATTACTCTGTTCCAGAACCTACAGGTATGTAAGCACCTTACTACTTCTTTCTTTATGATATCAAAAAATAGTACAATTTAGTACACATTCCTATTGCAAAAAAAAACGATAGTAGCAACTAGTTCCGCGCTCTTTAGTAAAGATGTTCAATTTTCTCACGTCTCATTCCGTAAACAACAGAGTAACCCGAGTCATTGTCATTCGTAAACAACAGAGTACCCCTCCAATTTCTACCATGTCTGTCAAACTACGATAACCGATTTTCCCTTTATGAATGATATCGGAGAACATTTTTTTAATTCAATCACAATAATTACAATAATTGCATTTTGACGTTAAATTAAATTTTTGTTAAACTGGCATTAATCAAACACAATCATGACAATAAGCGTTCCTTGGGTTCTTACTAATCTTTGCGTTATATTTCATTGCATTTTTTACTTTTTAACCATCATATTTTTAGATGGGGGTTTTATGGTTAAGTGATGCGATTACATAGCCTCTCCTTTCCAGCTGTCAACCTCGCCCACACATGGTGACCCCTGTTATCGCAAAAGAGGCACTGGCGAAAACAAACTGTTTATGGTGTTTATGGATTTATCGACAGATAGCATGGCCTAAGTATGCCCCTTCCAAGACAGCTGATTATGCATTATTGTCAAGTCAACGAAAAGTGAATCGTCGTTCAATCATCATTTAGTCGTTTTAATCGTCGTAGTTTTTGTTGGGCAACGGCATAATTTTACGTATTTTTTGCAGAATTTTTTAACGAGCAAATAAAGTTTTACAATAATTTCAATTTTTAAAAAGCAATTATCTCGAATATAATCCAAATCTCATAGAAAATAAGTTTCCATCTCTGATTTTGGGAACCTAACACTTGTACGACATTGGTTAGGGGGTTATCTCCTTTTTAATGACAGTCAACTTTTCGATTTTCCACAAAAAGTAAACTTCGATATTCAACTTTTCGATTAGGACAACTAATCGAAAAGTGGAACTATATAGCCCTTCATTTGAAATTCTACTTCTGCTGCTTTTGACATTTGCATTTTCATTTTTTCATTCAATCGTCGTAGTTTTTTGGTGGGCAACGGCATAATTTTACGTATTTTTTACACAAATTTTTAACGAGCAAATAAAGTTTTACAATAATTTTAATTTTTAAAAAGCAATTACCCCGAATATAATCCACATCTCTGTGCACACAAAAGCAACGACAAGCAAACCCCACGGTGTGATAAAATGTATTGCTAAAAAGTGTCGATTAAATCTAAAAAAAATTAAGAAAAAATCTCGTAAGTCAGCAAATAAAAATTTTGCGAAATTTTGTCAAGTGAAATGCAAGTTCAAATGTGAAAAAGTGAGCAGCAAAATGAGTAAAGATTGATGGGATGGTGCAAAGAAATGCTGGCTGGCAACTTGTATAATCTAAGCAAAAGAAAAAAGTGACCAAAAACCCCAAATGCAAATCGGTAGTGCAATCAAAAATATAGCTTTAAATCGGAAACAATCTACCAAATAGTTGATGACACGCGTTGCGTTTTGCTGGGGCCAACAATAATTGTCAAGCTCCACAACAACTGAAAAAAATATTTGTGTTATTAGTAATATTTTTGTTTGTTTTTCCCCTTTTCGGTCTTGTGAGTGAGAGAGTGTCAGTGTGTCTGTCTGTCGTCGTCGTCAGGTGGAAGGTAAAAAGTGCGCATCATAGAACAATGCAATAGAAAGGCAATATAAGAAAATAAATACAGTGAATAATTGTTCGAAAGATTGATTCCCACAAAATTAAACCTTCCTTGACAATGTTTTGTGTTTTTTTTTCTAACGTCGTTGTGTTTGCCACTCTCTGGTGTGTTTTTTTTTGTACTCTCTCTTCAATTCGCTGTCGTCGTTTTGGTACGTGTGTTTGTGCACATGTTTGTAGATCTGTCTAGTTGTTGTTTTGAGACATGAAACTGATGGACGCTGTTCTCCGGTTAATGTTTCTTTTTTATCTCTGTATATGGTCAATATTTACTGCCATAGTTGTTGTTATGAATCAATGGCTGGCATCTGACAAGTTTCCTTGCAAGCAAAGAAAACAATTTCAAATTTTATTAACAATAATTAACAGATACCTATCCGCCTGTTATCATCGGCCTGTCATCTGTCATCTTTGCCCTCATTCATTTGTTTTGACTCTCTCATCAGAGTGACTTTTTGAAGCTACTACCGTTAATTGTGGTTATTGGTGCAACTCTGTGTTCGTGTGTGCTTGATTTGTGCAAATTGTTTTTGTTCTGTTTGTCGGAATGAAAAAGGGCTGCTGCATGGCACAGCACGGCATTGTTTTTGTTGTTGCCCCTCTGCCTTTTGAGAGGAAAATTTGTGTATGAGAATTCACATAAATTACTTGTTATCCATTGGCAATTAACAAACAATAATGACAACGACCGCCGCCACAACCGCCGCCTTTGCGATCCAACGACCTGTTGCTTGCCTCTCAAGATAGATGATTTGGTTGCTTGATGCCTATTAGGTACTCAGTATTCCATGAATCTATCGATTGCATGGTTAATTCCCCAATTGAATTTTATAAATCTAAAACGTGCCCGGTGGCGGTCAGTCGGTTGTGTGTTGTGGAACAAAATAAAACGAAAAATATGAACATTAGAAATCAACTGGTAGCCAGCTAATGAATGAATGAGTGCATGAATCAATGGAAACAGCAACAACAAAACAACAGAAATTCAAGTGCGTCTGATCTACTACTTCAGGTTTGTTTGTCCATTTGTTATTGGCCGTTTAAAATTGAATGTTTTTTTCGTTTCTTTGAGAATTGACATCAAACGGAAGGTCATCTGTGTGTGAACGTTGTTTTGGGATGGGGGCAAATGTGACATCACCAACAACATCATAACATCGAAGTTGTGAAGAAAATTATTACAGAAAATAAGAAACTGCGCAAAGACAATTGTTGTAGGCTATAATTCCCCAACTACCTCATGTAGATGTAATCGATTCTGTCCAAATTTTTGTTAAGAACGTGACGTGATTTTAGATATTGCTTTACATGTACGTGAAGAAGTTACAGCCTCAAGATTTTGTAAGCGAAACTTTATAAATTGTTGGTAACTTAACGAAAAATCACATCAATTTTAGGAGTTCGTTGGTCAGGTGAGTAGATTTAGCAACACATGTTCTAATCATTTAAAAATAATTTATAAAATTATTTAAAAGAATTACAAGCTGAGTTCTGGCGTCTCCAATGTCTTGCAAAACCTGTGGACAGGCATTTTAATTAATTTCCCCCAATGGTTCCACTGTCCAAAGCAGTAAGCCGAAAGACTTGGACAATTTTAGTCAACAAAATTTTGCCTTAACGGAGCCAAGAACAATTCTTCAGTTGTCAAGAGCCTTCATAAGGTTCCACGATCTAAAGAAAAAATTTCAGTATTACCAACAAAATACTAACCTGGATTATTTACGTACGAATGGCTTCTAGGTGCACTAAAAACATCTACACATGGACAGTTTCAAAAGTTTCTTTACATGTAAAAATGAAGTAAAGTTCTGCTGGACCGAACTTTTTATATACCCTTGCATGAAATCTTTATTTGAGCCTCTGGTCACACATTTAAATTAATTTCCCCAATGGGGTTACTATCCAATGCTGTAAGCCAAAAGACTTGGACTAACATGTAACACAATTTTGCCCTGACAGATCCGGAAACAACCACTTCATATATGTCAAGCGCCTTCATAAGTATCCATGGTCTAAAGATACCAGAAGGAATATTCCAATATTGTCCATCTTCACAACACATCTTGTGTTGATAGGAGTATTAAGCTATGCCGGGTTTGAAAGTAATCGGATGCTCATTTCGTGTTTTAAATTGCAAATGTTGACTCTTTGTGGGTGAGGTACTAGAAAAAGTGGTCTGTTCAATCCGTTCTTCTAACCAGTGGAATAATATTACGATGTACCAAGTTTTGACCAAATCCGCTACTTCCTTCGAGAGCTATCGTGCGCAGTAGTCAAACAGACAAACGGACGGACATCGCAAGATCGACTCCAAATGCCTTGAAACGGACTTCGTCCAAAAGACCTAGGCTCTAAAAACGTTATTTCGATGATGATGATATATACCCTCTCTAAGGGTATACAAATGAAGTAAAGTTCTGCTGGTCCTTTATTTGAATTGATAGTGGGGTCCATATAATTTAATGTTTGAAGATTATTTCATGAACATGTTGACCGAGTCTGCGCCTCAAATGGTGCGGTGTGGCACATGTTATGCAACCCATGCTTTTGCATTTTGGACTAACGGTAGTGTTCACAATTCACAGTTACGTTACGATTCACAGTATATCTGAAGAAATACGTACCAATGGTACCACCAGTCCATAAGCCGCACCAAAGTGAGACTTAATTTTTTTACTGGAGGCGATTGGCAGTCGATTCTCCCTACTTAACTACCTTTTGAGCCAAAAAATGAGATTCGTCGCTAAACTTAATTTTTTATAAACAAGTAAAATAGTATCAGACGGTTTTACCGACAGATGTATACCCCCGCCCTTGGCTTATGATTATTCAAACTGTCGACTCTTTATAGGGGAGGTTCCGAAGCAGTTGGCCAATATTCAACAACGTGCCAGATTTGGACTATATCAACTACTTTCTGTACTTTATGTGAGATATGTACAAATTTTTGGAAAATGTAGAAATATGTATGAGGTAACAGATGTCGCAGACCAAAGTATTCCATTTTCATACTTCATCTAATACAGATAAATATATTGATATGTGCAAAATTTGAATGAATTCGAAAACTACTATTTTCAAATGATATATACCCTCTGTAGTCATATGGCTGAGGGAATAAAAAGTGAATCTTCGTCTAACCCTCTTCCAAAAATTAAAATTCTGCATTGCTGTCGGTTGTTCGGCTTTAATGCTTATATCCGATTTATCATTTTTACCTAAATTATTTCGCAACATTTTTCGCGTTGCTGAGAAACAGGGAACAAGTTGGATCCTCATTGCATCCGCTGACTAGGTTGGTTCAGACAAATATTTAAATTTTGACTCACTGTTAACTTTTTGAAGATATAGAGGAAGTAGAGCTGCAATTTCACACGAAAGTTGCGGTCCATTTTACCGCTAAATATAATCCAGTGGTTATCCAAAATGCTGTACCTCTGCCCTGTCCTGAACTCTCTCCTTATTGAAAATTCCGTGTCGATTGGTTTTAAATTGGCTATAGAGCGACAGCAAGATCAGAAAAGTTTAATTTTTTGGTCCATTTGAACACTTCTGGTTTCGGCAGGATTAAAGATATTTCCGGTTAATTGAAAATTTCACCCGCTAAATAATATCCGATGACCATCCCAAGTGGTAGGCTTCTGCCCAAACCTCTAACTCCATGCTAAATTTCGAGTCGATTGGTCTATAATTGTGACCTGTAGAGCAACTGCAAAATCAATAAAAAATTTCTGTTTTTGGTCCATTTCAACCCCTAAATATTTGAGACTACCTCCATTGTATTGTAGGGTATAATCAAGAAAAACATTACCTCAACTTATTCTATCACCAACAAATAAGAAACCAATTCACAAAACTTTTTTTTCATATTTTTCTATTTTTAATTTGTCTAATGCTGATAATATTTAACCAGATGGGAGCCAGGAAGACTGACGTTAATAAGAGGTGAAAGTCGACGGCTTGTCATCGAACACATAAGCGTAGATCTATTAACCCTTGAAGCACTGGAAAGAAAATATTTTACTTATTTGCTTTAAATTAAGTAGAATTTTTGTCACGATCTCTAAATTTTGCATCTTTTTATTTATTTTGACGAATATTCTCTTCTTAATGATCTTAGTTTAGTGTCATAGGGTTAATGCAATTGCAAGTTGTTATGCAAAATAAAGGGGAAGTGGGGAGATGTTTGACATTTTAATAATAATAACCGTTTTTATTTTCTATTTTCAATTCAATTGTGCCATAAGAGAGTTCTATGGAATAATGAAGCAAACAAAGTAAATGTGTATGTGCACCTATATCTGTTCCGTTTGTTTGCTTTTTCAGCAATATTTTTTTATTGTCTACAAAATTTTGTGTTTTTTCCCCAAAAGCTTCACTATTCAGAAAGTTGTTGTCGTTGGTCGTTAAACATCCATACATACATACACACCTAATATACCTATGTTGTTTTGAGCTGTTCTGTATTTTTATAGATAGAAGGCAAATATTATTGATTTTTGCATGAGTTTGTAGGACTAGATTTAAAAAAAAAGCAGCTCGAGTATTTTCTTAGATCTACAATTTGGAGGAAAGTCTAAGATTTAGATTTAAGATGTAATATCAAAATTTAAACATTTAACTTGCCCACATAAGTTCAGTGTAACAATAAGAACGATATTCTTCATAATTCGATATCACAATATTTCTATGCAGATTAAATCTTCTATGAACATACTATGTCTGGTATCTGTCCGACCAAGGAGATTGAAATGTCATAAATGACATACAAACTGAGCGGAAACCACAAATTATACCGTACAAAGTTTGAACGGAGATGTACCAAAAGAAGATTACCAAAGTATTTCCTATAAATAAACTAACCATTTCCTGACTCTCCCCAATTTGTTTGAAATATGTTCGATTTTTTACATTCCCGTTGGAATTTTTACTAATTCGGTTTTTATACCCTACATTACATGGTGGGTAAGGGTATTATGTCCTTGTGCATTTGTTTGTAAAACGGAGAAGGAAGAGATAGACTCATAGTTACTTTGAAGATCGTCATAGAATCACCTGAGTCCATTTATGTAGGTCAGTCCGTCAGTCTCTCTATGTATTTTCGTGAAAAAAATGCAGGTCGCATTTATTATCCGATTGAGATAAAAATTTCCAAACAATATTTGTTTGACCCAAGAACGAACCTTATTGAAGTTGGAGAGAATCGGTTCAAATTTAAATAGAGCTCACATATATATCTCCAATCGATTTCGGGATAATTGTGAACCAAATGGCCAATATCAATGCAAATGACCTGGATTTTGATACATCCCACCGAATTCAGTCTGGAAGCAAGTACGTGATACGTGATATAGCAATAGCTTCCATATATATTTTTCATCCGATTTGGTGTTTAAGTCCCTCACATTCGTAATATTCACTCCAAAGGGATGATATCTGGTACCGCATATCAGATACAGCTCTGGAATAAGTGTATCAAATTTTGTCAAGATCAGTTCAGATTTGGATATAGCTCCCATATATGTCTTCAAACGATTTCGGGTTAATTGTGCACCAAATGGCCAATATCGGTCCAAATGAACTAAATTTTGGTACATCCGACCGAGTTCAGTCTAGAAGCAAGTACATCAAATTTGGTAAAAATCGGTTTAGATATAGCTATAGCTCCATATATATACAGGGTGAGATGATAAAACTGCAACCAAATTCAGACTGTTGTCATTTCTAAGCCACTCGTCCGAAAGCTGTTAAAATTATTTCAGTGACAGCTCATTATATTATTTACAAGCGTACAAAAGCATTTGGGTCAGAATTTACCAGAAAAAAAGTTATTCGTGATGGAATTCAAGCGTGATAGGGTGATTTTTTTATATTTGGAAAACCACAAGAGGCTATCGTCAGAGCACTTCAGCATTTAAATGTGAATAAATCTTTTGTGTCTCGTACCATCGCTCGTTACCGAGATACTGGTAGCGTAGCCCGACTTCAACGAAGTGAACGGAAGAAAACAGCAACATCAGCAGAAATGCTTCGAAAAGTAAAGAAGCAGTGGCCGAAAAATGGCTCGTGAGCTGAACATATCGCAACGTTCCATTCGGTAAATATTGAAAAATGAGCTCGGGGTAAAACCATTGAAATACACCGCAACAGAAAGAAAATAGACTCAAAAGAGCTAAAGAGTTACTTCGCTTGGCCGAAAGTGGCGAACTACCGAATTTGGTTTTCTCCGATGAAACAACATTCGTTGTCCAGCAGTTTGTCAAAAAACACAGAGGTCAGCTTAAAATGTGCACCTTCGGATGGCCACGAGAACTCTAGCGCCTGCCATGGTGATGGTGTGGGCCGCCATAACAGCCTATGATCGCTCTCCGCTCGTATTAATCGGCCGTGGCATCAGAATAAATGCCGAATATTATCGCGAAAATATTCTGGAGGGTGTATTAAAGCCTTGGGCACGCAAGCATTTTGGCCACAGACGTTGGACATTCCAACAGGACTCAGCTTCATCGCACTCAACACGCGCCACCTAAGAATGGTTACAAAATGAGGTTCCTCGCTTCATTTCCAGCGCACAATGGCCACCAAAATCATTGGTTACCAATCAGTTGGACTATTGTGTCTGGAGTATTTTGGAAGCAAGGTTGGCACTAAAAAATACCAAAGTGTCGATCAACTCAAGCAAGCGCTTCACCGGGAATGGGCCAAAATACCACAGAGCAACATTCGGGCAGCGTGTGACGGTTTGAAGGCCATAATTCGTACCAAAGGTGACCAATTCGAACAAATCTAAAATCCATTTGGTGGAATATTTATTTTATTAGTATAATCTCGAAGTAATATCAGCTACTCTATAGCAATGTTGTTTAAAAAGTCTCCATCAAATTTAGAAAAAAGTCGATTCAGAATTGGATATTCCTAAAATATATAAGTTCCCCTGAAACCAAAGGTTTCTGCTCTAAAGCCAAATATCAAATAAATTCTTTACTAAATATGCATAGTGTTGTAGGGTATCGTATAGTCAACCCCGCCCGACTTTTCAGTTCTCTTTACTGGTTGGAATTGTCATAATTTTGTCAAAGAGTTTCACATTATTTGAAAGACTGTAGTAATTTCACTTTCCATTGAGATTAGACCTTTTGTATTCCACACACCAGAAATTAGGAAACATCTCCCTTGAACGTTGACTTGTGTTTACATTTCACGTGATCCTTATATAGTATTCATTTCTGTCGGACACCCCAACCTCAACTTGTTTCTTCTTACATGACAATTGTAAGTAAACTTCGCTCAAGTTCAAGTACATTCGGAACTGTCTGACAGCAGCAGTAAAGCTTGGTGTGCTGCTCCCCCCATACAACGACGGACATACAAGGTATATAAATACATAGAATATCACAAAAAACAACCGCAACAACAATGTAAATAAATTCGGTATTAAAAATAAAAGTCTAAACAAGTTTTTGATATATGAACATATGTGTGTTCATTGCTTGTTGCTGTTGTTGTTGTTTTTCTAGATGACTGACTGATTTTATGATACCGCGCTTGGCCAGCGGCGTGTTGAACCTTCAAAAAAATAACAAAATTACAAACATACTTATTTACTTGTTTTGTTTATTTCGTACGTGTGTTGTTGTCACCGCCATCGCTGGCATTATTCATACCTATGCTGCGTATCCAGGTGCGAGCTAGCAAGCTGTTATGACTTGATTTTGTTTGCAATTACTTTTATTTGTTGTTTTTCTTTTTCTTTATTTTTCACTGATATACAATTAATTAAATTTTTGTTGTTATTCTTTATAAAAGACAACAAATGCTATATTTGTTGTTTGCATAATTTAAAATATTTCGCGGTTATTCCTTATCACTATTACACACACACACACACACACACACCTCGAATGTGGATCCACCATCATAACGGTGTGTGTGTGTTGTGTTGTCGGTGTGTTTGAGTAGTTTTTGACTTTTAACAATTAAATTTGGTTTTTTTGGAAGCAACGCCGCGATGACTCACGATAGCGCCTACAACACCACCATTCAGTTTCAATATCAGAAGATTGCTTTCTGTCTGCTAATGGTGTAAAACAAATTTCTTTCACACCTCCTTGCCATGAGCATCATTTCCATAAGACATGCGTCAGTCAGTCAGCGACTCAGCCAGCCATTCTCATAGACTTTCGTTTTTCAATAACACCTTGTTTTCCAGAAAATTGTGTGTCAATTTTCCATTCAAATCCGATTATCTACTGCAAATTAGGTCATTAAATTTGATTTTACATTGGAAACGTTTTTTGCTTTGTTTTGTTTCCAGAAGAATAGAAACCTGTAATGGATTAGTTTTTCTTGCGGTTGTTGCGGTTTTCTTGTTAGATACTAACACAACAAAGTCTGGCTCTATAAATGAGTATTAAAATTTGTTTTTTTAAATGTTAATAAAACTAATTTTCCATTACTAATAGGCAATAAAGTCACATTCTACATTGGAGCGTATAAACTTGTTTATAGTTGGAGTAGTCCAGTTATTGGATTATAATTTTCTTAAAATTCAAGAAAAATCTCAAATGTAATTAAAAAAACAATGAAATAAATAAAATCCAAACCTGACTTTGAGAACTGAATTTGAGATTCGAAAAAGGTTAGAACAAATAAAATAGTATCAGTCGGTTTTCCCAACAGATGTATACACCCAGTTATGATTATTTAAACTTTTGACCCTTTATGGGGGAGGTTTGCACATGTCTCCTATAAAATATAGGAAGTAGTCGATATAGTCCAAATCTGGCACGTTGTAATATTTAATCAGTCTTAGGCCGGATACGAATTGGATAATATTGGCCAACTATATTATCCAATTCGTATCCGGCCTGAGACTAAAAAAATATTACAACGTGCCAGATTTGGACTATATCGATTACTTCCTATATTTTATATGAAATATGTGCAAATTTTTGGAAAATGTGGATATATGAGTGAGGTGCTGTTTTCATACTTCATCTAATACAGATAAAAATATTGGTATGGACAAAATTACAAGGAAATCGAACATTTATATCGAATTTTATGCGAAATCATAAAATCCGATAAATTACATTTTCATATCAGATTTCTGTTGAAGAGAAATATTTAGATATAGCAAGTTGTAAAGACTCTTCGAATTGTTTCGCAAGTTATGACTTTTATAAGTATTGGAAATGGTAACCCTTTGTTGGTGAGGTACCAGAAGGGGTTGGCAGATGTATATTATCTTAACAACAGATAACAGATGTTGTGTTTATGTAAATATTGAGATGTACCAAGTCTGAATGGAATCGGATGTTGATTTCGTGTTTTATGAGCTTCAAAAATATTCAAAATGTTGACCCTTTGTGTGGGAGGTACCAGAAGGAGTGGACGGAAATATTCCATCTTCACCCCAGATCGTGGGTTAATAAAAACATTGTCATGTGTGTAATTTGAGGAGAATCGGATGCTTATTTTGGATTTTATGATCGGTTTTTGGTATTCAAAACGTTGACCCTTTGTGGGGGAGGTACCAGAAGGAATAGTCCAATATCAGCCATATTTATAACAAATCTTGTGTTGATGGAAATATGATGAACCAAGTCTGAATGGAATCGGATAATTATTTCGTGTTTTATGAGCTTCAAAAATATTCAAAATTTTGACTTTTTGTGAGGGAGGTACCAAAAGAAGTAAAGTGATATATTCTTTCTTCACATCAGATCTTGGGTTAATAAAAACATTGTCATGTGTGTAATTTTAAGAGAACCGGGTGCTTATTTTGGATTTTATGATCGTTTTTTTGGTATTCAAAACATTTGACCCTTTGTGGGTGAGGTACCAGAAGAAATGGTGCGATCTCTACCATCTTTATAACTAATCTTGTGTTTATGGAAATATGATGAACCAAGTCTGAATGGAATCGGATAATTATTTCGTGTTTTATGAGCTTCAAAAATATTCAAAATTTTGACTTTTTGTGAGGGAGGTACCAAAAGGAGTAAACTGATATATTCCATCTTCACACCAGAACTTGGGTTAATATAAATATTAAGATGTGTGAAATTTGAAGACAATCGGACTCTTACCTCACATTTTATAAGAGTTGTAATTATTCAAACTTGGGTTGATATTGTCCATTTTCGCACCTGAGATAGCACTGATGAAAATATTATAATTCGCAACGTTGGAGCAAAATCGCATTATCCTTTCTCTTTCTGCGCAAAAAATATTTTCTTTAAAATTTTTGACATTTTTTGTGAGAGGTATCAGAGGGAGTGGACCGATATTGTCCATCTCCGAACTCCATCAAAGTTTGACAATAATATTACGATGTAACAAGTTTGGACCAAATCGGATACTCCCTTCGAGAGTTACCGTGCGCACCAGCCAGACAGACAGACAGACGGACGGACGGACATCGATAGATCGACTCCTAATGTCCTGAAACGGATTTGGTCCAAAGAGACCGTTACCTTGACTAGGCACGCTGTGGCCGTATCAAATTATGTAGCCATATAGCTGGTATTTTGATCTGAAAGTGTTTTTTTTTTTTTTTTTTTGAAATCAAAAAATAAAAATAAAACTAGGAATTTGTTGCTAAAGTGGGTTTTAAAGAATCGAAGTTTGAAGTTGGTCTTTGAAACAATATTTAAAAATCCACGTATTTAGAACTGAAGATGGATGGATGGAGAATTTTGTAAATTCTTACGTATTTGTATGACAATACTTGATTGCAACAGAATATGGTCTTCCAAAAAAATTTTATAACCATCCAATACTATAGGGCCACAAATCTTTGCTTTCAGTTTTTTTTTTTGTTTTCATAATTTAATATTTATATACCCATCCCAACGTATCTCTGCTCCACAGACTCATTGTAACAATAAAAATATTAATTATTCATAGACATTTATAACTTTCAAAGCAATTTTGTACACTTATCTGCTTAATGAGGTTGTTATCTAAAGATAAATAAGGAATATATGATTAAAGCGAATTTGCCAAACGATAATTTATACTCACTTTTTCACATTTCCAAGGAAAGCAAAAACCAGAGGAATTTTTGAATTAAAATTCCATTTCTAAATAAAAAAACTCAGATATTTTAATTATTGCCTTTATACCTTCTTCTTTTTCCAACAGCTCTCCATAAATCTCTTCATAAGTGTTTTAATCATAAAAGGAAGTTAATATATTTCAACGAAACCCAATTGTGTGCCTTGCAGAGTGCTGTGCTGTGCTGTGTGCGTGTGTGCCTGCGGCGGACACAAGGAACGCAAAAACACCTTGAAAACAAAAAGACAGAATGCAGTTTTTTCAAAAAATTTTACTTACATTTACTCTAATCATCACACTAACTTCACACAAATGTTTAGTCTATAGCAGTGGCAGTTCACCGGGTGACACAATAGCTGGTGGTCAGATACCGGCGTCGGGGGCGCAGCTGCAACAGCAGAAGGCCCCGGCGGCGGTACATCATGCGTCACAGGCGCAACATCAGCATCAACAACAGCAACACCAGCAGCAACAACAACAACCGCATCATCACCCGCAACAATACCAACATCAGTATTCTTCCCATGGCATCGGTGGCGGTGGCTTGCCACATCATCAGCATCCATCACAAGCAGCTATTATAAATAGTCAACAACACCAACCGGCTGTGTATCACCAGCAGCCATCCCACAGTGGTCATGCTGAACCTAAAAATACCTATAATCTGTTAAGCGAAGCCATGTCACAGGCTGTTAGCAATGAATTTAGTAAGTACTCCAAATACGATTATTTTTATAAAGCCCTTAAACTTTGCATTTCCCCCCTCTTTTCTAGGCTCTCTAGGAAGTGGTTCTGCCGACGGTGCTTGCCATGCTGATGATATCGATTGTTACAATGTCCAAGATCGTTTGGGCATGGAGGCCATTAGAACTTTGCATCAACAGTTAGATGACGATGATAATGGCAATATTGATTTAAGCGAATCCGATGATGTAAGTCTTTGTTGACTTGTCTTTTGTTGTGAGTGTCATTTATAATTGCATACTTTCGCCCATCACAAAGGTGGCTAAGGTGTGCAAAGGCACACGACACCTTAAATGTAGTCCAGTTATTTTTGTCTCACAAATTTTATTGTCTTAATATGGTAACCCAAATACCGTGACGACGAAGTAATGTTATTGAATTGGAGGTTTCTTTATTTGCGGCGTGTGTACTTTTTGTTGTGGGCACGTGAAAACAATCAACATTGCCTGATTATAATTTGGTCAAATATTTTAATTAGTATTTTGGTTTAATATTTTTTTTGAGTATTTAATTGTTTTTTTTTTTTTGTAGGACAGATAGTTAAACCTTGAAAAACAATGATTGAGGGTTTTTGTGTAAAGAATGTCGTTACTGCAATACACACACAAAATTCAGTCCTCAAAAGAGTCTTAAAGAATATAACTCTAATTTTTCGAATCTCTTGGACATTGTCAAAAAACTTTCGGCTTTCGGCTTTCCTATACTTTATGTGAGATATGAGGAAATATGCGTAAAGTTGTCCATTTTCATACTTCATCTAATACAGATAAAAATATTGGTATGTGCAAAATTTGAAGGAAATCGAACATATATATCCAATTTTGTGCGGAATCAAAAATTCCGATAAATTCATATCAGATTTCTGGTTAAGAGAAACATTTAGATATAACAAGTTGTAAAGAATTGCCGACTTCTTTCGCAAGTTATGACAGGTATAAGTATTGGAAACTGTGACTCTTTTGTGGGTGAGATACTAGAAGGGGTTGGCAGATCTTCACAACAGATCTTGTGTTAACAAATATGTTTGTACAAGGTGAGATAAAAAAAAACTCCAACAAAGTCAAACGCCATAATCTTTAAATTTTATTTTCAAATTTTATTGAATTAAAGCAAAAAATGTCGGAAATAGCATCAAATTTTAGAATAAGTTTATCTTTGTTCGAATTAGTTACCGTTTGCACGAATTATGGCCTTCAAACGGCCAATGAAACGAATGTTGGTCTACGGTATTTTGGCACATTCCCGGCGAAGCGCTTGCTTTAGGTGATCTACACTTTGGTATTTTTTAGTACCAACCTTGCTTTCCAAAATACTCACTACACAATAGTCCAACGGATTGGTATCCGGAGATTTCAGTGGTCATTGTGCGCTGGAAATGAACCGAGGAATCTCATTTTGTGATGGTTACAAAATGATCGATCAACTCTCTTCTTTACTTTTCGAACCATTTCTGCTGATGTTGCTGTTTTTTTTCGTCCACTTCCTTGACGTCTGGCTACGCTACCAGTATCACGGAAACGAGCGATGGTACGAGACATAAATTATTTATTCACATTTACATGTTGGAGTACTCTAACGATAGCCACATGTGGTTTTCAAGCCAAATATACAGAAAACACACTATCACGCTTGAATTCCATCAGGAATAACTTTTTTTCTGGAAAATTCTCACCAAAAGGCTTTTGTACGCTTGTAAACAATAAAATGAGTTGTCACTGGAATAATTTTAATATCTGTCGGACGGGAGGCTTAGAAATGACAGCAGTCTGAAGTTGGTTGCAGTTTTTTTAACTCACCCTGTATTGTTGGGGTGTACCTTGAAAATATATTCTTACAAATCCAAGATTATTCTTGGGATAGTCTTTGCCGGAAAGTAGTCTCAAAATGAAGAAGTTTTTGTCTATGGCCTTAGAAATAAAATTTTCAAATGTTTAATTGGTCTAATTATCCTGAAGAATATTCCTAATAAATATGGACATGTTAGGATTATTCGACCTTTACCTGACTTTTGGAAATATTTGATTATTCATTGACCTCGACCTTGAATAATCAATTATTTCGAATTAAAATTTAATATTATTTGGCAATTGTTCTTTGGAAAAAATTTTATCTTTTTTACAAAAACGCCAATATTGGGATTAAATTTGACCATTTTGCAACAACAAAATTGCTTCTGTATCCTAACAAATAAACGTCAACACTGCCCTCTCCAAAAGATAACATTATATTAACCAATCAACCCTATATATTCACAAAATATCAAGTATTATTGCTCCTCTCAAATAGGTCCAACGGTCCTGGAAAAAAAATCATGAAAATAGGTTGAATGTTCTCCAATAGCCCAGCTAAATATTTTTTAAAGAATTGATTCCTATAACAAAGAGTATCAGATACATACATATATAACCCAGATAGTTTTAATTTTATTCTGCAAAAAAGTACAAAATTTAAATTCTTAATTCCAATATTTTTATTTGCTTGCAGTTCCTGCGCGAAGAGTTAAAATACGACTCGGGTTATGAAAAACGTCAAAAAGCTTTCCATTTCAATGATGATATGCATATTTCTGTTAAGGAATTGTGGGAAGCATGGTTGAGATCAGAGGTATGATTTAAAAATACATTTCCATAACGACTTCTATTAATTGACAAATCCAAACTTCAGGTGCACAATTGGACCATTGAACAAACAACAGATTGGTTGGCTCAATCAGTACAATTGCCTCAATATGTGGATCTATTTAAACAACATAAGGTATCGGGAGCAGCCTTACCAAGGTAAAGTGTTTCTCAATATATATTATTCTTATGTAACTTAATGATTTTAATTATTTTCTTTTTTTCAGATTGGCTGTTAACAATATGCATTATGTTAGTAATGTGTTGGGCATCAAGGATCCCATACATAAACAAAAAATTGCCCTTAAAGCTATGGATGTGGTACTATTTGGACCACCAAGAGGTAAGGCTGGGAATCTATCTACAAAATAATTTACTTACAATTTTGTTTCCTGTTTTCAGAGACTGGTACCCGCTGGAAGGATTACATTTTAGTTACCTTATTGTTAAGTGCTATAATAGGCTGTTGGTATGCATATCAACAAAATAAAAATGCCAAAAGACATTTGCGGCGCATGGCCCAAGATATGGAGGGTCTGCAAAGGGCCGAACAAAGTCTACAGGAAATGCAAAAGGTAACATTTAATTTTCCAATCAAAATTAACAACTTATTTTAACTTTGTCGTATTATTTTAGGAATTAGAACGAGCTCGTTTGGAGCAGGAAAATGTTGCCACCGAAAAAATGGATTTAGAGCGTCGCCTCAAAGAAGTACCCACCTTAACATCTTCCAATTCAGATTTGGAAGTACAACAATTGAAAAAAGAAATCGAAATGTTACGCACTGAGTTGTCGCGGGCCGAAATTGAATTGGTCGACAATTGTTGGGCCCCACCGCCCCAATTGCAGTCATGGCTGCAATACACCTATGAATTGGAAAGTAAAAATCATTTAAAGAAACGCGTTGCCGCCGAGAGGCAACTGCAGTCGGCCCGTGAAGCCTGTGAGAAGTTGCGTAAAAAACGTTCCAGTTTGGTGGGTGCTTTCGTCTCGACACATGGCAAGAGTATCGATGATGTGGATCGTTCTATTGTCGAGGCACGTAACTCTCTGGGAGAGGTGACAAACGAATTGCAAGAACGTCTGCATAGATGGAAACAAATTGAACAATGTCTGGGCATGAATATTGTCAATAACAATGGTCTATCGTATTTGGAAAGTGTGTTGTATGGCCGAAATGGTGGCGGTTCTTCCATTAAGAGTTCGAGAGGTAAGTTGTATTTGAATATTATAATTTTTAGAGAATTTCCTGATAATAAGAACAATTATTGGGGTTAATTTTAGCTTTGAAAGGTGCAAATTTGCTTGTGTTTTTGTCTAAAATGTTTGTAAATGTCCCTAAACTGATATAGGTGCCTATTTTAAAAGTAGTTTTGGTGTGGCCCGCTTTATGCTTTGGGGAAAACATGTCGCTAGAGATTTCTATTGCCATGTCGTTTTTTATTTTAAAATTTATATATCCAACAGAACATTTTTAACCCCCACCCGCCATGAATCCTATTGTTTTCCAAATTGGCTTCCTTGATTTGATTTATTGTTGTGAATGAAAGTCACTGGCGAGAAAGATATTTGGATGGTGAAGAACCTCAAAAGAGAAGTTCTATAAAATAACATTATTCGCCGACTTGTCTATATTCGAAAGTGAGAAACCATATAAAGACTTCGGCTTGAATTCCAAAAGTAGTGGTCCAAGGTGAGTGGTAGAAGACCTGTAGGAGGTATTTCATCTATAGAATTCATTTAGAAAATGTTCCTTCTATAGAATTTCTGAAAGTGGTATGTGTACGGAGGACGTGTAAAAGATTTTTTTACCTTTTGACTGCCCGAAAAAAACCTTTTACTTACAAACCTTCCATAGATCTAATATGGTGTTAATGGTAAATCTTCTACAAGTAGGAAAACAAAGAATTTGTCCTCATTTAGATAACTTTATAAATATTTTTATAGAAAGTGGTCTTGAGGTCTTGATCTTTACTAGGTCATGTATGTAGATAGGATACTCTAGAGAGTGAGATAAAAAAAAACTGCAACAAACTTCAGACTGTTGTCATTTCTAAGCCACTCGGTCGACAGCTGTTACAATTATTCCAGTGACACCTTTATATATTCTTTACAAGCGTGCAAAAGCATTTTGGTGAGAATTTTCCAGAAAAAGTAATTCGTGATGGAATTCAAGCGTGATAGTGTGATTTATTTATATTTGGCTGGAAAATCACAAGTGGCTATCGTTAGAGCACTCCAGCATTTAAATGTGAATAAATCTTTTGTATCTCGTACCGTCGCTCGTTACCGTGATACTGGTAGCGTACCCCAATAAAGTGGACGGAAGAAAACAGTAACATCAGCAGAAATGATTCGAAAAGTAAAGAAGCGACTGGATCGAAACCCGCATCGCAGTGCCCGAAAAATGGCTCGCTAGCTGAACATATCGCAATATTCCATCCGGCAAATATTGAAAAATGAGCTGGGGGTAAAGCCATTGAAATTCCAAAAAGTGCAAGAACTTACACCGCAACAGAAAGAAAATAGACTCAAAAGAGTTAAAGAGTAGCTACGCTTAGTTGCTTCTCCGATGAGAAAACATTCGTTGTCCAGCAGTTTAAAAAGAAACAAAATGATCGTGTCAAAGAGGTCAGCTGAAAATATGCATCTTCGGTTGGTCACCAGAACTCAAACGCCGGCAATGGTGATGGTGTGGGCCGCCATAACGGACGATGGTCGCTCTCCGCTCGTATTAATCGACCGTGGTATCAGAAAAAATACCGAATATTATCGCGAAAATATTCTGCAGGGTGTATTAAAGCCTTGGGCACGAAAACATTTTGGACATTCCAACAGGACTCAGCACGCGCCACCCGAGAATGATTACAAAATCAGGTTCCTCGCTTCATTTCCAGCGCACAATGGCCACCAAAATCTCTGGATACCAATCCGTTGGACTATTGTGTCTGGAGTATTTTGGAAAGCAAGGTTGGCACTAAACACTACCAAAAAAAAAAAATATAATAAAAAATTAAAAATTATGGCGTTTTGCAGTTTTTTTTTATCTCAGCCTGTAAAGTATAGGACGTAGTCGATATAATCCAAATCTGTCACGTTGTAATATTTGTGTCAGTCTTAGGTCAGATACGAATTTGTCAATATTGGCCAACTGCTTCCAAACCTTCCCCATAAAGGGTTAACAGTTTGAATAATTATAACTCAAGGTTGGGGGTATAAATCTTTCGGCAAAACCAAACTATTTTACTCGTTTTTTTTTTCTTTTTGAAAAACTTGGTTTGGAGATTTCTCTATTTAAAGGGATCAACTTATAGAAGATATTCTATTTATAGAAGACCTATAGCAACTCGTTTAGATAAAGAAGGTGATATTTGAAACCAAATGTATTAGAAGATTCCTTCTACTATTGTTATGCTCTCATATAAATTTAATTGTCTACTGGGAACTTTTTTGTTTCAATATTTTTTAATCTAACAATTGCCAATTTCTAACAATTAATGTCAAATTAAAATTGTAGGAAATTTTTAACTTATTTTAAATAAAAAAATGTGTGCTAACCACATAAATTAAAACAAATGTATATTTAAATTTTTTACAGGTCGTATTACTAGCAGCTCCGATGAATTAGATGATGAATCTGTTCAAGGTAAGCTAAATTTTGAAAACTTTTCCTTGATCTCTGCTGAATGAAACTACCTACCTACCTACAAACATACAACTGCTATCAATTCAATCCAACTACCGAACACCCTCCCGACCCACGATGTTATTCTTATTGAATGTGTGAGATAGACCTAAAGGAACTTAAGCAAGACAAAATCAAAAAACTTCTTCCGATCCAATCCATTTCAATCGTATATTATATCATTTAATGAATGACATTTAACGATTGTTAATGATTTTCCCAGTTTCCATATTCCTCTAAAACACCACCACTGTTATTTTGAACATAGATTTAAGATTTGGAGTGCAATAATAATTACGGCAGTTGACATGGTTATAATGAGCTTTTGTGGTTTTTCCCTTCGAATAAATATTAATTGGCGTAATTTGTTCATTATAACCCTGTCACGCTGGAGTTAATGTTTTAGTACTGAAAACAAAAAAGGAACGTTTCTTGATTGTGCATTTGATTTCGTTTTTTTTTAATATGTTAAGTTCTTCTACACCTGTTTCTCTCCATACAATCCCCCAAACCTCTTTACATTCTTTGCCAACGAGCGTTAAAATACAAAAAATGTTTCTTTTCTTTTTTGTTTTAATTTTTTTTTATTACCTGTTAATTGTTGATAGTTTTTAAATCTATTCGGTTTGTTTTTATTCTACATTCTTTTTATTAATTCGAAACGTACAAAATTCTCTTTGTATGTATCCGTTATGCCTCTTTTTATTTTTATTTAAAATTCTACATTTATATTTTATACATAAATATTTTACTTATAGCATTTCACTTAAATTTTATAATAAAAATCCAACTTTTTTTTATTATAATTTTAATTGTGTTATTTCCATGTTTTGTTGTAAATACAAAAAACAAGTGATATTTGTATCTACCCTGGTTTTCACAGTGTGTGGTTATTTCTAATAGAATGCTTTAATCCTTTCCGGTGCTTGCTTGTTATTATTAATTACGTATTTATTTGTTTATGGATTTAATTTTATTGTTATGTTTAATTATCAATTCAAGTCTAGTATGGTTATAGTGATTTATTTTTATATTGGATGATTTGTGTATTATTTTATGATGATAGTAAACTGCCCTGAATTGTTGCAGACTTGATTTATTAATTGTTCTTATATGGCCCAATAATGTACATATACATATTTACCAGAAACAAAGGTGATTTAAAACAAAACAAATATTGGCGGTATTCGGCGAGAGAGTGAGAGAGAGAAAGAGGTTATTGCCTGCTCCTTCTATGTTTGCTCATTGGCGGCGATAACAAAAACAATTATTTTCATATGTCAAAGGCAAATGACACAATAAATTTCCCCTGATGTTAACAGGGAAGCATCTCTTGTGACGTTGAAAAGGAATGCTATGGAATTCCGCAAACATTTATTTTATGGAAATTTATAAAAAGTTTATTTAATTTTCTGACCTTTTGGAAGATAAAAAGTTCAATTAAAAACATGTTTGCCATAGTCCGTAATCTCACATATTGTTGTGATCTTTTATTTTTTAAGGTGTGTTTTTTTCGGGGGAATTTTATTTTTTTTTCTTTTTTTTTTTGATATTAGAATTAGTAAACAAACTTTTTTATAACGATATTACATATAAATTTATCAAGCTTTAATTTTTATCATGTGATTTTCGATAGATAGATAAAACGACACCATGCCGAACCCGAATAGGGCGGTAAACGATTCGTCAATTTGATATCTGTTTTATAAGATCAATAGAATGACAATTGTTTTTCCTTTAATCTATTATTATCTATCACATTTGAACGTTTGACGCCCTGTGTCGTAGTAGCCAAACCTTTTCTTCCAAGGAAATACATTAATACCTTTTTTAATTCTCCTCCCGATTAACTTCATGGGGAGGAGAAGTGACACTAGACGTGTAGAAATAGACAAGTGATATTATTCCACCCTAGGGTTGTCACTGCTTACTCTGATTTCCTTGATGTAGTTAGGGAGAAGGCTCTCCAAAACATCCCTCATGAAATTTTTAGCTTTACATGCTTTTTCGCTGTTTGGCGACTTTACATAGAACTGTAGTGTTTCTAGGCATAAAAGATGTGTGGCCTTTAAAAGTTTAATCAATATTTATTGGAATGTAGTATCGTGTCTACATAATCGTAATTCATAAAATCCAAAAATTGGCGAGATGAAATGAAAAATATGATTAAAACCTAAACAATTCTAGATATTTGGGCTTGACCTTATATAGGACCTATACCAAAACGTAGACCGACGAAAATCTTTTTTTAAACCAATTCTTAAAGCAAGCCTTCAAAAGGCCTTAAAAAGTTTGGCCTTTGTCTTACCATATTTCTAAAATTATGCTTTATAGCATAATTTTGTATCAAATACAGCTTTAGACCTAAAATAAGTTTCTAATATATACAGGGTGAGATAAAAAAACTGCAACAAAGTCAAACGCCATAATTTTTAGATTTTTTTTAAATTAAAGCAAAAAATGTCGGAAATAGCATCAAATTTTAGAATAAGTTTAGATTTGTTCGAATTGGTCACTTTTGGCACGAATTATGGCCTTCAAACCGCCAATTAAAGCGTCACACGCTGCCCGAATGTTGCTCTGCTGTATTTTGGCCCATTCCCGACGAAGCGCTTGCTTGAGGTGATCGACACTTTGGTAATTTTTAGTGCCAACCTTGCTTTCCAAAATACTCCAGACACAATAATCCAACGGATTGGTATCCGGAGATTTTGGCGGTCATTGTGCGCTGGAAATGAATCGAGGAACCTCATTTTGTAACCATTCTTGGGTGGCGCGTGCTAAATGCGATGGTGCTGAGTCCTGTTGGAATGCCCAAGGTCTGCGGCCAAAATCTTTGCGTGTCCAAGGCTTTAATACACCCTCCAGAATATTTTCGCAATAAAATTTTGGCATTTATTCTGATACCATGGTCGATTAAAACGAGCTGAGAGCGACCATCGGCTGTTATGGTGCACATTTTCAACGGACCTCTTTGGCAAGTAAACACGATCATTTTTTTCTTTACAAACTACTGGACAACGAATGTTTTCTCATCCAGGAAACCTAAATTTGGCAGTTCACCACTTTCGGCCAAGCGAATCAACTCTTTAGCCTTTTTGACTCTATTTTCTTTCTGTTGCGGTGTAAGTTCTAGCACTTTTTGGAATTTCAATGGCTTTACCCCGAATATTGCGATATGTTCAGCTCACGAGCCATTTTCGGCCACTGCGCCGCGGGTTTCGAACCATCTCTGCTGATGTTGCTATTTTCTTTCGTCCACTTCCTTGACTTCGGGCTATGCTACCAGTATCAGGGTAACGAGCGATGGTACGAGATACAAAAGATTTGTTCACGTTTAAATGCTTGGGTGCTCTAACGATAGCCACTTGTGGTTTTCCAGCCAAATATAAAGAAATCACACTATCACGCTTGAATTCCATCACGAATAACTTTTTTCCTGGAAAATTCTCACCAAAATGCTTTTGTGTGAGCTGTCACTGGAATAAATTTAACAGCTGTCGGACGAGTGGCTTAGAAATGACAGCAGTCTGAAGTTGGTTGAAGTTTATTCATCTCACTCTGTAAATAAATAAGCACATTTTTTCTACTAGAAGTAAATGGGGTTGCAATATAGTCTTAACTTTTAATTTTTCTATTACATTACCCAGAAATTATCAATATTTCGTTGTCAGACATTTTTTTATGCAACAAAGATTTAATCGTATCTTTGCGCGTGGCATTTTTAGCCCGTATCCAAAAGAAGTCTGTACCGGAACATTTCGTTTAGTTTTTCCCCCCAATGTTGAAAATATTGAATATTCTTAAATCTATTATTACCTTAGTATCCGAACTTATTCAAATTGTATAAGGTTTGAAGATGAGCCATCCCTACAAATGGTCGAATGTGTAAAAGATAATAAATTCTACATACAGATCACCTAAAACATAAGACTATTGCGATTGCTATATTTTTGAAGGAGATCTGAACTAGAGAGGTTATCCAATACATTCCTTTTCCATAATCACTTAATGTATACTCTACGCTTTCTCTCTCTCTCACTCTCTTGACTATAAATCCCTGTTCGTTTTCCCTGTTTATTTGAGAAGTCTCTTTTCGCAAAAACATTTTTCAAGAGAGCATGAATTTTGAGTTATTTCATACATCATGTCCAACATAAAAGACAATTGTAATAAATTCGATAGAGAACTAGTAATCACCGGAAGGGATGTTAAAGTATACAATAGAGATAGAATAAATATTTTAAAGTAAGTATTGACGATTGACGGACAAATGAAAATCATAACAAAACAAAAATTCAAATTTCATCGCTTTTTTCTGTATACAAATCATTCTACCATATCTACAAAAAAAAAAACCAAGACTAATGATTTGAATAATTGAACAGAAAATCAATTAGATATTTCAAAGTTTTGAAAACCAAAACAGACAAAAAAACTGAGTGATGGGGTTTGCGACGACCAGGTAAGAAAACACCGGTGATTTGTAATTTGTTTGTCTATTTCTAATTCATTTTTATTTAATTTGCCACATTAATACATACATGTGTACGTGTGTTTGCGTATGTATTTTATCTGTCTAAAATGTCATGCTCGTTCAATTGTCTTTTGTGTTGGTTGCATGATGGATGCAAATTATTAACAATATATTTCTTTTTCAACTTTTCTTAAACCATTACAAAACTCATGAATTTACCAGAATTGATTAGTGGAAACAACCCGTACCCATATTTGTAACTAAAAATTTACCATACCATGGTGGGCTCATTTAATACAATACATAAACTTGTCGTTACCCCTTGTCCAGTTCCATACTTCCCCCTTCTCCCTTTCTATGTACGGCATTTCCCATTCTTTCTCCCTACCTCCTTCCCTCCCTTTGTTTGATTATCATATGTATATGTACTTGGCTGTGTCGAACAGTTTTAATTAATAATAACCAAAAAAACAAGCAGCAACATCTTCTAACAGCTAAGCCATACTACATTTTTTACTTGTCTTAACCACCCCGCCGTTGCCGCCCAAACTATTAATCTTCCTATTTAGCATCATCTATAGATTTTAAATTCCCCATATAATAGGTCTAAATGATTAAAAGTTTCAAGAAATCTTATATATTTATCCAGGTATTATCGATGGTTATAATCGTAATTCGGCCCTAAGCGGATCTGCCATTTTGAATAGTAGCTCGAATACGGTACGTGATGAATCGTCGGGCAGTGAGGACAATGTGGAATCTCAGTCTGTGCAATTTTATTTGGGCACAGCTCCAACGGCGACCATAAGCGCAAGTGCCGTCACAACGCCGGTAATCTCACAACGTACACCGTTGCCAACACCTTCGCCCCTAGAAGCGTACAATCACATTGGTGGTGTTGTGTCTAGCAATCATGCTGGAAATGTTGTTAATTCGAGTAATGCTGCTGCTGTTACTGCTGCATCATCTGCTTCCTATAATGACAGGTATTGTTTTGTTAGATAATCATTTTTTTCTCTTTTTTTTTTGCTAACATAGATTAATAATATTTATTTGGCATGTGTTAGTCTTAATTTCGCGAAACACAGTGCTACAAGTTTAGAGAATTGGGATTACTAATCAAAAGTGTGGATAAGACTCTCAAAATTCGAATATTAAGGCATATATTGGCTTCACGAAATTAATTAATTTGTGCTACGTCGAAGACTGCCATCCTTACAAAAGGGAGAATAATGAATATTAAAAATGTTATATGGGATTTGTGGGTGAGAATGGAATGTGATCCATTTTCCTTACATTACACCTTTTTCTCACGTGTCACCTTCATTATAAGTTTTCCAATATCCGGGCAGCCAAGGTGCCCGCCCTCTTCAAAAAAAAAAAAAAAAAAAATGTTTCGGGAAATTTTATCTATAACAATAGCATCTGTCCATAGCCTTGTCGAAGGCTTCAAAAGGTATCGTAATCGTACCTCAAGGACTCTTGTTTACCCAGCAAATGAACTGGAGACTTTTCTGAACTGATTGGGCATGAGGAGGTTCAATTTGACGATTTTGTATTGTTTCTCACATGTTCTTTGATAAGCAGCCATGTTCCTCCACTAACTTCTTGTTGGAGTTAGATCCATTGATGGACTGAAATGTCCTTAAAAATGTATTCGAAGCAACTGATCACAAAAATCAAAACATTTGTTTTCTTTGCTTTGCTTGCCATGCATTTTAGATATAAATGCGTGTGAATAGCCAAGAATCTTCGTCCACTACGGGAATGTATGGCCGAACCTGGTCCAGATATTCCGAGTCTATTTTAACCTCAGAACGTTTCCCTGAATTCATCGAATTATTAGAATCAGGACTATGCCACCCAAAGGGTCTGGTACCACGTTCGACCCAACTGTTGTGGATTGAATTTCTTAATTCCCAATTCAGACTTTTTGTTTCTAGCGTTTGCGCCTGTTTTTGCGCAAACATTAAAATTTGCTCCTTATGGAACAGCTGTCTTTTCTATAAGAATAATAGGCGCTCCGAATGAAGCATAGTCCCATCTGTAAAATGGTATAGTTTGATTTCAAAAATGTGTAAGTAAAGACTTTCTTTGAAAAGTGAGGAGGATTATTTAGTACTTGGTCTCAACAATAGTTTTTATACCCTTCACCATAGTATGGAGGAGGTTATATTAAGTTTGTCATTTCGGTTGTAACACCTCGAAATATAAATTTTAGACCCCACAAAGTATATATTCTTGATCAGCATAAAATGCTATGTCGACTTTGCGATGTCCGTCCGTCTGTGGAAATCACTCTAGCTTCCGAACGAAATGAAGTAGATTGATAAAATTTTACTCAAATGTATGTTATGTCTGCAGGACTTTTGGTATTAGGTCCACCTATTGGTATTGCTCCCATATAACGGTACCTCCCGATATTCGGTATCTTGATGATTTTAGGGACAGTATTCGCCGGAATTGTTTAAAATTTGGTATTTGAAGTTTGTAATGGATACTACAGCTTAAGACAGAAAATTGTCTGTGCAGGTCCGCGTCTTCGTATAGCCCCAAATATAACGGTACTTCCCGATATTCGGTATTTTGATAATTTTGGCTACATTATTCACCGATTTTTTTTCAAGTTTCGAATTTGAATATTGTAATATTGTTCCTATGCAATTCCACGACGTCGTAAAGACCCTAACATAACGGCTACATTCGGGATTTTTAAGATTTTAATATAATATTTTTAACGGATTATATTGTTTTTGAGAATTGACAAATTCGTTCCAAATGGTAGGGGGTATTCAAAGTTGTTTTTTTTACAGACGAAAAGATTTAGGTTCTCCTGTCTCTAAAGGGTTTGTTAGTCATTCCAGCAAAGATTCGCTTTGATAAGTGAAACACAGAGGTCCATCATCTTGTATTTTTACTGTTTTATATTCGGATTCGGTTCCTTAGGGGGTTTGATTCCATCATTGCAATAATGTGCCGATCTTCTACACACCTTTACATGTGCCTTTGTTGTTGATTTTGTATGAACCCTATACAAATCGACACAAAGTCCTGAGGGATCTTTAAAGTTCCTGCTCTCTTGACAAACTCAGGATTGGACTAATAGTACTTGGAACAAAAAAGCAATGGATGAGTGTCTGAATCTTGAAAATTTGCCAGCATTTAGTGTGCACATTTTAATGAGACTAAAGATTTGGAAATCACCCAAAAATCCTGAATATTAAGGGCTTTGGGAAAGAGCATCTTCAACTTTTTGAGTTTTTCCTGTTAACTCGCAACACCTCTAATCATATGTAGGGGAACTGCCGCAGATATACTGATGTGTAAATTTTTAGAAAAATATTATGTTCACTGAGAAAGAATCTTTATTCCAGGGGATAAATGTTGATAGTGCGTTACGTGGTTTTACAAAGATATTTTTCCCGGAAGGAGCAATTTAGTTTATTGCCATTTTCTTGAATAACAGTTTTTGAGACGAGGTATTCTATTCGCCTGACGAGAACATAATTTCAGTTTTAATTTTAACATTTGCCAATTATTATTACTTGTAGTACTGTGTTACACTTTTCACTTTCGTCTTCATTGTTCATTTTTAATTTTCCTTACTTTTTATTATTTATTTTGAACTATTTTATTTTTTCTGTAAATATCTCGTCGTTTAGTGTTTTTATGATACATGACGGTAATCGTCACAGTCCCTCAGTTTCATCCGAACGTTCAGATCGTTCATCGATTACGGTCCCGCCGCGTACGAAAAAACTCAATCACAGTAATGTGTCATTGTCGTTGACGACAACAGCGGTGGCGAACGCAACGACAACTAGTCACATAAGTACACCATCAATGCAACCATCAACGCCACCCTCATCAACATCGAGTGGTGTTGCTGGTGGCGGTAATCCTCTTGGAGGAGGTGGTCGTGCACCAATACCTCCACCACGAAAATCGAACCAAAGGTTTGTGTTGCTTACCTCCTTTACACAGCAAATCCCCAAATTGTTTTATATCTTCTATTCTCCAGTTGTCCCATTAATTGTTTGATTGATTCTGGAAATTTAAAATGTTTTTGTTCCCCAATACTCCATGCAATGTAACATTTGCTAAGCATGACTTGGTTATGCTTGATTTTTTCCCTATTTAAATATGTTTGCCAACTCCCTTGTCAGGATATAACTTAACTCTTAAATCACATAGGATGGGACCTTCAAAAATTCATTTTATGATTTTTATAAATAGTTAGGCATATTCTGTCTTTACAGATATCATTTCCAGTGGTTTAAGAGTTAATTAAATAGGTTTGTGTCCCCTTTTACATTGAAGCTAAGCATGATGTTTCTTTCTTTTTTATGTTCGTTCCCCATTTGACCAACCAACCACCCACCCACGCCACTCACCTCTGGCTTCTTCCTCCGAATCACACATTTAGTTTTCACTCCTCTTAACATTTTCTAATTTAGAATTTTTGTTTTTCGATTTTCTTTTACAATTTCAGAAACTCGAAACAAAAATCTACATGAATTTTGTGTGCCACTACTCTGTTTACCCACATGATAGACTTGATTTCTACTTATACGACTACATATATACTATATATAATTAATTTTCCTCATTATTATAATTATTACTCGATATTGTTTATTGTATAAATGTGTAATTTCATTAACTTTCATCCCACAAAACTCTATTTTATCTGTCTCTCTCTCTCTCATTTTGTGTAATTAATAAAATATTATTATTTTTTATGATTTTATTTATGTATGTTTTATAATTTGTTTACGTTTGTCAAATGGTGTGGGTGATAAGTAACTATATTTAATGTTTAAAAAAGATTATTTCTTCACATTCAAAAACATAAATTAGCTTTGCTATAGGAGGTTGCCTGACACATCAAGTAAAATAGTATCAGTAGGTTTTGCCGACATAGTTGAACCCCCAGCCTTGAGTTATGATTATTCAAACTGTTGACCCTTTATGTGGGAGGTTCCGACGTAGTTGGCCAATATTGTCCAATTCGTATCTGACCTAAGACTGATATGAATATTACAACGTGCCATATTTGAACTATATCGACTACTTAATATACTTTATATGAGACGTGTGCAAATTTTTGGAAAATGTGGAAATATGCGTGAGGTAACAGATATAGCTGACTGAAGTATTCCATTTTCATTCTTCATCTAATACAGATAAAAAATATTGGTATGTGCAAAATTTGAAGGAAATCAGATGCTTATACTGTTTTCTTTTTCAAAAATTGTGAACCCTATGTGGGGGAGGTACCAGAAGAAATGGTCTGATCTCTATCATCTTTATAACAGATCTTGTGTTGAGGGAAATATTGAGATGAGTCTAGTCTGAATGCAATCGGATGTTAATTTCGTGATTAATAAGCTTCATGAATATTCAAAATTTTGACCCTTTGTGGTGTAGGCACCAGAAGAAGTAGAGCGATATATCCCAATTTCACACCAGACATTGGGTTAATAAAAATATTGTGATGTGTATGATTTGAGGAGGACCGGAGACTTATTTCGGATTTTATGATTGTTTTGTTTATTCAAAACTTTGACCCTTTGTGGGGGAGGTACCAGAAGGAATGGTCCAATATCTACTAATATTTATAACAGATCTTGTATTTATGGAAATATTGAAATGTGCCTAATTGGAATGGAATCGGATGTTAAGTTCGTGTTTTATGAGCTTCGTGAATATGCAAAATTTTGATCCTCTATGGAGGAGGTACCAGAAGGAGTGTGCGGAAATATTCCACATTCAAACCAGGCCTTGGGTTAATAAAAATTTTGTGATGTGTGTAATTTGAAGATTATCGGACTCTTATATTATATATATATAATTTTATAAGAGTTATAATTATTCAACATTTTGACTCCTTGTGGGGGAGGTACTGGATGGAGTCATTTGACCTACCACTAATGCAAATATTAGGATTTACAAAGTTGTAGAAAAATCGGAATATCCTTTCTCTTTCTGTGCAGTAAATTATTATTTTATTTTGGAAATTTTGTGTGGGAGGGTGGACGGATATTGCCCATCTCCGAACTCGATCTAAGCTTGACAATAATATTACGATATACCAAGTTTGGATCGAATCGGATACTCCCTTCTAGAGTTATCAAGCGCACTAGCCAGACAGATAGACAGACAAACCGACGGACGGACATCGCTAGATCTACTCCAAATGTCCTGAAACAGATTTTGTCAAAAAGACCTAGGGTCTAAAACCGTTATTTCGATGAGGCACGTTTTGGCCATATGAAATGATATATACCCTCTCCGCATATGACAAAAACGAATTTCGGCAGTTACGATCAGCTACGATATAGACACAAAGTCCAAATTTTTATGGGTCGAATGGTCTTGCCCAAATGCAAGAGGACATCATACCCAATTAAATAATTCTTTCATTCAATCGGAAAGTCTTCGGCCTGCATTTAGCTTGTTCACTCTTCGACAGATTCAAATTCGGCTACGCGTTAAATTACCTTAGAATCCCTATTCCTTATTAGGTCATCGAGCCTTGACTGGGCTGAATCCCGACTCTCAAGTAAATTAAGCTACTCGAATTAAAATTATTCTTATAAAAGAAGGCTGTTCATCAGGTTATAACCATGTAGACATAAATATTGTGGAATGAGTTCAGAGGATTTGGATGGGAATCTGAAAGTCTCTGCGGTATGCTGGACAGATGTTTCGATATTTTTCTCAACATAAATTTAGTCCACTGCACCTTACGAAACATATTTCTGTCGAAATTACTCTGGTTTGCCGACATTTTTCACCAGCTATAGGTGTATCGAAGAATACATTGCAACAAACGAATAGGATTATGTTGACGTTTGGGATGAATTTCCGTCTCTTCATGCACACTTCTAAGACCGTCGTCCTATACAGTTCTACATTGATCAAAACTATTACTTACGGACCACTGGTGGTACACAAATGGACCAGGTGCCACAGGCTATTGGAGTTCTAAAATCGAGGATTATGTTTGAAAGCTTCATATATGAAGAGCAAGCTTTTTAGAGATTTAGAATATATAGCGCAATTTGAAACCCATTTATTTTCCAAACTACACCACCACTCAGCGTATGCCTGAATGTTAAGATGTCATTAACGATTTCCAAATCTATAAAACCTATCTTCTTACTATCTCATTAAAAATTTAAAAAGCTAATACAATTCACATTTATTTAATTTCAGCCCTCTACTAAGATCGCAAAGTTCGGATTTGATGACAGACAAAGATCTATATACCCTATTGGGAAGACCACAACCGCGAAACACTCAGCAAACACTAAATAAGCAAGCAATTAACAATAACAATAATAACAACAACAGCAACACAGGACCAATATCAATGGGAGGAGGAGGAGCAACAGCAGTACCCACAGCTATGGGTGCTGTTGGAAAATCTGTAACCGTAGGCGGTGGTAATAAGACCAAGAAAATGGTCAAACAACACAGTACCGCAAGTCAACAATCTACCTCATCGACATCATCATCAGTGCAATCAGCACCAGAACAAGGGGCGGCCAGTAGTAGCAAACAACAATCGCCCAGTCGTTTTTCAACCTCCTCCTTGGAACGACAATTAATGCAACAGCATCAATACCACCAACATCTACTGAATAAACCACCCAAATCTGTGACACCCATGACATTTCCTAGCCTTGATAGAGACTTCCTGTCATCGGTTTCAACTCTACAATCGGCTGGAAGCTTAAAATCAGAGGATTTGATATTAGCCGCCACTCACCTAACCGATTCAATGACCAACATTTCGGATACTTATCACAGTGATACCCAACTTAACAAATCGGATGAAAGTGCTGCAGCTGGCGGTAATGGTACTGTCAAGAAACGCAAAAAAGGTTTACGTTTTGGCTTTGGCAGTAAGAAAAGTATTTCAAGTTCTTCGGATACTAGCACAAAATCAAAAAATACATAGTTAAGTAAGGGCATGCAAAAAGTATTTACAAAATATTTATGTAGCATGATGACAAAAACTAAGGGAGGGGGTAGGAGTCAATTATGAGAAACATGGCCGAATTGTAATAACCTAAAGCAATAAATTTGGACTAGTTCAAAAAGTCTTCCATTTTAATTCGTCGTCTAAAACCAAAAGTGGATATTAAGAATAAAAAAGACATGCCAACAACGTTTGATGAGGTACTAACGTGTTTTTGTAGATCTCTTAATTGGCTCTGTATTATTTTTATCTCTCACCCACTCACATCTAATTATGGTTAGTGCCTTGATATTTTATTAAAAAAATGTATATTTATGTAAAATACTATATGGATGGACCCCAAATGAAGGAGGAGACTTTATTTTTCTCCTTCAAAAATCTTGCGCCATGACCTTTGATATGTTTTGTTTGGGTCCAAACTTCTTAAAAATAGAAACTTATTTTATGTAAAAAGATATTTTTCCCATCACCACACGTCCAAAATAGGGGTGAGAGATCACGGATTTTCCCTGGAAAATTGAAATATTAATTTTTCTATAAAAAAAAAGCTATCAGATCGAATATTTTTTCTTGCCAACTCTAAATATGAATACCAATTAATTTGTTTGTTGCCACATATAGCGCTGGAACTATTCCTGAACAAAATCCTTTTAATATTGAAATGCATAATCTAATCTAAAAGTATAGTGTTTTGCATGCGTCTTTTACTTTTAAAAACATATACTTAACCCTCGAATGCAGACTTGATTGAGAATATTGAAGAAAATTCGTAACAGCAAGAGGAAAGAGTGTAAGATGAACCATGCAAAGTTGATAGATGGATTGGTAGTTAAAATGCCCGTTAAAAGCATCCATTTTAAATACGGAAGAGCTTAAAACCATGACAAATGTCGAGGACTTTCCTATAGAACCCATTCCGAAAGGGGTGAGCTCAGACCTTTAAAAGTACTTCTAAGCCAAGCATACTGAAGATCTTCTGTAGGGGCTGGATTTATAAAAATTCATCTAGGGGTTTTTTATGCATAGAAGAACTTTGCAGGTTTTCTATTTATAAAATACTTTGTTGAAGGTCTTTGTAAAGAGGAATTTTTATGGTTTTTTGTGAATGGAAGACCTTTTGTAAGTCTTCTATGTATAAAAGTTCATCTCTACGTTTTCTGTATATAGAGGTCATTCTTTAGATCTTCTGTATAAAACATCTTCTGCAGTTATTCTATATACATAAAATACCTTCTGTAAGTCCTCTGTGGTAGGCCTGTAGGTCTTCTATGAACAGAAGTTCATCTCTACGCCTTCTGTATATGGAGGTCCGTCTTTAGTTCTTCTATAAAAAAACATCTTCTGTAGTTCTTCTATATATATAAAATACCTTCTGTAAGTCCTCTGTATATATAGATGGTCTTCTGTAGGTCCTCTATGTCAGCTGTCTAGTTTTTGTGAAATTATTCGCATCCCTTTTGCTGGCAATTTTGATATCCCATGGTCAAGAATTCTTCGTACCTCAGAGCTTGTGACACCTGTGCAGCCAAAATTCATTTTCCGGTATTCTCAGTTGAGTCTGCTTCCGTGAATCTCGGGGATAATATTTCATTGATTTTGTAGCACAGTATTGATTTCAGCGATTATACATACATATATATATATATTTTAAATAAATTCAAACGATTTTTTAACTATAACATGACCATAAAACGTAGATGAATGTGTGTTTTTTAAGAAAAACATAAAACAAATATCTTTGCATTTTCTTGTAATGAAAATTAAATGATATTTTGTTTTTTTTTTTGTGAAATGGTCTTGCGAAATTTCGAAATATTGAGTATTTTATTCATGTTAATTTTTTGGTCTTTGTCTTATTAAATATTCACTAGTTTTACACATTAAACTGCACTGAATGTTTTATTTTTTGAGAAACAGAGAGAACACCATTTAAATATAATTTTTAATAATATTTTACAACTCAACCGAGAATTTGGTTTAATTTTTATACTTACTTCTATTTGATATAAATATTTTGCAATAATAATTTTCATAAAGTCTTTTACTATTATTTATTTGAAAAAGAAAGAGTTTTAAATATTTTCTCTCATTCTCTCTCTCTTTCTCGTTTTGGAACTGTATGACGTACTTATTATAAAGAAAACACTTAAAAATGGCCAAACGCACTTTCCAAGCATGCCTTATTCGAGGACAGCAACTCCAATACTATTTTCTTTTCTAACATCTTGATCCATGAATCAAACATGACATTAAATTATATTCCCCACTATTGCTTCCCAATAGCTAATAATTTATAGTTATAATTAATAAATATTAAAGAAAAAAAACTCTTGTAGTCAATAAAATTTAAAAAGCAACAAAATCACTTCCTAATTAGCCAATTAAAATTTTTTGAAAAAAAAAATGTTTTTATTACCCCCAGATATGCTTTAATTTAAAAAAAGCTTTTGCTTTTCTCCTCCACAATTTTTACCATGAAATGATATTAGAGAACAAATTTGTGTTTCTTTGTGCAACATTTACTTAAAAAGTTTATATTTTTCTCAACAATTCAATACGCAATTGTTGTTGTAGGAGAGCAATACACAAATAAAATGAATAAAACATCGACAAATTGAATTTTCTAAAATATTTTTACAAACAGAAAATTTCATCTCTCTATTTTGTAATTTGATAAACAATTATTACACTATTTTATAACATTTGTAAGCCTATAAATGAATATAACAACTTTATATATTGTAAATTATTATTATTTAAATATGAAAAATCTATTATTTAATAAATAAAAAAGGACTTGAAAATCGAAGGTCTATTTAAAGGAGATTTTGGTTTTATTTCAGAGTCTTCTACGAAAAAAGTATTAGCTGGGATAACCCAATTTATGATATATATTCCTATTATAATAATTACAAAGGGTCTTCAACATAGATATACAGGGTGAGATAAAAAACTGCAACATTGTCAAACGCCAAAATTTTTAATTTTTTTTTTTGTTTTTTAATTTTATTGAATGAAAGCAAAAAAGTCGGAAATAGCATCAAATTTTAGAATATGTTTAGATTTGTTCGAATTGGTCATCTTTGGCACGAATTATGGCCTTCAAACGGCCATTGTAACCGTCACACACTGCCCGAATGTTGCTCTGCGGAATTTTCACCCATTCCCGGCGAAGCGCTTGCTTGAGGTGATAAACACTTAGGTATTATTTAGTGCCAAACTTGCTTTCCAAAATACTCCAGACACAATAGTCCAACGGATTGGTATCCGGAGATTTTGGTGGCTATTGTGAGCTGGAAATGAAGCGAGGAACCTCTTTTTGTAACCATTCTTGGATGGCGCGTGCTGAGTGCGATGGTGGACATTCCAAGTCCAACGTCTGCGGCCAAATGTTTGCGCAGCTGTCCTCTTTGGCAAGTAAATACGATCATTTTGTTTGTTTACAAACTGCTGGACAACGAAAGTTTTCACATCATATCATCTTACTTCATATCTTGGACGCCCATTTTTATTTTCAGCCTCTAAGACCAATTCGGTCTTAGATTTGCCCTTTAATATATGAAAACAAGTAAAATTGTATCAATTGGTCTTGCCGACCAACCTTGAGTTATGATTATTCAAACTGTTGAATTGTTTGGCCTAAAGAGACATAGGGTCGAAAAAAAAAATATAATAATATACAAATTTTATATAACAGACAATGAATAAATTAACAAAAATCCCTATCCTTTTATGAGGAGGGATACTTGGGAGAACTTCATGTTTTCACAATTCCAAACTTACTATAAAATGCACAGATAAAGGCAACAACATTTTCATTTCATTCAGAACGAACTTAATTTTTCTGTTTCTGAAACTGCATTATACTGCAAAAACCGAAACAGTTGAAAGACTCCCCTCACATCAGAGGCGCACAAACACTGGTGAATCACAACGACGGAAATAGGACGGTTTTAAAAGCCTCTTCAACTGCTCCTATAACTTCCACTGAACCTATGAAAAATAATCTATATGTACATAATTTTATTACATTTCGATACCCTAGCTGGTACTCTGCAGAATAAATAATTATTTCCATTTTTTTTTATTTTTTAAACGGTCACAATTGCGACAGTTATCAAATTGTTAATTTCCCTCCAAAAATGGGTGAACTAGCTACCACTGTGCAAACGACGAGTTATCGAAAGCATAACATATCGATAAACACAATCGAAACAATGTAAACACACATACACACTGTCATTTCTCCAAAAAATAAACAATTGTTTTTCTTTTTCTTGTGAGAAGATTATTGCTTTCGAACAGCATAGCTTCAAGAACAGAACATTTCTACGACCGCTGTTGCTTAGCTTAATACGTGACCGACTTGGTGGGGTTAGAACGCAGCTTAACACGAACGCACAGAGTGGAAAAAAATAAGAACGGATGGATGTCTGAGCTGACGTTGATAAAAACTAAATTACAGAGCACAACAACAAAAATGCACGGGCGAAGCATAAAAATTAACCGTGGACCTGCGGCAATTGCTGCCATTGTTGTCCTGTGTTTCCTCTTCTACATGTTCAGTGGCGGCGAAGAGGAACAACGTCCTCCCATGTATGGTATGCTGAGACTCCAAAACAAAGTGAATATGCGTAAGCTGCTGATAGGTGCCATACAAGCGGCCCAAAAGGGCGGTCTTGAGATTTTAGAGGTGGCCAAGAGCAGAGACTTGAAGGAGAAGAGTAAAGGTAAAACAGATGAGGGTGCCAACGACCCGTACACCGATGCTGACGGTCGTTCGCATTGCGTCATGAAGCAGGGTCTACATAGAATCTTTCCACGTGTCACAATCTTTTCGGAGGAGGACAAGGAGAGCTGTGCTGAGGCCAATACCTTCGACTTGGACCCCACAGTATTGCATGAGACGGCTGTGATACCTGATAAACTGGTGAACATCAAGGATGTAACGGTGTGGATAGATCCTTTGGATGCCACACAGGAATTTACAGGCAAGTTCTTACTTTTTGTTATATCATGATTTATATAACGTTTGTTATGGTTTTTTCCTACCTTTCAGAACAATTATATGAATATGTCACCACCATGGTTTGTGTTGCAATACGTGGTGAACCTGTAATTGGTGTCATTCACAGTCCCTTTAGTGGCCAAACTGCCTGGGCATGGGTTGACCATTCCATGTCTGAATATCTATCACAAATCCATCCTGATCGCCCAAATACTGACAGTCCTATTATCACCGTCTCCCGTTCTCATGCTGGCGATGTCAAGGATTTGACGCGATCAGTTTTCGGTGAAAACTCTAATATCTTGACAGCAGCTGGTGCAGGCTATAAAGTGCTACAGGTTGTTGCCAACAATGCCACAGCCTATTTACATTCAACGAAAATTAAGAAATGGGATATCTGTGCCGGTGATGCAATCCTCAGGGCATTGGGTGGTAAAATGACTACCTTGGATGATGAGTTGATTGATTATGGTCCTGGCGAATCGCCGGTCAATACAAGAGGTCTTTTGGCCACCATTGTTAAACATGATGAATATATTGAGAAACTAATGGACTACAGGGATAGCCATAAAAAAAGCACCAAACAGCGGTAGTAAGAGATAAGATAACCCTCAACAGCCAAATTATGTGGCGCGGACTGCTGTTCCTATGTAAATGTAGCCGAGCAATTCAAATAGAATTTTAAGTTAATTTATAGTGAAAAAAAGATATTTAAACCAAATTTATGTTTACCACAACATTGTTCAATGACTGTACCGAAAAAAGCAAAACAGTGATCAGGCAAATACGAAAAAGAATAATATTTCCAAAAATATCAATGAAAAGGAATGTCTCAAGAATCAAGCACTTAATTATCAAGAAACCAAAATTCAAAAACTGATGGTAAGTATTTCTGCTGTTTATTTCTATCTTGTCTTCTTTCTACACTCCACTTTGTTTTTGCATTTCTCGTTGATTTGGCAAAAATAAAAATTGGGTATTCAATAAACCTGTTTCTTAAGAGGTCATGAACTTCAGAATATACATAAATAAAGAGAAGAACATAATTATATACCTTTACACACACACATGTGAGGTATGTGTGTTAATATTTATGTGTGTTGAATGTTGTTACCTTAAAGATTTCAATCTATACAAAGCTAGCGAATTTCAAGTACTTTTTTTCCATGGTCTGTATGAATGAATAGGTAAAACGATTTTGTGGTTTTGTAATAACACCTTATACGAGACAATCAATGACCAAATTGATTTTAGCTCCATATGATTGTAAATATTAAAATAGTTAGCTCAGAAGAATTTCTGTTGAAGTTAAAGTTCACATTCTTTCAGGGACGTAGGCCAATAATCTGAGGGTGGCAAGTGGAAGTGGCCTCCATATAAAAACATAGTTCATGAGTTTCAAACATTTGGCTTAATAAAACTAATTGGTGTATCGTTATTTGGGTTTTAAAAAAGTTTTTTTTTTATATTTTTGAACATTTTATGTGGGAAAGTACAATTTTTGACTGTGGGTCGCCCTAAAAACTTTTTATACCCTACACCACAAGGTGGTAAGGATATAATACCCTTTATTTGTAGCATAGAAGAATATAGGTAGACGCGTCGATACAGCTGCTGGGACAATGAGCTGTCAAACCAATTTTGGAATTAAAAATATTGAATGAAAAATTATTTAAATTTGTAAAAATTGTTGAAAAACGCGAGTTATAATAGCTTCCGAATGACGTAGTATAAGAAAACATATAAAAATCTACTTATATTTGAAAAAAACATTTACATTTTTTTGACATATCAATGCTCCCAAGCGTTGATGCATCTACGTGTATTCTTCTGCCATGATTTGTAGTATGCAAAAGAAAACAAGATAGAACCATAGTTCCTTTTGACGATCTGCATAGAATCACATTCTGAGTTGATTCATGCATGTCCTTCCGTACGTCTGTCCTTGTATTTTTGTAAATAAAGTAAAGGTCGCATTTATTACCCAATCCAGACGAAGTTTTGCATTGGCCCAAGGATATTTAGATATAGCTCCCATATATATCTTCGTCCGTGTAATATTAGCCCAAATAGTACGACACATACGACCAAATTAAGAATAGATTTGTTTGAATTGGTTACCTTTGGCACGAATTATGGCCTTCAAACGGCCAATGAAACCGTGACACTCTGCTCGAATGTTGCTCTGCGGTATTTTGGCCCATTCTGGGCGAAGCGCTTGCTTGCTTTTAGTGCCAACCATGCTTTCCAAAATAAATGAAGCGAGGAACCTCATTTTGTAACCATCTTGCGATGCTGAGTCCTGTTGAAATGTCCAAGGTCTGCACCAAAATGTTGTGTGCCCAAGATTTTTATACAGCCCAGAATTTTTTCGCGATAATATTCAACATTTATTCTGATGCCACGGTCGATTATTACGAGCGGAGAGCGACCATCGGCTTTCATGGCGGCCTACACCATCGCCATGGCCGGCGCTTGTGGTCAACCGAAGGTGCACATTTTCAGATGACCTCTTTGGCAATTAAACACGATCATTTTGTTTGTTTAAAACTGCTGGACGACGAATGTTTTCTCATCGGAGAAAACCAAATTCGGCAGTTCATTACTTTCGGCTTTAGAGTCTATTTTCTCTCTGTTACGGTGTGAGTTCTTGCACTTTTTGGAATTTCAATGGATTTAGCCCGAGCTCATTTTTCAATATTTGCCGAATGGAATATTGCGATATGTTCAGCTCACGAGCCATTTTTCGGCCACTGCGACGCGGGTTTCGATCAAGTCGCTTCTTTACTTTTCGAATCATTTCTGCTGATGTCGCTGTATTTTCCATCCATTTCATTGAAGCCGCGCTAACGAGCGATGATACGAGACACAAAAGATTGATTCACAATTAAATGCTGGAAAGCTCTAACGATAGCCCCTTGTGGTTTTCCAGTCAAATATAAAGAAATCACACTATCAGGCTTGAATTCCATCACGAATAACTTTTTTTTCTGGAAAATTCTCACCAAAATGCTTGTGTACGCTTATAAACAATATAATGAGCTGTCACTGGAATAATTTTAACAGCTGTCGGACGAGTGGCTTAGAAATGACAGCAGTCTGAAATTGGTTGCAGTTTTTCATCTCATCCTGTACATTATTATCTCTATGCCGTCCGGAGAGCGTGAAATGTCAGAAAGCTAGAGGTTAAACAGTTCCGGAGATATCACCCTACTCTTCGGATTCTCGACATCTTCTATCTGAATTCCACGTACGACTGGCGTCTAAACATGCTGAACTGTGTGGAAATGGCATGTAAGGCGGTTTTTGTGTTATGCAATTTTCGGAATGAGTGTTTATGATCAGCCACTGGAAAACACACTTTTGCTGGGAAGGAGAAGGAGCCTCAAGCGTCTTTGCTACTGGTGGCAAAAGTGATGTCGGCTTGTATAAATCACTTTTGCTGGCATCCTTGCCTTGTCATCCTTTTTTGGGATGCTGACGATCACTCTGTAAGAAAATGAGTAGATAATCAGAAATGTTCCGGTTCCGGATTGGAAGCTACCTGCTACCGATGTCTAAAATGCTGTGGAACTCTATTAATATTCGGATTGGACAGACACCGGTTAATGTTTAGATTGAAGACGATGCAAATTTAATCTTAAATTCAATATCTCTTCGAAATTTATTTTGTTATCATCCCCGCCCTACCTGCCATAGTGTAGAATTCAAATTATAAAAAAAATCTCTTTATGGATATATTCATTTTTTATTATTAATTATTATACATACACATACATTATGCCAGAATACAAAATAAATATTCGAGTTACATTTCATATACAAAAATAAAAAAACGAACAAAAAATAATGATAAACGGAAATACAATATAACATTTTCGAAATATACCAAAAAAGGCAAAGAAGAAGAAAATGGTAGTGATAAAAACAAATAATAAACATTACAAAAACCATTTCCATATATACATATTTACATACGGTGGTGTGCCTTGTACATATACATATGTGAAACAGAATTAGATGACTCTTTAGACAATGGTGGGAGGGGTGCGGTGGAAAAAAACACCCATTCATCATTCACTGTACAACATACTAACAAACAAAAAAATAACTTTTAAACAAATTAAAATTGAAAAAAAAAAAAAAACATCAACTTAAAGTTAAACAAAAATGAAAAACAATACAAACAAACACATATATATTTTAAAGAAGATGAGTATCTGCTGTTAAGAAAATGAAAATGAGAAAAAACAATTAGTCTAATGCAGGTTTAGCAAACATTGTTTTCAAAAGGCTTCTTCTTGAAAGTGGTGGTGGGGCGGGGAATCGTAACAGAACAGACACTTGAAAACTATAACCGAATTCATCCATAAGTCCAACTAAGAAGAAATGGAGAGCTGCCATTGCTGCAAAAACAATTGAGAAAAGAATATTTACTATAAATTGAAAACTAAGTTTGAATTTCCCCACATACCTCTGTCTATAACTATCCTCTATAACAAGTGTGTGTTGCTGTGCTGGAGTTTTATATTCTAAATACATATATATTTTTTTATATTTATATAAGTTTTAATATGTAATATGCATATATATTTTTTAAACATTGTAGATAATTTGCGCTATTTTTTTAAAAAACCAGGAAGCCAACAATCCAATAAATTTGGTCAACTTCATCACGAAAATCGGAACAAAGAGATGAAAAACGAATCAAGAAATTGTTGCAATGGATTGAAGTGCTGGCTGTTGTTTTGTGAGTCGGTTGCTATTGTTTTGTTGTTTTCTTTTTCTTTAGGATTTCTGCCCAACAACATTCGTCTAACCCAATGGATTGTTGGTATCAAAAGTGATCTTGGGTACAAAGCCATTTTCACCATCCACAGTATAGGCCACAGTCATTAATCTTCCATCAGGTAACCAAACAGCATATTGTCCATTTACCTTTTTTTAGTTTCCCATTATCAGTGTAGTTGGTTGGTTGGTGGATTTGATTGTTTGTTTGTTTGGCCATGTAAAGAAGTAGATGAAAAAGGAAGGTGTCAGATTAAGTTTTGTTTTTGGTTAAACAATAGATGTCATTGGGGTTTCGTTATGCGAAAATTCATGAATGAAGTATTACCTTTCCTTGAGCATCTCCAGCCTCGTTTTTATTGAAAAATAATTCCTTTTCGGGATCTTTAACCTCGTATTGATATTCATACTGAAATGGGGAAAATAAAATATAGAAATTAGTAAAGTAAAGGGATTATGCGGATTACAGGATGTACTTTGATTCAAGCGAAAAACAAAACTTTTTTTCAAACTTTGCACATCCTAATATTTCTACTAATATAAAATTTAGTGTTTATAAAAAAAAACATTTGTTTTGGATATCGACCAAATATTTAACCATTAATGATTCGGTATTTTGATGATTTTTGCGATATTATTCACCGGAATTATTACAAATTTGTCATATGAAGTTCGTAATGGATACTACAGCCTAAGACAGAAAATTGTCTATGCAGGTCTACGTCTTCGTATAGCCCTCATATAATGGTACCTCCCGATATTCCGTACTTTGTTGATTTTAGCGACATTATTCACCGAAATTGTTTCAAATTTGGTATTTGAAGTTCGTAATGGATACCACAGCCAAAGACAGAAAATTGTCTGAGCAGGTCCACGTCTTCGTATAGCCGCCATATAAAGTACCTCCCGATATTCGGTATTTTGATGATTTTAGCGACATTATTTACCTATTTTTTTAACTTTCGCATTTGAATATTGTAATGGCTTATGACAAATATTACCCATGAAGGTCCATGTCGTCGTATAGACCCTAATATAACAGCTACATTAGGTATTTTTAAGATTTTAACAGAATTTCTAAAGGATTTTATTGTTTTTGAGAATTGCCAAAGTCCTTCCAAATGGTGGAAGGTATTCAAAGTTCGACCCGGCCGAACTTACAGTTTTTCTACTTGTTTTTTTTTAATTTTATTGATGAAAGCAAAAGATGTCGGAAATAGCATCAAATTTTAGAATAAGTTTAGATTTGTTCGAATTGGCCACCTTTGGCACGAATTATGGCCTTCAAACGGCCAATGAAATCATCACACGCTTCCCGAATGTTGCTCTGCGGTATTTTGGACCATTCCCGGCGAAGCGCTTGCAAGAGATGATCGACACTTTGGCATTTTTTAGTGTAAATCTTGCTTTCCAAAATACTCCAGACACAATAGACCAACGGATTGGTATCCGGAGATTTTGGTGGCCATGAAGAAATGAAGCGACCTACGGTCGATTAATACGAGCGGGGAGCGACCATCGGCTGTTATGGCGGCCCACACCATCACCATGGCCGGCGCTTGAGTTCTGGTGGCCAACCGAAGGTGCACATTTTCAGGTGACTTCTTTGGCAAGTAAACACAATAATTGTTTTTGTTTACAAACTGCCGGACAACGAATGTTTTTTCATCGGAGAAAACCAAATTCGGAAGTTCACCACTTTTGGCCAAGGGAAGCAACTCTTTAGCTCTTTTTGGTCAATTTTCTTTCTGTTGCGGTGTTATTTCTAGGACTTTTTGGAATTTTAATGGCTTTACGCCGAGCTAATTTTTCAATATTTGCCGAATGGAATATAACGATATTTTCAACTCACGAGCCATTTTTCGGCCACAGCGGCGCGGGTTTCGATAACGATAGCCACTTGTGGTTTTCCAGCCAAATATAAAGAAATCACAATATCACGCTTGAATTCCACCACGAATAACTTTTTTTTTCTGGAAAATTCTCGCCAAAATGCTTTTGCACGCTTGTAAACAATATAATGAGCTGTCACTGCAATAATTTGAACAGCTGTCGGACGAGTGGCTTAGAAATGAAAGCAGCCTGAAGTTGGTTGTAGTTCTTTCATCTCACACTGTATGTTTCGGTGCAAGTCGAATGTGAAACTTCCAAACAGTAATCTAAATTCATTAATTTGTTTTTAATATTTTCAGAATTGAACATAGATGTTCTATTGAGTTTTCCTTTTGATATTGAAAAATATGTAGCTTCTTGCCGGTTTTGGAGCAGAGCAAGAAGCAGAAGCAGATGCCCAATTTTCCAACATTTCTTAATTGTTTATTTCTCTTTGGTGGGTTATGCGGCTCATCGGGCATATTTTGACGGGGATGTCATTCCATGTAAGCTTTCGAATGTAGTCTTTATTTCGAATTTATTTCCCAACATTTTTTATTGTTTATTTCTTCTTGGTTGGTTAAACGGCTCATCGATATATTGGCGAGGAAGAAGACTCAAACAATAAAAAAACTTTGCAAAGTAGTATTTATTCCGAAATTATTTTCTATTTTTCGTTTATACTTTCTATTTTCTAATATCGTTATTATTCACATTTTTCTTCCGCCACATGCAACAACTCCAGCACAATTTAACTAATTATTTTTTCAAACTGTAAACAAATTTGTTTAACAAATTAATTAGCACCTTAGTTGAATGTGCCTAACATTTCGATTAGAAGTAAACAAACATGTATCACCCGGCATCAGTTTGAAACAATGACGTTTTGAAGGTTTGCAAATTTGAAATATTCACACGATAATCATTGATTAATTATTTTTAAGTAGACAAGTTGACAGGCCCGTGTCCAATACTAAGCCTTCCTTCCTTTCTAATTTCAGTTGCATCAGTGCCAAGTGCCGCTATTTAATTTAAAAATATATGCAAATGCATTTTTCGAGGGACTTTTTATAAGTTATAAATAATATATGAGGGAAAACATGTCAAAAGTGCCATATGCTGACATAAACGTGTTTTCAGAAGTCACAAGGTCACATCAGGGACTTTTGGGAATGGAAAGATTTGAAGAAGGGCATCAACAAATATACTATTCGTTAAGGAAATCATTTGTTAAATATTGAATGTTTCTGTATCATTTCGTTAATTTTTTAAAATGAATATTTGTGACAGACGATATCGTATAGCCCCCATACAACGATACTCCCGATATTCGTTATTTTGATGAATTTAGCGAAATTTTTACCGGAATTGTTTCAAATTTCGTGTTTGAAGCTCGTAATGGGTAAAACAGCCTATGACAAATATTTGTGTATGCAGGTCCATATAACGGTACCTACCTTTATTCGGTATTTTTATGATATAGCGACATTATTCACCGAAATTGTTTCAAGTTTGATGATATTAGGGATTTTTTACCCTAATTGTTTCAAAATTCATATTAAAATTCCTAATGAGTACTGCAGCTTATGACAAAAAAATACTTATACAGGAGCATGTCTTCGTAAAATCGCTATATAACGGTTTTCCTTTGAAAGGTATTTTTCGACGAATGGAAAATAGAGAGGGTATATATCATTTGATACGGCCAAAACGTGCCTCATCGAAATAACGGTTTTAGACATTAGGTTTCTTTGGACCAAATCCGTTTCAGGACATTTGAAGGCGATCTAGCGATGTCCGTTCGTCTGTCTGGTGAGCACAATAACTCTCGAAGGGAGTATTCGATTTGATCCAAACTTGGTACATCGTAATATTATTGTCAAACTTAGATCGAGTTCGGAGATGGGCAATATCGGTCTACTCCTTCTGGTACCCCCTCCACAAATTGTCAAAATTTTCAAAGAAAATAATATACTACACAAAAAAAGGAGGATAACTCGATTTTGCTCCAACTTTGCAAATCCTAACGTTTGCATCAGTGCTAGGTCGAGTGGGAAAATGGACAATATCGGTCCACTCTATCAAGTACCTCTTCCAAAAAGGGTCAATATTTTGAATAATTAAAACTCTTATAAAATGTGATGCAAGAATCCGATTGTCTTAAAGTTACACACATCACAATATTTTTATTAACCCAAGGTTTGGTGTTATGATGGGCAAAATCCACTCCTTCTGATACCTCCTCCACAAATGGTCGAAATTTGCAAAAAAAAAGTATGCATTTTCTGCAATAATCTAATTTTGCTCTAATTTTGCAAATCCTAATATTTGCGTCAGTTCTAGGTCTCGTGCCAAAAATCGATAATATTGGTCCACTCCATCAAGTGCCTTTCCTGCAAAGGGTAAAATTTTGAATAATTATAACTCTTAAAAAATATTATGTTACAGTCCGATTGTCTTCAAATTTCACGCATTCTACTATTTTTATGAACCGAAGATCTGGCAGTAAGATGGAATATATCGGTTCTCTCCATCTGGTACTAACCCACAATATGTCAACATTTTTAAAAAAATAATATACTGCACAAAAAGTGAAAGGATAATCCGATTTTGCTCCAATTTTTCAAATCCTAATATTTGCATCAGTGCTACGTCGAGTGGGAAAATGAACAATATCGGTCCAATCTACCAAGTACCTCCCCCACAAAGGGTCAAAATTTTGAATAACTATAAATCTTATAAAATGTGATGTAAGTGTCTGATTATCTTAAAATTACACAGATCACAAAATTTTAACCCAAGGTCTGATGTGAAGATGGAATATATCGGTCCACTCCTTCTGGTACCTCCCCCACAAAGGGTCAAAGTTTTGTATAATCACAATGATCATAAAATCCGTATTAAGCATCCAATTTTCTTCGAATTAAACACATCACAATATTTTTATCAACCCTAAGTCTGGTGTGAAGATGGAATATATCGGTCCACTTTTTCTGGTACATGCCCCACAAAGGGGCAAAATTTTGAGTGTCCATGAAGCTCATAAAACTCGAAATTAACATCCGATTCCATTCAGATGGAAATATTGAGATTTCCATCAACACAATATCTGTTATAAAGATAAAATCGGAGTATTTCTTCTGGTACCACCCCCACATAGGGTTCAAGATTTTGAAAAACAAAACGTTAAAAGATAGCGAAATAATCACCCAATTCTCTTCACATTCCACACATCCAAATATTTTTGCCAAGATCTGTTATGGAGATGATATATATCTGCCAACCCTTTCTGGTACCTCACCCACAAAGGGTCACAATTTTCAATACATTTATCTGTCATAACTTGCTAAACAAGTCGGCGATTACTTAAAACTTGCTGTATCTAAATATTTCTCTTAACCAGAAATCTGATATGAATATGTAATTTATCGAAATTTATGACTTCGCATAAAATTGGATATGAATGTTCGATTTTCTGGTAATTTTTTTATCTGTATTAGATGAATTATGAAAATGGAATACTTCGGCCCGCTATGTCTGTCACCTGAAGCATATTTCCACATTTTTCAAATATTTGCACATATTTCATATAAAGAAGTAGTCTAAATCTGTCACGTTGTAATATTTATATCAGTCTTAAGTCAGATATGAATTGGTCAATATCGGCCAACTGCTTCGGAACCTTCCCCATAAAGAGTCAAGAGTTTGAATAATCATAAGTTAAGGCTAGGGGTATACATTTGTTGGCAAAACCGACTGATAGTATTTGATTCGTTTTCATTTTACTGGGACTCATTTATATACACTTCCCTTCGATATCTTGTCCAAAAGTATTATTTTCATAAAAATGTCTCCACTGTACATATCCTTACGAGTATATGCAGCCCTTGTTCTTAACTACGGCAATTTAACCCAGCATCTGTAAAAGCGAAATATCTGCATTTCATTTTGGAGCATTTGTAACAAATTTTTTTTTTTCCTTTAAAAATGCTCCTGTTTTACAAAAATTTGAAATAAAACTTAAAAAATAGAAAATTATGTAAGGAAAAAATGTTTCTCTTTAGATTTTATAGAACAAGAATTCAGTCGCTGGTTCTTGTAGGGGTATTTAATAAAGGTTTTTTCCAAAGGTATTAAAAAGGAAAAGCCCCAGTAACTAGTCTAATATTTTCCGTATGTGCGTATTTCTGGTATAAATTGGAAACCAAAAAATTTTCCCTAATCGCTTTTATATTCTCCTCATCTCCTTTGTGGTAATTTTTTCTTTTAAAAATAAGATTTGATCCTTGTTTTCTTCAAAAACAGGATGTATATGAAAATGTTTTTTTTTTAATTCATATTTTAAGTTTTAATAATTGTCACTTTTTGATTTAATATTTTTTTGGAAAATTTGATTCACTTTTAAGGACATCCAATCAATGTACTTTTCTTATACCACTCTCATCAATCTTTATTTTTTTTTTTTGTTTTCAAAATTTATTCTTTACTTTGATATTTGAATTTAATTGACATTTAAGAAGAATAAGTGATCACACTTTGTTGTTCTTTTTATTTCCAATTGTTAATGTCATGCCAATTCTCTTGAGAGGACAACGGCAAATGTCACTCAACAATACATTATTATTTTGTTTTTTTGCTTCAGTTTGTCACATTTACCGGTTCTGGTTGTTCAGGAGCCTGAGGTCGCGCATGTGCCACCAAAAGATACGCACACAAAACGATTGCCACTAACTTCCAAGATAATGTCGACATTGTGAGACCGTTTGGCTAAAGGAGGATAACTGGGTTCCGCGTTTTTCTTTTTCCTTCGGATTTACAAGGGATGATCTTATAAGCGCTGTTACGCTATTCGCCGTTAACTGAAGCCAATTGTTTGCCACCAAAGTCTTTTATATGAAAATTGAACGTTTTAGCGGTGACTCTTGTTTAAAATCGCATCAAATCTCCGACGCTGTCGTCTTCTCTAGCTAACTGGATGGCAGGCAGGCTGGTTGGCTTGACAGAATAAATGAATGAATGAATCGACGACGAATGGCTTGCCACGATAGGTCAAAGGTATTATTCGTCTCATCTCGTCGTCTGTGAAACGATCTGCTACGATATGCTGCTTCTAGCAGAAAGATGGCAAGCGCAAACAAAAAAAAATGCAAACACCGCCGACCATACCGACGTGTGCTGCGACTGTTGCTGCTGCTGCAACTCAAAGGTATGCATCCAGCAAGAAGCTAAAAATACTACAGCATCCACCACCAACAACAACAACACCAAGAATAAAACATTTGAAATTTAACATTTTCCAAATAAAAATTTCTAACTCTATTCGAGGGATCATCATAATCATCGTAGCAGTAGTAGTAGTTGTTGTTGTTGTCGTTACGACTTGTTTATTGTGTTGTTCTATGTTGCATGTTTGAAATTGCATTTGCGATTTTTTGTGTTAATCTAACATTGTTGTTGTTGGCTTTGTTTACCCTTTTGCCGTTGCTTATCTTTTTATCGCTCGCGAAACACAACACCGAGCGAACAAAAGGAATGAATGAGCGATTATCCGACAGCAACAACTGAAACGACCGACAGAAGCAATGGTAGCGGCTGTGAAGTTGCAATATCGTTTTCAAATGAATTCAATTCGCCATTCAGAAGTTATTTGCCGGCAATGTAAGTGCTAAATGAGGATCAGGAAAAGAATGCAATTTTTTTGGAAAATATTGTGACGAGTTGCGTTTGATCAGAAGGGTCAAATAAAACAAGGAAAAATGGGATTAAGTTCGGCCAGTCTCCCTAAAAAATAAATATTTAATTATCGGCTGCAAGTCTTACCAAAAACGAATACTGTTTCGGAATGGCCCCATAAAGATTCCGAAGAGCCATACAACAGTCGAATCAATTAGAAAATGAGGCAGATACCTTTATTATATCAAAAATCAGGCGTCAACTTCATAGAGTGATCTATCCCAAATAGGATTCTATAATGACAACTATCTTGATTGGAGGTAAAATGTCGAATACGACTCCGACATAATTTCAGTCGTAGCACTCATTGGGACCCAAATATCAAAAGGCCCCCAAAATTACTAAAATTAAACAGAGACTTCCAGCCAGCTTGACCATAGAGAACCTATCATGAATATGGAGAGAGAGAGAGAGATTCTCTGTCAGTTCGTCTGACAGAGATTCTCTGTCAGTTCGTCTATAACTAAATTCTCTCAGCTGATTTAAAGAGTATTTCTGTCAGTTCGTCTATAGAGACATTCTCTTAGCTCATTTAAAGAGTCTCGCTATTAGCTCGTCTTGTTCTAGTTCTCTTAGTTCATTTACAGAGACTCCGAAGAGACTCCCTGTCAGCTCGCCTATAAAAAAGACTCTCCGTCAGCTCGTCTATCCTGTCAACTCCTCTCCATAGACTACCTTCCGATCGTCTATTGAGACGACCTTCCGATCGTATATGGAGACGACCTTCCTATGGAGACGACCTTCCGATCGTCTATGTAGACGAGATAACCTTCCGATTATCCATGGAGACGACCTTCCGATTGTCTATGGAGACGACCTTCCCATTGTCTATAGAGACTCCCTGTCAGCTGGTCTATATAGACTCCCTGTCAGCTGGTCTATAGAGACTCCCTGTCAGCTCGTCTATAGAGACTCCCTGTCAGCTCGTTTATAGAAGAGACTCCTGTTAGCTCGTCTATAGAGACTCCCTGTCAGCTCGTCTATGGAGACTCCCTGTCAGCTCGTCTATGGAGACTCCCTTGAGCTCGTCTATAGAGACTGCAGAGACGCCCTTCCGCTCGTCTATAGAGACTCCCTCCCGCTCGTTTTATAGACTCGTCTATGGAAACGCCCTTTCCGATCGTCTTTAGATATTATATTCCAATAGCCTATAGAGACTATCTTCCGAACGTCTATAGAGACACTTCCGATCGTCTATAGAGATTATCTTCCGATTGTCTATAGAGACTATCTTCCGATCGTCTATAGAGACTATCTTCCGATCGTCTAAAGAGACTATGCTCCGATCGTCTATAAAGACTGTTCCGATCGTATGTAGAGACTCTCTTCCGATCGGTCATAGAAGCTCTCTTCCGATCGTATATAGAGGAAGATACCCCATTCTTATCGCCTATAGGCACTCTCTCGATCGTCTAAAGAGATTCCCTTCGTGCTGAAGGACGTCTTTATAGACGAGCTGAGGTACGTCTTTATAGACGAACTGAAGAACGTCTTTATAGACGGCTCGTGTATAGGAGAGATTCCCTGTCGGACCGTGCATAGAAGAGACTCCCTGTCGGACCGTGCATAGAAGAGACTCCCTGTTGGCTCGTCCATAGAAGAGACTCGATGTTGGCTCGTCTATAGAAGAGACTCCCTGTCATCTCGTTTATAGAAGAGACTTCCTGTCGGCTCGTCATTAAAAGAGACTCCCTTCCGCTCTTCTATAGAGACTGCCAGTTAACTCGTCTATGGAGACGACCTTCAGCTCGTCTATTGAAGAGACTCGCTTATCAGCTCGTCTGTAGAAGAGACTTCCCTATCAGCTCGTCTATAGAGACTACCTATCAGCTCGTCTATAGCGATTACCTATCAGCTCGTCTATGGAGACGACCTTCAGCTCTAGTCAACTTGTCTATGGAAATGACCTTCAGCTCGTATATAGAGACTCCCTCTCTCTATTCTATAAAGACCCTTGCCCTCTAGTACAGAGAGACTTGCTCCGCTCGTTTATAGAGACTGCCTTCAACTTCCCTCAGCTCCTCCTTAAAACACTCCCTCCCGCTCGTCTATGGACCCTCCTACCAGCTCCTCTATAAATACTCCCCTCAGTTCATCTTTAAAGATTGCCTTCTTTTAAGACTCGCACCTCATGTCTAAAGAGGCCTCCTACAGTTCATCAATAAAGACACTGCTTGGCTGGTTGATAACGACTCCTCCAGCTAGTCTATAAATATCCCCGTCTGACAGTCTATGAAGACTATCTCTATTCTTCTATTTCATCTATAAAAATATTTTAATCTGGACATCTAAAAATACTTCCCTTATGTAGCTGATCTAAAATGGTTTCCTTTTAGGTCCCCAGTAAAGTCTTTTTACCATAGACTTCTTTCAATTTTCCCAGCCTTTAATGTCAAAACTCTCAGAACTCGTTGCTGATTTTGTTAAGATCTAAAAAAAAACAATGATTTCAATTCTTTGTTAATAATAATTACTCTATAATTGAGTAATTGAATGATTGACATAACATCTTGTTTGTTCTGATATTGAATAGAATTCAACAACACAAATATTGTATTTTTTCGTGAAATTGAAATGAATAGAAAATTAGTGCCACAATCGGCGCACAACTATGTCTGCGTCTTTTCAAAATGGCGTTTGGATGTGGGTAAACATTTCGGAATTTTTTCTTGGTGTTCACGGTTGCTGTGTTGAATCTATTTGACCGATATAGTCAAGTCGTGAGATTTTTTTCGCAGATGATTTTCTAATCAATTTGCAATTTTTGCTTTGGAGGTGTTGTCGTTGTTGTTATTCTTTTTTTACTTTTGGCTGGTGTCAGTTAGTTAATAATTCGTTGCTGTTGTTATTCATTCTGAATTATGTGAATTTCGAATATTTGACTCCAAACTTTGTATTCGTCGTCTATTCTATTTAAGTTAGCTATGCCGTCAGCTATTGTCATGTGTGAGCGAAGCGCACAAGGCCTCCATTTCATTGGGAAATTTTTGACTTGTTAATATGATGGGCTGTTAAAAAGCTAAAGCAGCAGCAGCCCTAGCATCGTTGTTGCAGCTACCCTCGTCTGCCTCTTCTCGATCATTGGATGCCTCACTGTTTTCTGTTGCTAACTGTTGTTGCGGATCACCAGTTGGTAAACTGTGAGATAATTTTTAAATGTCGGCTCAAGATGCTGTGCACTACTAGAGGGTAGGTGGGTGATGTGCGGTGGCGTTGATGGGGCGTGTAAATTTTAGTTTTATGATTCCTCCTTGTTGGTCATAACCAACAAAGGCTGCGACATTCAAAGTGTCTGGTTATAATATTTCATTATATATCATTTGAGGCTTTTGAGGTATAGAAATCGTGTACACGGGGAGAATTTAAGGGCAAGCGAAGGATGATCTGAAGAAAGAAGGCTTAATAGCCTTAAAATAAGTTCTAAAATAGAGCCTAAAGAGACTTTCTCCAGGGTCTCAACAGAAGGACTGAATATGGAAAAAAATAAAAATTATAAAATTATATATAAAAATTACTTTTATAGACCAGCCAGGACGTATATATAGATAAACTTAAGGATGAGATTAAGATGAGCTGAAGTATGTCTCTATCGACGAGGGGAAGGACGTCTGACAGGTAGTCTCTATAGACGAGCTGACAGGGAGTCTCTATAGACGAGCTGACAGAGAGTCTCTATAGACGAGGAAAAGCAAGTCTCTATAGACGAGGAAAAGCAAGTCTCTATAGACGATCTGACAGGGAGTCTCTATAGACGAGCTGACAGGGAGTCTCTATAGACGAGCTGACAGGGAGTCTCTATAGACGAGCTGACAGGGAGTCTCTATACACGAGCTGACAGGGAGTCTTTATAGACGAGCTGACAGGGTGTCTCTATAGACGAGCTGACAGGGAGTCTCTAAAGACGAGCTGACAGGGAGTCTCTATAGACGAGCTGACATGGAGTCTCTAAAGACGAGCTGACAGGGAGTCTCTATAGACGAGCTGACAGGGAGTCTCTATAGACGAGCTGACAGGGAGTCTCTATAGACGAGCTGACAGGGAGTCTCTATAGACGAGCTGACAGGGAGTCTCTATAGACGAGCTGAAGGACGTCTTTATAGGTGAGCTGAAAGACGCGTCTCTATAGACGAACTGAAAGACGAGCTGAAGGACACATCTCT